CGGCATTGGCTTTTGTGCTCAACGCCGTCGTGGCAAGTGCTCAATTGAGCGCCCCTCCTGAATTGATGTAAGTGGCAACTATCCCCAGCCGAAAATGGACGTCCAACTGATGACCAAATTCCGATAGATCTATTACCAGCGGTCTCGTTGCCGGGATCCGATCTCTTGGTGTGACCCTAGGCGTGGCGATCTGTAAACGACCCTTTTTCCCATGCTTTCATTCTCTTAATCTAATATTTGTCTCAGACACGGCGATTTTCCACTCCAGGATCACCAACCTTCTGCCAGCAAAGGTAACAGAGGCGGCTTTGCAGAATGGTCTGCCCAACTCATCCGTCCTGGAGTTTATTATGGCTTTAACAGCTCATGACCCCGACTTGCTAGCCGCGGTTCCTGGCATCACTCCTGGGATTATTGCTGCTGGGACCCAAGCCCTTCAAGAGGCATATCTGGGGTCATTCCGGTCGGTATGGATTGCCACCTCATGCTTTTCAGCCGTGGGTGTCATTGGTAGGTCCCAAGTGTCCAGCTTCCTTTCAACTCTAGGTGGTGCAAGCTAACGTGTTGTGAACAAGTATCATGCTTCCTTGTTAACCCTGCCAAGGATCTCAACAACCATATCGACAACCCTGCCGAAAGTGATGAGGCTTTATACGGCGAGAGCAAGGTCCAGCCCACAGCAGGAGCAACTCAGTGAGAGAGTGTATGAGATGGAGGAGTGGTCGAGGGCTGACGTGCACCATCGATCGCCCTGAACTTCACCGTGGTCAAGATTCTGTCGTATTATGTAGGATACCAGGGGTGGAGGGACCGAGTCTCCGCGCACCAATATGATGAAGCTTCGTGCAGACAACTAGTCCTCCAAGACAAGAATCCGATTAGTTTCCACTTTTGCCCCTAATTTTGTGACTCCTACTAATCGTGGTTGGTTTTGCAAAGAATTAAACGACGGCGCGTGAAGGGTGAGTGAAAGATTGTTGGAGGGCGAGTGGACGTGAGGTGGAGGTTGAGTGACAAGGTGAGCATTACAAAAGCGGCGAGGTCTAGGTGAGTCTACACGAGTCACGAGAGCTGCGAGCAGTTTTCCAAATGCTTGGTTCGTTAATTGATTAGCGCCCGCTCCCAGCAACAGGAGGCTGTCTCTGAGACTTTGGTTGTCTTTGGGCGAATCGTAAGCATTCTGGAACTACAGCATCGTTACTGGTCTCGACCAACTCATACTACGGCGGCGCAACGTGACTAGTTTACTGCATCATTCGACTTGGAACGGTTTTGACGGTCCAAGCTGGCAGAATGTGCGTGCAACAGAAGGAAATGGAGAAGCACTAGGAGAGTTCGAGATGGACCGGTCAAATGGCTGCGTGCTCACAAACCTTGTTGGGTGCTTCGCAAGGCCACCTTTGGAAAACCCGTTCGGAATATTTACAAGGGAGGCGTTCATCCTCTGTGAAAGTGACAACACATCCTTGCATGCCGGTTGTGTGACTTCAAATTGTAGCCAGCAGGCTCTCAAAGCAGTTGCATATTGGTTATAGGTCTGATAGGTTCATCTCTGAGGTGGCGTTCTGATTCGTGGTCTTGCAACGTCCAGCCGATCCCCAAGAAAGCCCCCTCTGTGAGCAATGTCCTTTGGGCCCTTACCATGCGTTCGCTTTCAATGCCAGCAAATGTGGCAAGCTTCCAATCATAGAGAGCGGGATGCAATGTGACAAAAATGAATCTGCACACTGTGACATGCAGCGTAGTATTGGATCATGCCATCTGGTTTCCCTTCACTCACGGCTGGACAAGTGTCAGAGACTTTCAACCGTAAGCCTCAGGCTTCAACATTCCATGTGATTATGGTTGACGTGCGCGTACATTGTCGTATGAGATTGGACAATATAACAGCGGCTTACAACTCGCTCGTCCCCCTCCTGGGGCATCTCATGTTTTCATCCCAGCTGCAGGATATGCCCTATGTTCCACAGAACACCTAACTACGTGTTCTCACGGGCGGAAGACCGGGAAATTTCAAGTTCGGAGGCTCGATTCCGTAAGATTCTTGGTCCGGTATCCTCGATTAGAAAGAAAAGAGAAAGAACCCACGTATGTCACTTACGTCCTTGCACTGGTGAAGAATAGCCAACATTGGTACCATATCCTAGGGACGTGCCGCTACGATGTCGCAGCCTCCAGTTGACCAAGTACGAGCTAACGGAAATACCGAGGGTATTTCTAGCGGGACGTCAAACAGAATTGAGACCAGTGAATCCGAGAGCGCTCCTATCGACACGGTGCACTTTGGCATTTTCCATGACCAAGTTCAAAACGAAGTGCAGAAGCTTCAGAGCAGCGTATCAGTCATTAACGGCGCGGTTGGTGAACTTTCCAAGACGTTCAGCAAATACGGAAATATCGTCACGACTGTGGGCGAACGCTACGAAAAAGACCAAGAGCTCGAGGAAAAGATTCAGGAATTGGAGGTCACCAACAATAGAATATGGAAGAACATCCTGCAGGACCGAGCCAAGTACGACAAAAATATGGCCGACCAGGAGAGAGAATATGAGGGAAAGCTATCGACGCTTCAAGCGCAGGCGGATGCAGGGGAGCAGGAGAAACGGAAATACGTAGAAATGGAAAGACAGCTAGAAGAACAACATAGCAAAGCCAAGCAAAAGATGAGCAGAGATCTCCAGAAAAAAATGATTCAGCTAGAAAGTGAAAATGCTGAGAGAATCACAAATCTGGAAAAAGAGAAAACGGAGCTCCAGAGTGACAAAGCAAGGGTGAGACAGGAGCTGGTTCAAAGGACTCAAGAGCTTGATGGGGAAAAGGAACTTCGTGAAACGATGCAGACCAAACTACGGGCTGACGTTAAAGCACTGGAGAAGGCACTTACCGATATCAAAGCGAAATACGAAGTTGAACAGCGGCCATCACAGTTCTAGTAAGACATTCGTCTCCTCTTTTCTCCAGTCACGGCTTTTTGCTGACGGATGACCGATAGCGAGGGTCGATACAAAGGCGTGATCGACCAAGTTGGCCATATAGCGACTTCATACTTCACAGAGCTTTCGGAAAAAGCAATCGATGTGAGTCACACAGTTGGACACGAACGTCTGGTCGTATGTTGTGCTTGGTATTCATCTTACACGTGATCGTATAGGACCCGGTCGGTACGTCCAGTCGATTGAAGCGGAAAGTGTACAATTTTGCAAAAATCCCTATTATGATCTCTGAGTGCTCCCGGGTTCTCCGACTGGCTTACGCCCAACACATCATCTTTGGCGTTCTCTGTGGGTCCGTGTGGCAACCGATGTTCTCCCCGTATCTCTGGGTCAATAAGAAAGATAAATCGTCTGTTCTCCAAGAGATTTACTCGCATCTAGCGGCTGAAGGAGAGGATTTTCAGCATAATTGGAAGGTTTCCACATTGAAGATATTGGATCAGCTGGACGAAAAAGTGGACGTGGGAAGGTTGATGGATGAGCTGATTGATCAAGTTGTCAGTGCTACAGAGCCATTGCTAGACCGTGATCAAATCGACTCGTTCAGAGATAACTTGAAGGTCTTGTTCACCGATGCTATGGAATTAGCTCGAACAGCACAGCAGGACCGATTCCCAGTATGTGTTGAGACAACTCCATCTGTGAACGACCGAACGGGCTGGACAGAGTACTCGAACGAGGAGTTTGATGTGGCCGACGAGTTGCCACGGTCCCCTACCTCGGATGTCTATGGTGAATCACTGTTTGTAAGTCCAAAAATAGTGCGCCGGGGTGTGAGGGTGGCACCGGCTGCGAAATCACCAACGTTGGTCACAGCCACAGCAGGCACAGCAGAGCTTGAGGTAATTCAAGCAGGAGTTGCCCTGTTCCCAGATACTGGCATCTTCCAACAGGGAGAGATGGAATGGCAAACAATCCGAGGGGCGGGGAAAGAGGCAGCCAAGAATATTTACGGCAAAGGGAGAAGGTCCAGTACAACTACAAATGGGACGACGGGCTCAAGGATTTTATCAGACTCGCCGGTAGAGCCGTCTAAGAGGTGGTCACGGCAGGGAACACAAGAATTTAACTAGGCTGGCTGGCTGGCTGTTGAGAGAGTAGTCATAGGTGAAGGGGGAGGAAAGCTCACGGGAGGTTTAACTTAGGCAAGGATGGTCCCGGCAGATTACGCAATTTGGTATCTAGGTGAATATGGCTATGGACATTCGACGGCACGATACATACAAATGCTCGACCTCGATCCTGACCTTGAAGCGTAGGGACCATCTACTACCCAACATCCCTCTCTGCCACCGCTTCACTCGCGTGGCCACTCAGGCCGAGGGGCCAAAGCAACCTCTAACGCTCTCGCTAAGCCCGCCTCAAACCGAGTAAGTTTGGTGGAGGTCAAATGTCAATTTACATACACTTTTGTGAACCAGATCGAGGACTCGTAAATCGATTTGAGGGAGTATTTGGTTTATTCGAATGGTATCCTGATAATCAAGTATCAGCTTGACATTACCGTAAACGCTCCCCTCGGACATACATCTTTTATCACTTTTATCATTTTGATCCAAATTCCCCGCTCCAACTCAATCTCGGTCTCGAGAGCCGATTGATGTGTTGTCATGTGGATCTCGATCGGTCTACTCGCAGCATGTCAAATGCCATTCCCTTTCTCATTGGGTTTCTTGTTCGATAGGCTTCTCGAGATGCCCATTAGATCACCTCGGCATTGCCACGTCACGTCGGACCAGATGAAAACTCTCGACGAACGACAACTGTCAGATGCGCTGCCGGTATCAAGTACTCCATGTATCTTCGATATCTACCTAACCTTGAAGTCAATTGAACTTGACCAGCTTGGTCGTGTACATACTTACAACATCGTATCGAATGAGCAATTATTGAAGCTGGGACAGTGATATTCTTGATTCTACAGTTTCCAACCTTCGGCTTTTTGATAATACCCACCTCACCATTCTCTGGAGGTGGCCATCGGGTACAACTCCCATCTAATATACAATGGCAGACTCAAACCCTTCTCCATTGACTCCTTTAATCGCCGAACTCACTCAAGTAGCTGCAACTTATGTTCCCAGCACGTCTCACGATGCAGCATCACAGGCTCCCAAGGCAGCGTTAATTAATCTGGCCAAGAAGATCCAATACTCGTTGATGGATCCCGGTCAAATGGTCCAGGCTCATTCATTGCAAATGGCCGAGCAAGTGTCTATCCGCACCTTGTTGGAGTTGAAAGTATTTGAACAGTTTCCCGAGGAAGGCCAGACGATCAGCGTGCAAGCATTAAGCGATAAGACCGGGGTTCAAGCCGCTCTTCTTGGTACGTATGATATGCACCAGGATGAGAATCGCCAGAGATCCGATGCTGCCCTACCTAACCCTTAATGTCATGCATCTCCTATTTCAAGGTAACCATCATCCACTGACATAACTTACCATCCCTCAGAACGCCTCCTTCGCCCGCTAGCTGGCTCCGGCTTTCTCACACAGTCTCCTGATGGCACATTCGGAGCCACCAAGTTTTCCACCGCATATACTTCCTTCCCCGGTCTGTTCTTCACTCTCATGTTCGACCACTTTCTCCAACCCATGACCGATCTCCCCGCCTACATCAAAAAACATGGTCCCGTGGAACCCACCTCATTCTACGTGAATCCATACTCCGAATATCACAATTCCGCCGATTCAGGCCTCACCACTTGGGAAATCATGTCCAAGGACCCCGAGAAGCTCAAAACTTTTCAAATCGGTCTTACTACCGGCGACGCTATGGTTCCTGTTGTTGGTTATTATGATTTCAATCAGTTAGCCTTGACAGATGAGGAGATCCAACAGACTCCCGACCGGGTGAGTCTCGTGGATATTGGCGGTGGGGTGGGTAATGTAGTGAAACGGATTCTCGATGCGTCACCAAGCCTTGACCCTAAGAATATTGTCCTGGAGGATCTGGCACCGATCCTCGAAATGTCAGAAAAAGAAAATGTTGCGCCAGAAGGTGTGAGGAAAGTTGTTCATGATTTTTGGACACCACAGCCCATTCAAGGTAAGCCACAACGCATCAGCTTAGGATCTTTTACTCACGTTCTTTTCTCTTCCTCTTTTCGCACAGGCGCAAAAGCATATTACTTCCGTCGTGTCTTCCACGACTACAGCGACGAACTCTGCGCCAAAGCACTCAAACAGATAATCCCCGTTTTAGCACCAGACTCGCGAATCCTTGTGGCCGACATGCTTTTACCAGAGATCATGACGGAGAAGGAGTCCCACACGGCTGCTCTGGATGTTGCAGTTATGGTTATGGGAGGAAAAGAGAGGACAGAGGCTAACTTTCGAACGTTATTTGATAGTGTTGGATTGGAGGTTGTGGCGATTCATCGAGCTTCAGGTGTGGCGGCGGGGTTGGTTGAAGGGAAACTGAAGACGAGTGAGTAGGTAGAATTACTTAGACTAGTGAGGGCATATTGAGCAAGACCTTCTTTGTCATTTCTCTGCTGCTAGACCTGACCTGGCTTGAAATGGATGAGAGGGGGGCGCAGCTTCTGAGCCACGCGAGGCAAGTGAAGGGAACGTTCTACAGCAGATGAGGCGACCATTGTGCTACGCCGTGAATGCATCAACCCGTCAAGCCAGTTGTCTAGAACCAACAATTTCAGACCTGTTCTCATCTGCCTCCTCAGCCTAGTCAATGTCATGCCTGTCTATGACTAGGGCCTAACAAAAGTAAATCCCTCACTGGTTCATGACCCATACAACAACGCATACACGACAAGTATGTCTCAATTTAGAGGGATCATCTCTCGTGGGTGTTCTGATTCCCCTGATGGCTGTCTTTATACCCTTTATACTACACCGGACCAAAGTATTTTGTAAGGAAAACTGTCTCATATGGACTGTTTGCTCGGTGCAATCAAATCATTCGTTGCTTTCGCTTTTTCTTTGTTGCTTATGACCGAAGTTCTAGGTTCCAATCCCCTTCCATGATACTGCGAAACGTCATCTTGATTTCTTCACATCCATTGCGATCATAAGTACAGGTCCCGCCTTAGTCGTCACTTCAAGTAGACTATCTGTCCCACTTAACACGTTAGCTTGTTGTTAGTACAGCGTGAACTGCCTAACCCGGATATTTCTCGCCTGTCTTTCGAGAAAGAGGGACCGAGAGAGTCAGAGACCGTTGATTTCATCATATCCTTGTAAATCATCCTCTAGCTTTCTTACTCATGGCTCAAGCGTCGTCTTCCCAGCGTCCGGGCACCGCCCCCGCTCTCATCCCTGGCTCCCGATTCCCCTGGTCCAACATCGAGGAAACACAAGCGTACCTGGAGAAGTTGGAGCGTTTGTGTCACAGAGAGAGGGTCCTACGTGCGAACAACTACGTCCTCGAACAACTTACACAGAAACAGATCACCAAGAAACTGCGCTGCATCAATTGTTTTGGTAAGAGGAATTCGAGGCTACGTTTTGATATGTGTGCATTCCCCAAGAGGCTGACATCGTGGCTTCTCTCTGCAAAGGTCGACCGGAAAGATCTTCCCATGAGCCAACTAAGACCAATGTCAATCCTTCGACCTCAGAAAAAAACGGCAATACAAATGATACAAACAGACATAGCAATCGCAAGTTGAAGATTTGCTCATATCATCCTGGCAAGCTCGCGATGCGGAGAGGAGGATCCCGACGGACTCGTCCACAGAAAGTGAGTCTATATCTTATATCATACATCCCCAGACATCTCGTGACATAAGATTCAAAGTCTAACCTATCTCTGTATAGGTCTGGTCGTGCTGCTCTTCTCCCCCGTCGGAGGCTGAATGCGTGAATCGAGATAGACATATTCTCCCAGAGCCAGATAATGTTCATATCCTCCAACACTATCACTACCACGTTGCCCCTGCTGCGTCTGGAACCACCAGCGAAGACTGCCAGACCAAAGACCCGCGACAAACTATCCCAAAAGCAAAAGCCATCGCACTGGACTGCGAAATGGGAACCTCGACGATTGGGGAACCAGAACTCATTCGCGTCACGGCCATCGACCTCTTCACCAAAAAGACCTTGATCGACAATCTCGTCTTCCCCTCCGTCCCCATGTCTCACTTCAATAGCCGCTACTCAGGCGTGACAGGCCGAGACATGGACATTGCTCGACGGACTAACACCTGTTACTACGGACGAGACAAAGCCAGAGAAGCGCTGTGGAAGTTCGTGGACGAGAATACAATCGTGGTAGCTCACAGTGGACATAATGATTTGAATTCTCTACGTTGGTTGCATTCTCGTGTCATTGACACGTTTTTGCTGGAGAGATCCCTGGATGATAAGGTGGATGGGGGAAAGTCGTTGAAGAATCTTTGTGAGAAGAAATTGGGGTTGGGTATTCAGAATGCGCGTGGTCATGATAGTTTAGAGGATGCTTTGGCGTGTCGTGAGTTGTTGAATTGGTGGGTGTTGAGGAGTCCTTGAGATGCGGAAGAGGGGGTTTGAGTTTTGAGAGCTATGGCGTGATGTGGAGACTTGAGAGGGATAGCACTTACTCGACTTTTGAGGATTGGTTGTCAAGAAAGTCAGTTGCTCCCGAAGCATGCCTGTAGTTCTCCATTCAATGAGATATTCGTGGTGTGGTCATATCAGTAGGATGCCCTTTTGTTCCCATGAGTATCACGTGAGACAACCCTCACAGGGCTGGCACTTTTCAGGGGTAGAAAGTGTTTTGGGCGCTGGGATGACAGTCTTGAAAATGATTGTGGATTTTTTCTATTGCGGTAAGTCTATTACGAACTAGACGGGGCTTTGGTCTCATCAGATTTATTTAGCAAATCCATGTTCCTTTAGACGCCCAAAGCAGAATGTAAGTCCGCCGCAGCAACAACATCGGCAGGTCGGCGTTAGTGCTCAGGAGTGGCACAGCCTTGTGTGGTACCAACTACATCTCTTTTCTTGCTCAATGTCACAAGGAGGGAAACTTTGCTCGAAAGTAGGAAAGAAAGTCATCTTGGCAGTCTGGTTATTTGAATCTAACCTGTGGGATGCATGCAGCCTCAGAGAAGGGTAACTGTACCCACAAAGTCAAGAGATTGCCTTGCAGCTGCTCATTTTCTCACGAGTGTAACTTCGTCGATGGCGAGTCCTCAGAACATAGCCCTCGAGAAACGAGTGTCAAAACTGAACTCCTTGATCCATCCTCAACAAACATCATCTCATAACTCAAAATGCAAGACGGCACTAGTTCCTGGATTTATGGACGGCGATGGATACCAATCAGGTCAGGATGGGGTTGCTTCAGCAAGACGCACTGGTACCCTGTGGACGAATACTACCGCACACGAGACTCTCGAATGAATCGATCCTTCTTCAGGCTGATGGGCATCATGCCTGTCTTGCAAGAGCCTCGAATCGACTACGTCGTCTTCGATCCATGGGATCCATACTGGTACGGAGGAGGACGGCGACTTCCCCTACCTGTCCCTCGCGGGGGAGGAGATTGGACCGGTTGGAGACCTTGGGACATGACGGACCCCATGATTGCAGCCGACCTCGAAGAATGGATGGAATGGAGAGCACAAAGACATCGAGAGGAGTTTGCCCGAATTGACGGTGAGGTGGCAGAGATTAGTAATTGGCATCCGGTTTACTACGACGATATGTTAGAAGGAGGACCCCCGAGAAGAATCCAAGTCCGAGAAGGTCCTGATATAGGTCGAATACGTCAACTCCGAAGAGAGCTTGCTGAAATGGAGCAACACAGAGCTGACCTTGATCGATATGAGTTAAGAGGAGATCGGCGGGGAAGATTTGATCGATGGTAAGAATGATGAAGGGGAATCCATTGGATTTCCAAGCCAGCGGAGAAGAGCGATTAAGGGAGCGGGAGCGGGAGGGGCGAGGGGAAGGAGCCGTCATGGCATGGAAGGAACTCCTATGGATGCGGGGCGGAAGGTACGAAAGTTACCACCTACATCTGGCAGGAGCAACCGCGAACAACCGAAGGGCGCAACGGAAGGCGCAGAACCAAGAAGTCTATAGCGACTTCCCACAATTACTGTTCAATTTATCATTTCTGTCTTCTCACTTCATCCTCAACTACTGATCTTCTCACACGTCTCACACAACATCAAGACCTCATTTCTGAATACCCAACCCCTGAAAATGGCCCCCAAACAGGTAGTTGAGTCCGACAAGGGCTTGAAATCCCCACTTCTAAGCCAAGCCATTGTTCACAATGGCACGGTCTACGTCAGTGGGAATGTAGGTCTGGATATTGCTGCCAACAAGATCGTCGAAGGCAGCACCTATGACCGTTCGGTGCAAGCTTTGAAAAACATTGAAGTTGTCCTCCAAGAAGCGGGCAGCAGTTTGTCAAACCTAGTCAAGGTCAAACACCATCAAACCGTCATAGAGGATATTCTCTGACTTCTTTAAAAGGTCAACATCTACATTACAAGCATGGAGAACTACGCGGCCGTCAACAAAGCCTGTGCGTTATGGTCCCGTCCTCCATCTTCTTTGCATTCCATCGATTAACCGAAAACAGACCTGGAACTCATTCCAGACCCAAAACCCGCACGGACCTGTGTGGCCGTCAAAGAACTGCCTTTCGGCACCGACGTGAGCTTCATGCCAGTTCAGAGCAGTATGCCTGACTAACAAGTGCAGGTTGAGATTGAAGCCATTGCTCATTTGTGAGGCGCGATCCTCCTGCAACGCACAACCAAGTACCTTGCTCATGCGCAAAATAGAGGCCAAAACCAAGGATCTAAGCTTTGAATGTTAGCTTCAACTATCCTCCATTCTAGACATTTTACATATCTTTGTCATATATCTTCACTTCCCAGAACGGTGAGCAAGTACCCGTTGTTGCATTCTGGCCTGGATGATTGCAGACTCAAAACCACTTTCGAACAAAGAGTAACATATTTCATAACTTCACCAAAACAAACCCATCTGCTTTTCTTCTCTTCATTGTTCCGGATGCAGCCGCCAGATCGTGCTTCCCTCCTCGTCCTCCTTCCTCCTTCATCACACTTATACTTATCTCATGATCCATTTCTGCCATTCCATTTGTTCTTCTGCCCAAAACTCCCGAGTGCAGACTGACCATAGCTTCCCACTTCTCAACCTATTCCTTTCCCTCCCAACCCCGTCGTCATGACAACCCCGTCACGACACTTGACTAGACGCACCGTCAAGGAAGGCCTTGACACCTTGGACCCCATACGAGATGACCCAGACAAACCAGACAAGGACCAACAAGCAGTCCCGCAGGATACTCGTAGAGCGAGTACAACCCAACCAGAAAATCCGCCTGCAACAACCGAAGATCCACCCAAGACGCCTGCAGCAAAAAAAGCAACCCCGAGGGCAAAGACTCCACGAGTGACCAGATCTCATACACCTACAACAGCTCGTACAGCCAAAACTACTAGAGTTAGAAAGGCGACTCCAGCTCAGGAGAAGTCACCACGTCGCTTGCCCAAGATCACAGAGAGCGACGAGTCTTTCGAACCAGACCCTGAACCGAAGAAGAAGCGGCGCTCTCAGGACCCAACTTACAAACCCTCAAAAGTCGAAAGCCAAGATAGTGAAGACGTCCAAAAGACCAAGACCGACAAGACCAATCAGCGGAAGAAAGGCAGATCTTCCACTCCAAAGCGACCACTACCTGCGCAGGCAACGACAGATCATGGCGACGACAATACCACGCGCCAACAGTCTGTGATGGAATCCATCGAGCACGACGAGCCAGATGCTACCCCGGACCACCCAACCCATAGTCATAGATCAAAGAATACCCCGAATGACCCCGAAGATGATGATAGCGCCTCAGAACCAATGGACACTGAAGATTCAGATGCATTCGATCTACCAAGCCTTCCGCCCAGACCACGCCGTCCACGTCCTGATCAATGGTTCCATAGGCAAGCAGAGTTTGAAAACCTCGGTGGGGAGGTTCCCTTGAAGAGTGCGCTGAAAAGACCTGCTGAAGAAAGGGGCGAAGAACCAAGGGAACCCAAATCAAAGAAAGTTCGCGTTACAACTCCTCTCAAGTCGCCAGAGTGGCAGCGGGTGTACCTATCTCCCGATCCACTCAGCTCCGCCACAGACTCTCTCTTTGGAGAGATCTTGAGCACGCCTAGACGGTTAGAGATTGCTCATATCGGGGCTCTCTTTGTCCAGCTGCAAGAAGACACCCAGAGGCTTGCACAAAAGCATTTCTACTACGATCTGACCGAAGAAGAAGAAAAAGCCTGGCCATTGGAGCTGTTGAAGTGGCACCACAAAGCTTTGATGAAATCTGCAGCATTTCTCGTCGATGGAGACAAGATCGGCTGGCGCAACCTCTTTACCAAAAAGGAACATCGGATACCACTCATCATGGCCATCATTGCTCACATGTTGAACGAGCAAATCTTCAAACACACGGCATTTTCATTCACTGAAACAACAGGTCTTGACCAGCTCCAATATATTGACGAAAAATATATTCATTACGACGCCTTCATCCGTGGGAAGCATCGCGCCAATCTTCTCGCGGACTTGATGGCCAGACGCAGTTTTCCCGTTGATCACCAGGAAGGCTTGATCACGGCTTCGCAAGCGTTGGTCAACTCTATCTACGCCCTGTTGGAACCCCTCCTCCCTCCTCATCTGTTCAGCCCATCGCGGTCAAAAACGACGAATACGTTAGACCTTCGTCGTCCCTGGTGGCAAGACCCCACTGGTCGCCTCAACAAATTGGACGCCTATGAACATGAGCGCGCGTCCTTCTATCGACAGGAGATTCTCTTTGATTTAAAGTCTCTCGTCCAAAAGTCCGTCGCACTCCACTTGTGTATCCGCCTGACAGCCTCTGATGGCACGGTGATCAAAATCACCCGAAATCCCGGCAAAGGCAGCCCATATGTCGAAGACGGGCCTCAAATCCTAGTCAACAGCCAGTGGTGTCAGTCTGAACCTCGAGACACCCACGAAGAGCTCATTGTCAAGATGAACTGCTGGCCACGCGTCGAAGCATATGTGCCTCATGGCTTGAATCTCGAGGAATACGAGCAAGCGTACAAACACCACTTGGAGTCCGGTGTGCGCGGAGGATCCAGCGATGAGAACTCATTCAAAGATCTCGAAGACTGGTTCGAATCATACCGGTCAGAATTGCCATTCCTCCCACCGGAGCTCCAAACCGATCCCGAAACCGGTGTGCCCGCACCTGTCACACCCGGTACCGAATGGGACTATCGACTAGCCCTCCAAGCCGCACGCTCTGGCTCTTCTAAACCCAGAGACGACGAGGATCCGCCCACTGACTTCACCACCAAACACCCCAACTCCGGACCCCAGCGCGGCTCCTACGTGACATACTACCCTGCCATTGCACCCGCCCGCGTCTACTGCAACTGGGACGTTCCGGATCGTCTGACCCAACCTCTTGATGCAGCGGTCGACGAAATCCGACAATCATCCATCCGCTTTTCCATCGAAGACTTCGCCATCAATAACATCAACGGCGCGTCATATATGATCTACCGCTCCGGGTTCGACGAACAATGGCCCTGGTGGGTCGGCAGCGCATTGATCGCCCTGACCTGGTACCTGTATCCCGCTGGAGGTAGCGCACAACTTCGAAAAGACGTCGTGGAGAAACTCCTCTGGATGCCAGGCGGGATGAGGGCGCTGAAAGCGGCAAGTCGGGGGGTTGATTCCATTCGTCAATATGTCGAGAATGAGCAGCAGACAATGGAAAGTCTTCGACATGTTGTTCTCCATCCGTCGACGGTGGGTGCTGCGGTGATCAAGTCGGCGACTGGGGCGACGGACTCGGCGGCCGCGAAGATGTCGCAGTCGGCCATGTCGGTGACGCTGAATCTGGCGGATTTGGCGTCGAGGTCCACGAAGAAGAATGTTTCGAGGGCGTCGAAGTCGGTTCGTTGAGACTGAAGGGGTGGAGGAGGGTTTGAGAAGGTTAGAGGTTTTTCAAGTGCTGCCAAGGGGAATGGAGAGGAATCGAGTGTGCTGAGCCTAAGATTGAATGAAGATTGAAGCAGCTTTCTTCGGAATGGACTAATGGTTTCCCTACCCTAGAGACATTGGATATTGATCCCCAGGAACTGACCAAGGTGTGAACGAGACATACTTAGTTTACTCTTGGTAGGATGGCTAGGTCGGCCACCAATGAAATTAGTTACATGCATCCCTTTCTATGGACTAAACAAGAAACATTTCTGCCCTAATGGCCCATGTCATGACTCTATCCTCGCTTTGTCAAGGAATAGCAATCCCACCCAAATAAAGGCGAGGACCTCTTGTCGATGGAGTCCAAGACCAGGCACTTTGATTTGAAATCGATAATGACGTCTCTCCTTCCCCGGAATACTCGTTCACAAAATACCCAATTGTGAAATTCATAAAATTGCAGTGTGCGACCCAATAAGCTCTGATAGTAAAGGCGTGCGAGATCCAAGGGCCAGGACAGCCCAGCACCACGGCCGTCCGATCTGGGGGACCCAATAGTCGATCAGCAACATGTCGGGTCTCTGGTGCTAAAGCTTCCTCAAACACCACAATGGTTTGATCTGCTCGACGAAGTTCAGTGGAGGCAGAAATCATTTGTGATTCTTAGCTCCATCCTGTGCCACTGAGGCAGCCACGATATCCCGCACCATGCCCTCAAGACAGTTCACAGCTCCCAGAACTTTCAGATGTGCCATCTCCGCTCTGGCAGCTTCCACTTTTGCCTGTTCCATGGCCTTCTCCGCGTCACGTGCCGCTCCGACAACTTCAACCATGGCCTTGCTGAGATCGATCATTTGTTCTTTGCGCGAGAGGACCGTTTCAACGCGTGCCATGCTGAGCAAGTGATGCGTCAAGGATGTTGCAGAGCGGAGGGAAGATGTGGCGACAGAGTCATGGTTGGATGGTGAACTAAGAGCGTGGGGCATCGTCAGCGTTGAGCGAGGAGATCCAACATCTGCTGTTGTTATACCAGCGGTAAATGGCGTGACCGGACTCGCAAATGGGATGCGGAACTTGGAACGCATGGATTTCTGACCATCGCTCTGGGTCTCACCGTTGGATGGAGGAATAACCAAGTTACCAACGATCCTGGCATTGGCATTGGCGTTTGTTTGGTCGCGTGACATATCGGTGAGGATAACTTTTCGAGATCCATTGCCTGGCACCTGATTCCGAGAATCTGGAATACTGGGTCCTCCGCGAACACGCAAGCCAGTGCGATCGGGAGCCGAGTCAACAGATCGCTTATGGAAAAGTCCACGAATATTTGACATGACCTTGTTGGTTGATGAAGGGCTGTGTTGTTGTCTACTTGCAACTCGTGGCTTGGTAGCAATCCCTGGGCTGATGCTCTGTGAAAAGGTCTTGACATTCTTTGGCTGTCCAAGACTCTCTGCTGGAATCGCGTGTGCTCTCTCGGCAGCCTTGATGGCAACACTTTTCGACTTGGAAGTTCCTGGAGCAGAAACAATGATTGGTGGTGGCTTTGGCTTTCGTGACGAGGAACGAGGTGGGAAGTTCACCTTCGATCGGGAGCTTCCAGTTGCATTGGAAGCGGCATCATGAGACACATAGTCATTGAGGTATTGTTCTTGATTGAGCTTTCCCTCGTTCTGGTCCTGGTACAGGAATGGCGAGATCTCCGCGCTTGGTGCGCCGCGCTTGACGATTGTAGATCGACGCGACGCAGATGATGCAGTCAAAGGGGGTTGTTCAAGTTCAGTTGCTTCTTTCGCTTCAGCTACCGAAGAAGGCTCGTTGGTAAGAGCGGGAAACGTTGTCGAAGGCTGTTTGAACTGAGCAAAATCCTTGCCAGGCCAATCACCGTGGTTGTATGTGTCGCTACGTCGTTCAGTAGAGGCACGATCCTTGTCAGAACCACCGTCATGACCTGCTTCTTCCTTATCATGATCGCCATGGTCTGGTGTTTTCTTGACAGTACCACTGCTTGAGGTTGTGGAGAATCGAGAATCCGAGGTGTTGCTCTGCCATGCAGAGTCGGGGATGAGCTGCTGAGTCTCCTCATGATTGTAACTCTTGGTAACGATAGAAGATGTCTCCTCAGAATCACGGGTGATGGACAGACGTCTTGATGCAACGTTGTTGGACGTCTCCTCGACAAGCTCACGGCTGTCAGATCCATCGATCAGGCTGCCCTGACCATCAGATGGTGCACTCACTTGATCGTCTCCTAGAAGGATTTTGCTTGCTGAATCAGCGATACGAAGAATTGGGCCATCTTTACCATTGTTTCTGATCTTCTTGATACGGAATCCACCGTGTTCATCATAGCCGCGGGTGGAAGCCAAGGAGCCGTCGCTGTCAAAGCCAGATAGGTCCTCTGGCAAAGGAGACGACAACATTTCTTTCGCCGAAATTTTCTCGCTCTGATTTTTGACGATATTTGCGTGAGAGGCTGCTACTTCTGATCCAGCTAGTTCTGCCATGTATGGTTGCGACAGCAGAAGTGACGATTCAGGAGAGTACTTTTGGCGATCATACTCGTCGGCTTCCAGTGCGGCAGGAAAATTCTTGCTGGAGTTTCGAGTTGAAGTGGTTTTATGCTGCTTCTCAATCTTGCTTGCTTGCTGAGCGAGGCGGGCTGGCAACGGAATGGAACTCTTGCGTGAAGCTTGATCGATAGACGTATTAACAGATAGCTTGTCTGTGTCTCCAGAAGAAATGCGACTCGGAGAATTATGTTCTTCTGAACCGGAAGTCTGTCTCTGGATGGGATGCGAGCGTGAAGTCATAGCGTAGGGTGATCCTCGTGGAGTAACCCCGTATCGGCCATGAGACTGCGTGCGTAGATGGGTGGCATTGTTGTCAGGAGTCGGAGATACCGAGTCTTGAACAAATTGGGGAACCTGAGTGTCTCCAGTCTCCTGCTTTGATTTCTCGGTGGAAGGCCAGGTTTTCTTGCCAATTCCTAAACGAATCGAGGATGTCTTGGTTTGTCGGACGACGGGGGGCTCACGGCGACGGGAAAGTGACTTCACCATCGAGTCCCTTGGTTTTGGCAATTGGCCTGATGACAAAGGGCGAGAGCCGCTGCTGGAGGCCGTGGCAGGACCGGCAGTCACTCCATGATCGCGCTTCGAGGTGTTTGGGGTATCGACATCGGAGGCAAAGGTGATTGACCGCTTATCATCATCGAGATTCAGATCACGCAGTCCGTTCATCAAACTTTCGCTCAAGCTCGGCTTGGTGGCGGAGGTTGGATGCTTGGGATTGCCCGAACGGATTGGGATAGCAGACATCGTAGGCCAGTCTTCTTCGTGGGACGGACCACCCTCACGTGGAGAGATGGAACGGCGGAGGGGACGTTCGATACAGTCAATGAGAGATCTTCGGGCAGGAGATGTGTGGTCGTCAAAGTCGACGACTGGCAAACTCGGCAAGGGTTTGTCTTGTGGGCTGTGGCCACTTGAGAAAGACCCGCTTGCAGGGTTGAAAGGGTTGATATCAGGTGGAAAGATTGGTTCAGGCTATTGACACAATTAGAGAGTGATCTGGAAGCGGAATCTAGGTTGACGAACTTGGTTTGATGCAAAGCGATCGTCAGGCTTGGGGGATGGGCTGGTCTCTGATTTCTTCAGTCCCAGCTTTCTAATGCCTAGTCGTCTAGTGGCGCTACTCATCCATGGGACTGACTTGTTGGGTCTGGTCAAGGCCATGATCAGAGGAGAAGATTTAAACCACACAGGAGTTTTGTCTCGGATTCTTGGAGTCAGCGCAGACCCAGAACCAGACGCAGAATCATGTGAGGGGCAATGATGGCTGGGATGCGTCTGGAAACGAATGGCATGTGGCCTTCCACCATTGTGGCTGTCAAGTAACCCGGCTGTGTCGCAGAATGCGCTCTGATCAGCCATGATAGCAGTGGGCTCGGCAATGACTATGCAGGGTTGTAAGGCCGCGGTCTTCTCTGAGCGTGTGAGAAAGAGGCGCGGTCTTCTCTGAGCGTGTGAGAAAGAGGCGCGGTGCTCTCTGAGTCTGTGAGAAAGAGGCGCGGTCTTCTCTGAGTCTGTGAGAAAGAGGCGCGGTTCTCTCAGAGTCTGTGAGAAAGAGGCGCGGTTCTCTCAGAGTCTGTGAGAAAGAGGCACGGTCTTCTCTGAGCCTGTGAGAATGAGACGCGGTCTTCTCTGAGCCTGATCTGAATATATGTTTTTTTGTTGGGTGCGGCAGAAAGGAGTGATGAATGAGGGGCGGCCAGATATTTTGTTGACAGTGCGATTAGTGAAAGCCGCCATTCACTTAACTTAAGGTCTATGGTGAAGTTCGCGCCTTGCGTTGAATGTTACTTCACTGATTGAACCTGCGCAAACGAAACCCTCATTCTGTGTCTATTCCATGGCGTTCATTCAATCATTAGTGGAGGAGACATGTTGCTGTCCTGTCTGGATCCCATGAGTCACTCATTTTCACCCTCATCCTTAATGTCATCGCTGCCAGCACCAGCCCTCTTCCGTTTGGCTATCTCATACTGATCCATATTAGGCTCCTTCCATTCCGAACCACCATAGTCTTCATCAGTCAAACGCTTGGCCGGATCAATGTGAATTCCTTGAGCATCTGCAAGCCGCTCCAATCTACGTTGTTCCCGTAGAATCTCCCTCAGATATTCGGTAGTCTTGCCCAGCATGACCTGTTCGCTCCTCTCTTGACCAAGAGCGCCAGGGACGAGGGTAGAAAGTTCTGTAAATCTCTCACGGATGGCAGTTCGTCGCTTATTCTCTGCATCTTTGTGATTGAAGTTCTTTTGTGAGGCTGTCAGACGTGGTTTGGTAGACTTTGACGACTTCTTAGATGAGCCATTGGTGGGCTTTGTGGATTGAGTTTCTGATTCGACGGATGTACCTCTAGACGATGCCGCCGATTCGGAAGCCTCATTCTTCGACATATTGAGAGGAATGAGGCCAGAGGGTGTTGAGTTGGCGAAGGCTGTCTGCCTTTCTTGGTTGAATGATGAGCTGCTAACAGTGGTGGTCTCGGGGGTCGTTTTGATGTTCAAAGCGCGGCCTGGCGCCAAGATAAAAGATCAGAGCTAAATGAGTGTTGCAATATACCTGATTGACAGTAAAATGATGTGAAGAATATTTTGAAGCTGATCAAATCCAGTTGGCATCAAGTCAGTGAAGTCAAGATTGAAGAACTGACGTCTGTCCAATTCGCTCCTGCCCAGTCCAAAAATGACGGCCGAACCTTCCCTTTGAACAAGACAAGCCTTTTACTAACCACTTAGCGCCTCGGAAATAAGCGAGGTGCAGATCTTTAAGTGCGAAATCGTATGATGATTATGTAAATATGTACTCACGGACTTCAACTTCTCCATCTTTCATCACTTCACTTCACTCTCGCTTGACACCCCAGTGCATCCCCCACATTGTATACCTCCTTTATGGGGTTGATGCCAATCATTTCCCAAACACCTAGCCTTCATACTCTCAGTCACCGTGTATAATACTCCCTCTGTCAAGATGAGCCGGCTACGACCCCTCCGTGGTGCCTGCAACTGCGGACGAAACCATTATTCCATCGAATTGCCTGAAGATGCTACAGAGCAAGCACAAGTCTATTTTGACGATAGCAGCGACAGCAGTAATTATGAACCCCAGCCTTGATCCAACTCCCCCAGGCGCCTACCCAGACTAACCTTTTTTTTCCTCCTCTAGGACGAAGTCAAGCCACGCCCATAACCGCATGGCTCCGAATCCCTCTTCCGTGGTTCTCATCCTCCACTCAAGCTCTTTTCCCCGACGAAACACATCACTCGATTCGAAAAATCTTCACTCCACTGCATGCTCCGCACTGCAAGAGGGTCTTTTGTGGTTATTGCGGGACGCATATTTCTTTGTGGTCTGAACAACCTCCTTCAGAAGCCGATTTCTTGAAAGTCACGCTCGGAAGTCTGTTAAGTGAAGATCTCCAGGCTTTGCAAGACTTGGATCTTTTACCTGAAGATCTGGACGCTGAGACTCTTCACCCACGGTCACAGATCAGCGACTCTGGCTCGGTGCTCCCCGCTGTAAATGAGCAACTTCAAACTCAGACATGGAAAAGCGGGAGCACGACCGGTATGTCGTGGTTCGTGGAGATGATTGAAAGTAATAGACCCGGTCGGGCTGGCGTCAGGCAAAATACGCGGCGTGGCCATGGCGTCAGTGCAGATGGAACGACAAGCGTGGAGTGGGAGATTTCGGAATATACAAACGACGATGCCGACGATGCCACTCTCTCGGCCTCGGCTGGGTCAAAGCGGAAACTTGACGAGTCCGCAGTCAGTGAAGGGCAGGACGTGAATATGAAAGAATAAGTTGTCGATGGTCACCTGTAAAATAATTTAGAATCAAGAAGCAAAAGAAGACCAGATGCATAGTCTGCGTTTGGCATGCAGTGCTCTGGAGTTCAGGATGAGGTGACAAAGGTTCACCTTTTGGCAAACCAGATTTGGATTAACTAAATAGAACTAATCCAAAGAAAAAGTACAATTACCTCAGACTTGGAAATTCGAGTGAAAAGATCCTGGCTGCGTAGCCCATGAATCACTGTCGATTACCGCCTCCTCTCTGGGCTTGTTACCCACCACTAGAGTTGTACAACACGCGCTAATCGAAGCGAAGTACTTTTCAATGTTTATCTATTTTCTTTCCGCCAGCTTCATAGCTTTTAACAGAGACCGATGGGCGGGCTGGCCCATACATTTATCGAAACAGTCAATCGCAACCCTATGCCTCTCTCTTGGTCAACTCCGCAGGGAGAAGCGCCACCTTGCTATCAAACAGCTCCTCTGCCTGCTTCCAAACTCTGGTGGTCTTTCTATCCTTCAAGGTAACTAGACTCGGCAGCAGAGCCGTGCTGAAAGCCTCACTGGCCTCTCGCGGCAGCAAACTGGGTAAATGGTCGATGGAGATGACTGACAGAGGAGGGTTCTTGTAGCCAGGAACCTCGAGTGTAGGGTTAGAGAAGGTGCTGTTCTCCGAGTAGATGGGGACAGGGTTGTGAGGGTTGGTAGTGTCGCAGGAGACATCGCAGACCACGCTGAGGTTGCGGGAGGGAGAGGAGAGTGACTCGGCGTTGAGAAATGGAGGGATCGGGTCGGAGAGGTAAATGCAGTTGACAAAGATGTCGGACTCGACGATCTCAGTGAATGGCCCACCTTTGGCTGTCTCGGCCATATCCCACTTCAGGATGTTGGAGTCGGGGATTCCAGCCTGGGTGCAGAGATCAACGGCGCCACGACCGCAACGACCAAGGGCTCCAATCACCAGAACGCGGGGGAGGCGGCCAGACAGAGATCGGCCAGTTTCCACGGCCTTGCGAACGTCGGCGAGGAGGAGGTCTTGATTGGCATAGCTTGAGACCGAGGGGAAGGGAGTTGGTTTATCGGGGTTTTGCAGCTGGTATGCCCAGGCTTCGACTGCGAGAGCAGCGCCAGCATACCCTGCATGGTATCCAAAGGCGGCGACACGGCGACCGGTTTCGTCTTGCAGAAATTCGAGGTCGAGAAGGGTGCCACCACCGCGGGGGAAACGAGAGAGGACTTCTTGCCAGCCACCTTGGTTTTTATAGCAGTGGGCGAATTGGACGTGGGTATGCTTGAGGGGAAAGGATTCTTCAGGGAGTTCTTTGAGGCCAACAATGATGTGATCTGAAGGTGCATCGACCCAGCTGCCTTCGGGAACTAATGTTGCGCCAACGTCGGAGAACTCTGAGTCGTCGAAGATGCGCTCTGGAGAGCGTTCGACATTGATCTTGTAGCCGGCCTCGAGGAGGGCTTTGGTTGTGGAAGGAGTGACTACATGGTAGGATTTGTTAGTCAACAACTACGGAGAAGCCAGAAGACATTGGGATAGAGGGATCAGAAGGTTGAGACATGACACTAGCAGTGACATTGACTCGAGGCCGGCATGGAGTGAGGGAGTGGATCAAGGTACGGTAGACATACGTGCTGATCGATGCTCAAGAGGCTTAGACTCTGAGCGTAGATGAAGTGTTGTAGCCATGATTCTGACGGAGATAGTACCAGAGGAAATGTCGAGGTGGTCTGCGACAGAGTCAAAGTAAATGTGCAGCGTGTAGAGGGATGTGTATAAACAAGTGGAATTGTCGTAAGAGGAGGATTATGACTCTCAATTGAAAATCTGAGTGGAGAACCAAAATTTCCCCAAATCGCGCAGGCGCATGGACGGAGTTCGAGGCGGTTCCTTCCCCGTTTACAGGAAAAGGCACTGAGGTCACATGTCGACAGACAAAACATGAGGCAGCTACGGCAGCTACGGCAGATACAAGAATTGTACCTTCCTTTTTCCAGGACTATGCTCAGATTCATCTCGTGGTACCATTCCAGATGCTTAGGTGGCCTCAACAGCCCAGTTTGAACTTCTCTTCTTGATGCCTAAAATCATACACGGTAAGTCAGGGTAAATGGTCATCATATGCGTGTATGTATCTAGTTGCACCCTGCTGAGTACCAGCGATTCAATTATGCGTATTTGTCTGTACCTGATGTACCTGAAACGATCGTCCCCCGCCAAACTGTTGCTTCAACGGGAAATTTTGCACGGCTGGAGAGGCACAGGGGCAAGAGGGGGGCATTGAGGGGCAGAGTCAAGCCTAAGGCCAGTAATTAGGGGAATCAGATGCACCGCTAAAGACCGTAAGCCACGAATTGCCCACCAGTGCGTCATCTTCAACAACACGAATCTCGAAAGAATTAAAAGTAGGTGGTTTCACCAAGTCTCAGACCATACCTTTACTCCCCTTTCACAGGCCCTCAACGCAATATCACCCTGTGCGCCCTCCAGACAAGAAACATATCGGCCACAGCAAATACCAGACCCATCTCTGCCGGCCATGGCTTCATCAGATAAAGCAGGCCTCCCACCTCCCGACACACCCACAGATGCACCTCCATCATACGAAGCCACCTCGGATCCTTCACCAAACAAGAATCGAAATTCCAACACCAACACAGGACCACCAGGAACATCATCACAACCACGAAGACCTAACCTTCCACCCCCACCACCACTACAACTCCCCGCCTTAAATCTCCTCCGCGGCAAAAGAGTCGTGCTAGCATCAGCGTCGCCACGAAGACAGCAACTTCTCGCGCAAATTGGTCTGACCGACCTTGAGATCATCCCCTCCAAATTCGAAGAGAACCTCCCCAAAACACTCTCCCCATTTGACTATGTGCTGGGAACGGCATCACAAAAGGCTCTTGCCGTGTACAAATCCGAAGTCGACGACGAATCTAAATCCGAGCCCGCACTGATTATTGCAGCCGACACGATTGTGGTGACGATACATGGCGAAATCCTCGAGAAACCACGGAGCGAGGCACATCATATTGCTATGTTGAAGTCTTTGCGTGACACGGGTGTTCATAAGGTTTATACTGCCGTAACGGTGGTGAGACCTTTGGACAGTGCAAGGGATCCGGGTTATGCTATCGAGACAGCCACGGAGGAGACGACGGTTAAATTCGACCGCGATCTTTCGGACGATGTCTTGTTGGCCTATGTCCGGACGAGAGAAGGTGCTGACAAGGCTGGTGGATATGGTATTCAGGGTACTGGTGCGATCCTGGTTGAAGGTATTGAGGGCAGTTTTGACAATGTCGTTGGTCTGCCCCTTAGGGTTACTCTCAAGTTGATTGAGAGTGTTGTGGCTAAAAGTGATGATGATGAGATCCTGCCGGATGATGATTATCTGGATGTTGGTTCCGATCTCGAATAATGACGATCGATGTTGCCTTGTCATGGGAATAGCATATAGATTGAATAGCATTTGTACGGCGTTGGGTGGTCAGGACACATGAATCATCTGCCATAGACCAAAATATCAACAACAAATTCATGGTATAACAATGGACTGATATTTGTTATCATTGGTTCAGATACCAGATGTCCTCCGATTGAGGCCTATCATATACACAAATATCGGTGTCTTCACGCCAAACACGACCACTTTCTTCCTTGCTCAATCAATTCTCCATTTATTTCAAATTCTTGAGCTTGCCATCATGTCCCAAAGCAGAGATATCAGTCTTTCCAATGGTCGCATCATTCTCGCCGGCGTGCCACACTCTCTTGACAGCCTCCACCACTCCGACATCGTTGGTCTCGAATTCGTAGAAGCCAATTGCAACAACTACGGTCGCAATGTTCAATAGCCAGTCGAAGATTTTTCGCATTGTGGGGTGTTGTCGAGTTGGGATATAATCCGTGACGCAAGATCTAAAGGAAGGACGTTAGTTTGCTGACAGCCACATACAGAAAAAGACAAGAGAACTCCAGGCCACTACTCACTGGAAACCAAAGTGTGAATGGAGGATGACGGTGAAAATCAACACCGCATCCAATGTAGGGTTCAATGATCCCGATGCAAAAGGCGTAATAGTCAAGGGAATCAATCCAACGGCCAACACTCTCTCAAACGTCCAGTGATAGCTTCCATGCAGTGGGTGGGGCTTGAGGGTCGGGGCAGCGTCATTGACGGTGCCTTGGATGACCTGGGGTCCCGGAGGGAGGATGTTCCTCTGCGACGTGGTGGAAAAGGGAGCGATTCTTGAGGCAATCGACCATCGCGGTGCTGGGATCGATTTCGAGTATAAGGACGGGGTGAGTCGGAGAGCGCGAAGAGGTTGAGTGGTGCTGGAGAAGGATCGGGTCGAGGAAGCAAGTAGGTTTGCCTGTCGCAGCATCATGGTCCTCGAAGCCGCCGCCATGTCGACACACTGTTCGCCCGATGCTGCGGAATATAGGGAATCGGTGTAGACGTGTGTCGTTTGGTGATCAAAAGAGTCAACAGGTCATGAATGAAATGATGGATCCAACTGAAGCTGTTCTCCTTCCGATGCTTGGACGTCCGAGTTGCCAAGACCTTGGACCTCGGCCAATCAGAGGCAACTCATTAGACACAGCTTCCGATGGTCACGACAATGGCCCAACACCCATACGAACACTGAACACCCACACGATGCCTTAAACGCCTTAAGTTGGACCACTTGCGTTCGTGTTCCTCTGCTCTTTAATTAATGGCTGCCGTGATCCGGTTTCGGTCTAGCTATCTGCGCGTTCGATATTTCTAACAACAATAATCAAAGGTGTCAGTCGACCTACCCCCCCTTTTGGCTACCGTCAGCTCACTACCACACTCGAAAGCGCGTACTGGCCAGAGCTAGAGATGAAATACTATGCTGGCATATAACCAGTGAACGAATCCTTGAAGCATCCCAAGGCAGGCGTGCCTGTTTCTGTAGGTGTCAAGTGGGTCCTTTTTACCGAGCCTCCCGCAGTGATGTATTCGTCCAAGCCGACCGTACTCAAGTCAAGGTGAAAGCAGTTTCCAGCTGGCTATGGATGATTTGCATCGTCATATCTCCGAAGCGGGAGAGTTTCTCCAACACGCAATTGTCATCAGCCTTGTGTGTCTTGTTAACCTCGGAGTGAGGAGCTTGGAAGGGAATATCCGCAATGACTCCCTGCGGGGTTACCATTGTCCATGCCGAAGTCTATGAGTACTTTTAGTAGATACTTGGAGCAGCATGCGTTGATGACTGAATCTGTCGGCTATCTTATGCATCCTCGTTCATCTATAAGTACAGGGTCCGTTTTTGATAGCGAGTCTTCGAACCCTTGCACCTGCCGCTTTGGGCATATGCCAACTCTTTGGCTTTCTTTGTTCCACCGGACTAGTCCCTCAATCTGCCTCGTATAAGTATAAAATCTGTGATACTTTGCTTTCCTGTGCCAGAGTCCATCTTGGAAGCATATGAGGCGCAATCATGGCAAACGACAGAGTGGTTCTCATCTCAGCGAAGCCTGATGAGGACGTGTCCGTGGCAAGTGATGCTCCTCATGAAAACAAATGGTATGATGGAAGAGACTTTGACGGGTACCGGATAACGGAGCAATTGCTGTATGAGAAGCGCAAGGTGCGAGTTATTTGTGTCGGAGCCGGTGCCACAGGGATCCAATTTGCATATAAAGCCGAACGAAACTTGGAAAACGTCGATATTCAGATCTACGAAAAGAATGACGACGTTGGTGGCACGTGGCTCGAGAATCGGTACCCTGGATGTACATGTGACATTCCAAGCCACAGCTAGTGAGTGCTTTCGCAGACGTTCATCGAAGAGAATGCTGATTGTTGACAGTCAATTCACCTGGGCAAAGAATCCCAATTGGTCGCGATACTATTCTGGCTCGGAAGAGATATGGCAGTATCTCAAGGACATCGCCGTCAAGTATGATCTGGAGAAGTATGTCAAGTTCAAGACCACGGTCCAGTCAGCAACTTGGGACGAAGAAGAAGGATTGTGGCGGTTGCAGCTCATCGGCCCTGATGGAGTGGCCTTTGAGGATAGCTGCAATGTTCTGGTTAACGGATCTGGAGTATTGAAGTAAGACATTGCCTTTAGCTATGATCGCCAGATCATTCACTCACACTTGGCAGCACTTGGAAATGGCCCAACATTCCAGGATTAGAGACCTTCGAGGGGAAGCTGATGCACAGCGCAGCATGGGATGGCAATTACGACCTCAAAGGAAAGAGGGTAGCCGTCATTGGAGGTGGATCATCTTCTGTTCAGATTGTCCCTTCTATCCAACCACGTGAGCAAGTTGAACGACAGCTATGGATGTTGAATTGACTGCCTATAGACGTCTCCAAACTTTACGCATTTCTTCGGTCCCCAGTATGGATCACGACTGGTTTTGGAGCAAAGTGAGTTTCTCTTTCGCTATAGGTGATCCAATCTTACACTCGAACAGATACGCTGGGCCTGGAGGCACCAACTTTTCATGTAAGATGCCGAGATGCCTCGTATTCTATCAATGCTCCATTCTAACGATAACAACAGATTCCGAGGATCAGAAAAAAGAATGGCAAGATAATCCTGACAAGCATGCAGAGTATTGCCGAGATGTGGAAGGCGAATTGAACAAGCGTTTTACATTGGTGAGTCTCTCTTTTCTTCCTGGTCTTTGTTCACCACCTGACACTTTATAGATGCACCTGAAAGCAAAAGATCAAAAAGCCTCACGAGACCTGGTGGCGGATATCATGTCAGAGCAGCTTGGACACGACGAAAAGCTAACCAGACATATGATTCCTCCCTTTGCCTTGGGCTGTCGACGAATGACACCTGGATCTGGATATCTGCAGTCCTTGCGGGAGGAAAATGTTCAAGTGGTGCCAGAATCAGCCACTCGATTGACAAAAACTGGTATCGTTGATGAATCAGGAAAGGAGTATGAAGTTGATGTGATTATATGTGCTACAGGGTTCGACACGAGCTTTACACCACATTTCCAGGTGTATGGACGCAACCAGTCTGAGATCCATGAACAATTTGGCGACTTTCCTGTCGGATACATGGGGATTGCAGCAGAAAACTTCCCAAATCTGTTTCTGTTGATCGGACCCAATGGACCGGCGTCGCATTCGAGTATCCTCCCCATTCTGGAGTGGTATACCAGATATGTCTTCCAGGCGATTGAAAAGATCCAAACGGAGCGAATCAAAGCAATAGAGCCTAAGAAGGAGGCGATCAAGGACTTGTACAATCACACGCATGAGCTGATGAAGCGATTGGTGTGGTCTTCGGCGTGTCGATCATGGTTTAAGAATGGCAAGACTCATGGACCTGTGACGGCAATATATCCTGGAAGTCGACTACATTTCTTTGAAGTGATGAAGAACGTGAGGTGGGAGGATTATAACATTACTTATTGCTCTGACAACCGATATGCGTTTATGGGCAATGGTTATACGCACAAGGAAGTCGATCCTGATGGAGATCCAGTATGGTATTTTGATGATCCTTTCATGGGGAGGTAATGGGGGATTGGGATCGAGAGCAAGTGAAGGAAAAAATCTTGCTGTAGTTCATCTGCATTGTTATGTAGCTGTTATAATTGACCTGAGAGTTAAATAATGATGTATTTGATTCTCAGGACATATGCGACTCTCTGCTATGTATACTGGAGATATCCTCTCACCTAGAGTATAGAATTAATGCCCCAAACCACTGGGTCAACTAAGTACCTCGCTATGGGTAGCAGATACATGAATATGGTTCCATTGGCTTGAATTTTAGGTATCTCAGTAGGCATGCAGTAGGGGGTGCATTAGGCTCCTCGCCACTCCGTATGGGGTATGGAGTGCTGGGGTTAGGGGGTTAATGGAGGTTCCTTCGGGGTTGGCATCTGCTACCTCAGGATAAGCTAGGCTCTCGGGTCTACTTTTTCTTCCTCCACCATCTTCTCTATCCATCAATTATACTGTACGACACCCACATCCACACCAACACCAACACCCATACCCATACCATCTCTACGCCCTACAGCAGTGGGGTCAAAGCATGACCAATCCAACCACACCATCGCCGCCCTTCAAACTCGAAATCATTCCCCGTCCCAACCCTCCGGGCTTTTATTACTAAGTAAAGCATTTTCCGACCCATTTTGTGACCGAAGCCTCCCCTCCTCCGCCTTGGGCAAACCTTGGAGTCATCCTGCGATACGCACCTACATCCAATCTTTAATTACAGAAATCACTGCCGTTCAGGACCTCATTCGTCTCTTGAGACATGGTCCCATTGATAAACTTATCAGATTGACACCATTCACACTGCACCTGCAGTCCTCCCCGCCATGTCGAAGCGCAGTTGGCAGGATGCAAATCTGCCCTCACCTCGATCTGCACCCAGCATCCAACCAACCAACAACATCTCCGTCTCACCTCACTCATACTCGTCCCCGAATCAAACCTCCCCAAAGAAGAACCGCGCTTCATTCGACGAACCTCTTCCCATTGCTAAAGCTCCTCCAAAAATTCAACGCACCAATTCCACCCCCAATGGAGCCTCCGGTCCCGGCGCAGCACAAGACTCTGGCAAAATGCCTGGTATCTCGAGAAAGGTCAAGGCATGCGCCGCCTGCCGCAAGCAAAAGGTGAGCTCCGTCGATGTCGCCCTGCCGATAGCCATGCTAATAACCTCGATAGATTAAGTGTATCATGGTGGGCGACCCGCCGTGTCAAAGATGCAAAGAACGCGGTCTATCTTGTCGTCTGAACAAGAGCTTACAAACCCTCATGTCTGAGGATTCGAGGTGGAAGGCTGCTGTCACTAAGGATGTCACTTCTCTCTATGCTGCAGTTGAGGAGATTGTTCGCACCTTGCAACTCCCTTCTCTACCACAAATGCTCACCTCGACACAAGATCCAGCCATCTTCTTTGACCAGGAGGAGCAAGACAAGGATGACGATGACGAACAGTCGGCCGATAACTCGCCAAAGGTCACTCCTGTCGCAGACAATCTGTCTCATGTGCCGATCGAATCATTGTACCAGATCACCGGCATGCGGTCGCTGAGAGCGACCGAGAACATCACCGAAGATCAGTCACGCATATGCAAGCAGCTGCGTGACACAGATTTCATCGCTCGAGGACTTATCAAGCAAGAAGACGCCGAACATCTGGCCAATTACTTTCTCAGCAAGCTCGACCCTTATATCTGGCATCTTTGTCCTGCTTACAAGGACCTTGAGTCTTTCCGACGACGCTCCCCCACCCTCACCGCCGGTGTTCTCACAGTGGCAGCCTTGCATGATACCAAACTGGGCTATCTCTATCCGATATGTAGCAAAGAGTACCGAAGATTGGTAGCCAATGCTATGTTCGAACGCAAAATCGACATGGAATATCTCCGAGCACTGGTTCTAGGTTCCTACTGGCTCAGCGACATTTCATGGACCTTGTCTGGATACGCAATTCGCCGGGCTAGTGAGTTTCATCTTCGCCAATACTATTTACAAATCCAAGAATCAGTCAAGTCGCCTGATACGGTGGACCAGACCCAGCTGCAAGAGGCCATTGACGGGATCCGAGTCCTGTATTTGCTCTATATTTGTGACCATCATCTTTCCATTCTCTACGGCCGATCATCCATCATGCGAGACAATGAGAGTTATATCATAGGCTGGGAGAATTACCTCGCCTGTTCTCTGTCCACGGATGCTGATCGTCGCATCGCTGGACAGATCTGTTTGATGTACCTGATGAACCAAGTGCGCGAGACGCTGGGTCCAGAGGACACCAACTCTGTCCTTCCCGTATCTGCCCTCACCAAGATTGCGGGATTTGAACGAGATTTGGATGACTGGATTGCGAGATTCTCCAGACACAGTAAGTTCTGCCGTTGAGTCCTCACCGACTTCACTAATCCCCCATGTCCAGATCCTTCCCAGTTCATCGGCAACTGGCCCAATAAAGGTGCCATCATGCATTACCATTGGGCTAAACTATACCTGCAATCTTATGTCCTTCGAGGTTTGCCCGAATCCGGCGCCGTCATCCCAGATCACTTTTTGGAGAATGCTTCTGCAGCCGTCGCAGCGGCCACTGCGATTGTCAATCTCTTGCTCGAAGACAAGGACGCACAGATTGCGATATCCTATGTACCTCACCATGTTCATGGCATGATTGCATTTGCCTGCATGTTCATCCTCAAGGTTGCGACCAAGTACAGCAAACAACTGTTTCTGGACACTGTCAAGTTCCAGCGATTGATCAACGCCCTGGCGCAGCATTTCAAAAATACCGATGTTGGCAAAGACCACCTGATTCACCGCATGGCTGAAGGATTGGAAAAGATGGCAGAGACTCTTGGTGGACCCGCTCGAACGAAGAATCGAAAAGTGAACGGGGCACCAGGAGTTCCCACTTTAACATCACCGAGTGAACCACCGGCGGTCATCAACACGGCAAAGCATGAGAATGGGATTACCATGCCCAACGACATCCCTGATTATGGAGCGTTGGACCCGAATGCATTTGATTTTGGAGATCCTGCGCTGGGATTGGGAATGCCATTTTTTGATTTTGAAGGGACGACCTTGGGCTCGGGGACGGATAATTTGTGGAACTTCAACTAGTAGCGTGGCGCCCTGACAATGAAGGAGTACCAAGGTGTTGGATATATCATGTACAAATGTGCATAGGAGTAAGAATGATGATATATACATGGTAGTCAAGGAAGAATCAACATGTGGAGGGATATTAAAGAACATCGACAGACATTCAACAGTCGTCCTACACATAATCTGACCAATCAGAAAGGGGGTAAAACCAGTTGGTCTTGGCAGTATCTGACCAATAGGAGCAGTTTGCTGCTGCGAGAGGCAAGCTTCCAAAAGAAGTTGAACCAATACGACCTGCGATTCATCAAGCTCATCTCTTCACCTTTACGCACCCGTCATCTCCCTCCACCACCTTCAGTAGACTTTGAGATGGCCTCTCAACGGCTGGCGCTGAACTTTCAGCGATCTCTCCGAAGTCGCAAAGCTCTTGCCTCGATCCAGTCTCCTCTCCGACGATACGCAAATCCTATCACTCCCTCGAGAACTGAGAGCACCACTCTTTCCAATGGACTGACGGTATGAGGATTGGAGGGTATCTTTGTGACGAGCTGTACTGACAGTCGACAGATTGCAACCGAGCATTCACCATGGGCTCAGACCTCAACCGTGGGAGTTTGGATTGACGCCGGCAGCCGAGCGGAAACCGACAAAACCAATGGCACTGCTCATTTCCTCGAACATCTAGCTTTCAAGGTACGACATTACAAGAGATGGGAAAGACACGCTCGGATTCGCGAGACTGACATGTTTAGGGTACCGGCCGACGAGACCAACATCAATTGGAGCTGGAAATCGAGAATATGGGTGGCCACCTCAACGCCTACACTTCGGTAGGGACCACCACAGGTTTCAACGAGCGAAACTGACTAGTTACAAGCGTGAAAACACCGTCTACTACGCCAAATCCTTCAACTCGGACGTTCCCAAGACGGTCGACATCCTCGCCGACATTCTTCAAAATTCCAAACTCGAAGCCAAGGCCGTGGAGAGAGAACGAGATGTGATTCTGCGAGAACAAGAGGAGGTTGACAAGCAATTGGAAGAGGTTGTGTTTGATCATCTCCACGCCACCGCATACCAAGGTCAACCTTTGGGACGAACCATCTTGGGACCTCGAGAGAACATTCTCAGCATTACCCGAGAGGATTTGGTCGACTACATCAAGACCAACTACACAGCCGACCGCATCGTCCTTGTTGGAGCTGGTGGAGTGACTCACGAAGAGCTGGTTAAGCTGGCAGAGAAGCATCTTGGTGGATTGCAATCAGCTCCCCCAACACCATTTGCTGCTCAATTGGCGGCTGAACAGAAGCGAAAGCCTGATTTCATCGGATCGGAAATCCGAATTCGAGACGACACCATCCCCACCGCCAACATCGCCATTGCAGTTGAAGGTGTCAGCTGGAAGGATGATGATTACTTTACCGCATTGGTGACTCAAGCTATTGTTGGTAACTGGGACCGTGCTTTGGGCAACTCACCATATTTGGGCAGCAAACTGAGCACTTTTGTCAACGCCAACAACCTTGCCAACAGCTTCATGAGCTTCTCCACCAGCTACAGCGACACTGGGTAAGTGGATATGTTTGTGGTTTTGTTGACGTCAACTAACAATGTGTACTATAGTCTGTGGGGTATCTACCTAGTAACCGAGAACAAGACTCAAGTCGATGATCTCGTCCACTTTACTCTCCGAGAATGGTCACGACTATCCTTCTCCGTCAGTGAAGCCGAAGTCGAACGAGCCAAGGCGCAACTCAAGGCATCCATCCTTTTGTCACTAGACGGCACTACAGCTATCGCAGAGGACATTGGACGACAGATTGTCACCACCGGCCGACGATCAGACCCTGCTGAGATTGAGAGAGTGATTGGCAAGATCACGGAGAAAGATGTCATGGCATTTGCTCAGAAGAAGTTGTGGGATCAAGATATTGCCATTTCTGCTGTTGGTTCCATTGAGGGTTTGCTCGATTACAACAGAATAAGAAACGACATGAGTCGAAATGCGGCATAGATGGGATAAGTGAGAATGGAGGGGTGGGAGTGAAGAAGAAGACCTTTTGTATTGTACAGTGCATCAATCGAAAAGAAAATGCAGAAGATTTATAGTATCTCCATTCAGTGCGAGTAGGGGTGATGTACTTGTTACTGTATGTTCTTGGGCTAAGTACTAGCTGGCCAGGAGATATACAATAAGTAATACTCCAGTAGAAAGGTCATGCTAATACACCTCTTTAGTCCTTGATCTTTCCCCTCCTCCCCTCCCTCGCCTTGACCGACACAGTGAGAGGAGAGAATAAGATTAGTGCTCTGTACTGTATCAATAATGTGGATCCAACATGACATCCAATGTCCTTGTAAAAGACTAAGTACTTAGATAGAAGCGCGCTTACAGCTATCAACTACCTACCTCCCTACCTACCACGAATGCATATTTCAATACCCGCTACGCAAGCGCGCGCGCGGGAGAGAGACAGAGACCGAACGATCGATCGATCGACACATTCGGATTGGACTGGATTGGACTCTTCATGGGGAGTCGTTGGAATCGTTGGAATCGGAGTCGGTGGAACCAGATCAACCGACTTATAGTACCAGTGTAACTAGGTATCTACCTAGGTACCTAAGTAAGTACTTGTTATTATTAATCTATTTGGAAACCTGGATGCGTGCCTGCATGGATGGTTTGGACATGGTCGATTCATTGTGAATATAGGTACTTATGTACATATTTTACACAGCATATCATATTTAGGTCGAGCATAATTATTAATATAAATCAAGAATCAAGAATCAAGAATTATCGGCTTGGTATTGGTCCACACCTTGAATTATAGGATCGTAGGATCTTGATGGTAGCAGGGGGATCATGTATCGTGATATCGTGGTGGGGCATTGCTTGATCTGGTCCCTCTTTTTGTTCCTCAGGGTCGATTTCGTTCTCGTTCTCATGTCCTTCGTGTCGCTCGTGTCCCGCATCGATAAAGCCAGAGTACTACTCATGCATATGTAAATTATCTATGTAGGTAGTAGGTAGGTAGTTAGTTATACCTTCTCCTGTATGTCTCTCCTACGTGCAGAATCTAGGCATATACAAACTCATATAGAAATCAATCATTCGTATAACTTGGTATGCAATACGGCCATATCAAAAAAAAAAGAAGCATAAAACTCGAATGATTAAGCTATATCAGCAATGCAAGGCAAGAAATCCCTACCTTTTTTTTTCAACGATTCTTCACACAAGCAAACATCGAAGCCCCACAACCACAACCGTCATATATTGACGCCATCGGACCGAGTCGCATACATCGCATCACATCACATCATCGATCAGTCCCTGTTCCATACGTGCGAGAGAGAGTGTGTGTGTGTGTGTGTATTTGTTGTGCCATTTCTTAACCTCGGCACTTCAAGAGTCAAAGATCCTTTTCAGGTGGGTTTCATGGCTATTGCGTTTGTAAGTTGGACGATCATGATTCGTCTACTTCATCCAGATCAGAAACTTTCCTTGTCCTTGTCTTGACTTCGGTTGTCTTCCCTCGTTTTGTCTTTACCCCTCGGACGCAATGATTTGACTTGACTTGACTTTTACTGGGGTAACTAACGACAAAGTAAACTATTTCATCCGGGGCCTGTTTTTCTGGAGGATTTCGAATACTTGACTCGACTCGACTCGACTTGACTTGACTTGGATTACAAACCATTTCTGGTCTGGTCTGGTCTTTTAATCCATCCATCCATCCATTGATCAGTGACCTGTCCATTTGTCTATATCTGTACTGGTATTGTTGACATTCTTCCTTTACTTATATTTCATACTCTCTCTCTCTCTCTCTCCCGAACTCTCTCTCCGTGTATATTGTGCGAGGTCTGGTGTATACATCCCCTCATTCTCTCTCCTCTCCGAATACTTGATATCCAGCTCCAGTTGCCTCTCCACTTCCATTGATCTCTTTACCTTTTCACTCTCTACTCTTCCTCTTCCATAAACCAACAACACCACCACCACCACAACCACAATGTCCGTCCCCAACCGTGGCCTCGTGCACACCAAAGTCCCCACTGGATGGCCCGTCCCCGGAGAACACGTCACCGTCCAGGACACCGGATCATTCGACCCCAAAGCCTCACCCCCGGCCAACGGCATGGTCTTAAAAACCCTCTACGCCTCATTCGACCCCTACCTCCGCGGTCTTCTTCGCCATCCTGAATCCGAATCCTACACCTCGGCCGCCCCCGTCGGGGCCGCCATCCCCGCCGGCCTGGTTGCTCAAGTCCTCTCATCCAACCACCCAGACTACTCGACCGACGACCTCGTCGTGGCTATGCTTCCTATCCGGGAATACAACATCTGGATCCACGACGACAAGGCGCCGCGTCGACCCATTAAAGTCGACCCCAAGAATGCCGGTGGCGATCCACGTCATTTCCTCGGTGCGTTGGGCATGCCTGGTTTAACGGCCTTTTCGTCGTTTTATGAAATCGGCAAGCCGAAGAAAGGTGAGACGATTGTCGTTACGTCGGCGGCGGGCGCGGTGGGGCAATTGGTAGGTCAGTTGGCGAAGAAAGAGGGGTTGACGGTTTTGGGATCCGTGGGCTCGGATGATAAATTGGATTTCATCTTGAAGGATCTAGGGTTTGATGCTGGGTGGAATTATAAAAAGGAGAAGTCGACCAAGGAGGTTATTAACAAGTTGACGGATGGGAAGGGAATCGATATCTTTTATGATAATGTGGGAGGCGAACAGTTGGAGGGCGGGTTGGATACGTTGCATGATTTTGGGAGGTAAGTCAAGCTCACCTTGGAGGATATATTCCCTTTGTTTGATTTCATAAGTTCATGTTTATTGTATCCACATACTAACCACCACTCTTGTTTCCTCCATCAGAATCATCGCCTGCGGCCAAATCTCTCAATACAACCTTGAAGAAAAAGACCGATATCCAATCCGCAATTCGATAAACACCGTGGTCAAACGACTGTTATGGCAAGGATTTATTGTGTCTGACCCCAACATGGGAGCGAAATATTCGGCCGAACATCAAAAGGTCGTGGGTAAATGGATCAGTGAAGGAAGTTTTCAGCCCAAGATTCATGAGACCGTGGGGATTGAAAATGCAGCAGAGGCTTTTGTGGGGATGCTTAGGGGAGAGAATTTTGGAAAGGCGATTTTGAAGTTTGAATAAAATGAATGTACGAAGAGATTGGAGGAGGGAGAGAGGGAGGCACAGACTTTAAGAAGTTAAAACAGAGATCTTTCGTTGAATTTATGTCTGTGTTCATGCTCTGTAGGATGTATGCGGTCTTGTTTAACATTATTACTAGTTCTGTACATATTCTGCGTCAAGACCTTCTGTTTTCTCTCGCTCAGAAGTCGACAGCATCGCTATATGATAAACATCCAAATAGTCTCTAGGTTTTATCATGTCCAAGGGTTTTAAACTGATTGCTCGTGCCACTTCATGGAGGATCAACAACCGCCCGTGGTCCACCATTACTCAGCACAAAGCGATCTGAGAACCATTGCGGGACTTGTGCTGAATTAGAACCTCCAGACGAAACTTCCGACAATGTAGACCGAGAAGACAATGATGGACTTGACAGTCCTGTTTCGCGTCTTTGATTTCCTTTTCCACGACGATCAGGATCAATATCCCTTGTGGAATGATCCTGTCGTTTCTCTTCCGAACGACCAGTCGCTGTCGCTGTCGAAGTCGATGCTGATGTCGACGCTGGCGTCGCATATTGAACATTCCGATCCCAATGCTCAAGTTTCTCAAACGGACTCCTCAACCATGAGGCCAGCTCATGAATGAATAGCCGAGCGTTGTCACGACCCAAGAAATCCGTTAGTAATTCCTCCGCCTGACCGGAGCTACCTTTGAGATCAATCGACTGGAGAATCGACACCACATATTCCAATACGAAATCGGCATTGTTGGCTCGGCGGGTAGATGTTGACGGATGCGTCGAGGAAGATGATGATGATGCCGAAGATAACGTTTCTGTACCACTGTGTCGAGGATACAAAAATTCAAAAACCTGTAATTCTCTCCGAAGAAACATTCTCGCACGAGACACGAGATGTGAATCATTCTGGAACATTGCCGGTGTCAGGGTCCGGTAGCGTGAAATGCGATTTGACCCGACATGCAATGCGTACAAACGGTCGCGATAGACTTGACGACGAAATTCAAGCGCCGTATCTTGCGTAGTTCGCTCAGTGTGAGGAGGAAACCTTCCTCTTCCTCTTCCTCGACGTGGATGTATCCCAGTTCTTGATCTTTCTCTATCTCTTTGCCAGTAGGTGGCTTCTAGACCAGGTCTTTGGCGGTGGCGAATCGCGCCATGTTGAGAATTGGTACTGGTTGAAGAGGAGTGTGAAGAGGAACGAGTTTCTGGCGATACTTCTATCGGTGGCAGATGGAAGATCTTCTCGTCATCTTGGTCGTTGTCACCAGTGCCATTTGTGACTTGGAATCTAATCGCCGTGACATCTCCCTTGCATAGAGGACATACTTGGTGACGCTGCAGCCAGGTTCCTAGACAAGGGAAATCGAATTGTGCATGGTTGCAGGGTAATGCGATGGCTTTTTCAGTAATGACATCGAGGCAGATGACACAGTGGTCTGGCGTGGGTAGGTCGGTGGGGAGAGAGGTGATAATAGGGACGGTGTTGAAGAGGGAGGAAGATGGGGATTCGATAGGATTGGGTGTTATTATAATGTAGGCATTATCGAGGGAGGGTTGTGCCATCAACTTGAGGGTCGTGAGCTTGTAAGGAAGTGAACCTTAAGACATGGGACGAAGAGAGGGAAGAAGAAGAAATTGAAGGGAAGAAATTCCAATGATTAATCTCTCATGCGGCGAGGCTGAGGGGCGAAAAGAGAAATGCGGGGAAGTGGGAATTGTCAGCCTCGCCATCCAGATTCACAAGGCTGAGATCCATAGTGACTACCAACTTGAAGAATATTCGTATTGTACACCATTGTATCATGCTTAATCTATCATGAAGCCTCGAGTCTTCAAATCTCCCTCAACAGTCCGCTCGTCCCCATGTTCGAGGAAAAGCAACCACATCTCTAACATTCGCCACACCAGTCAGGTATGCAAGCAAACGATCAAATCCCAGTCCATAACCTCCATGACGACTGGTACCGAATCGTCGAAGGTCCGCATACCATTTGAGACTGCCCAAGGTCTCATCTGGATTGAGGAAAGGATACTCGTCGTTTTTGGAGGGGATCGTCTTTTTGATTAGTCCCTTGTTCCGCATGTTGTCAATGAGATTCTCAAGGCGATGTTCTCTCATGCTGCCTCCAGCCACTTCACAGTATCCCATTGGTAGGAGGAGATCAAAACATGCCACTGTCTCCCCACGCCCGCCTGAGTTCTGTTGATATTCATCCGCCGCAGTAACGTTCTCGGTCGATGGTAGCATGTAGAACGGCTTGATGTGTTTAGGATAGTGCGTCACAAATATGGGGAAACCGTTCCCGAGATTCTCCACAACCCAACGTTCATGTTCCAATTGTAATCCTTGATCCCACCGAGGTTTGCGCGCAAACAGTTTGTCTCCTTTTGCTTCACTAGCTTTTTCAAGCTCTGAGATGGCTTCCGTGTAGGTGATGATTTGATATTCTCCAGCCAAGCGGTTCCACCGATCTGGCAGATCGGCCTCGTCGGAATCAGCGTCACGGTGTTTGTGATCCGAGTAATACTTCTGTAACTCATCTGCCACTCGATGGTTCTGTATTCGGTTGGCAATGTCAGAAACGAGCTTATTGACACCTTTTAATAACTCATCAAACGTGACGTCTCGATGCTCGGCTTCTAACATGTAGAACTCGGCCAAATGACGTGGTGTGTCACTTTCTTCCGCCCGAAAAGTTGGCGAAAGCGCATATACATCTCCCAATTCGGCAGCGTAAGCCTCTAGATGAAGTTGTGACGAGACGGTAAGGTATTTTGTGTCTCGAAAGTATAATCGTTCGGCCTGTGTCTCTTTGTTCGCCTCTGGTGGTAGAGGGACGGGTTGACTACTCTTGGGTGTCACGGTGAAGACTTCCCCTGCACCTTCGCAGTCGGAAGAAGTAATTAGAGGTGGGTGAACCTGGTAGACTGGTAGACGATTCTCGCCAAAGCCTTGGGAAAAGTGGTTTGCAATGATGGAGAGGAGAGCACTGCGCGTACGTAAGATGCAGGATTGAAATGCAGTGCGCATTCGTAGGTGTGGAATGGTTCGAAGGTAATCGGCTGCCATGGCGTGTTTCTGGATGGGATGCTCCTGGTGTCTACCGTTAGCAAAGTAGAACTCATCTTAGCTCTTCTCTCACATACAAGTGAATTGCTTTGACCCAGCTCCACAACCTCGTCGACATGTAGCTCATGCGACTGACCGGCGCCGGGCGATTGTACCCATTTTCCGATCAATGAGACATATGATCCATTGGTAATACTGTTGATAGACTATCAGACTCTTGACTTCCATATCTTATGCCATAAGCTAACACGTACTCCTTTGCAAGGGCTGGGTCGGGAAAGACAGCCTGGATCGGTTCGAGAGTTGAGCCATCGTTGAGACGGGCAAAGGCAATTTTCTTTTGTTTTCGAACGCTGCGAATCAGTCCATCAACTTTGATTGTCGAGCTTATGTCCTGGTCAAGGATCTGAGAATGTCGGGCTCGTCGCGGTGCTTGAGATGTTTCGTTGGTAGCAGTGACGCTGCTCTGGAATCGTCGTGGGGTGAGGAAAGACGTTGGCGTAAAGTCAACGGACCCACGCCCAAGTCGCTCAAGGCGGTAAGAATGTCGTGGCACTCGAGGATAGCGCCATGACATCATGTAGTCAGTTCTCTCAAAGGAGATCTATGGACCAGTGTCTTGCTTGAGATGAACAGGTAGGAAAGCAGTTTCGAGGTTCCCAAGTCAGATGAATTATTTGCGGCTTTGGAGCGATTGGCCAGCCTTGCGCATGTAGCCTTGTGGATCCAGCCTTGCGGATATCACCCGGAATTAATTTCCCTTGTAACCATTCAACACAACGAGGCTCCTGTAGGACTGTGTCTTCTCGGAGGTTATGTATTCACTCAAGGCCTACAACAAATCTAGCACACCGAAGTGACCCGTTGACCCACTTGCAGGTGCTTTTCATGGAACAGGAAGTCCACGTTCAACTGCTTCTTCTCTAATGCTATCATCGACGAGAACTCTCCACCCGACCCATCATGTTTCACCACCATCTGACCTTTTCACCAAATCCCTCCACTCTCTCCCCGGCTGCAGCATTGATTGTGCCCCCTTTCCTTTCTCCACCTTTTCTGCATCGCTTTGAGCCTTGGCCCAGCTCCATCTTTCAGCATGCTCAGGGCTGAGAGTGCCCTCAAGACACTGAACCACATACTTGCCAATCGTTGGTAGGAATTTCCAACCGTGGAATGAGCCTCCAGTTGCGAGAAACAATGCTGGTGCTGTAGGAACAGGCGAGATTATAAAATCCTGCGCTGGCGTGAATGAATCCCTGAGAAGTTGTTATGATTAGTGGGAATTGAAGACACGACGAAGGATTCTGTCAAGGAGTGGAATAACGAAGGTCGGGGAGGTGAAGGGATACCTACCAGCACATCCTGTAACTTTGTATTTCCAACCCTTCAGCATCACGACCGAGTATACCCTTCATAACCAGAGCAATCTCATCCTTGAGAGCCTGAGGTGCATATGACTGATCCTCCTGACCATTGTCGTCCACAGGCGGCGTCGAAATGGACTGATGAGAACTGGCATGTTGATAAGTATTGACGAAACTGATGTCGCGGCAGAACTTGAGCACGTTGTCTTCTGTAGGGGGATATATTTCACCGTGTGTGACCCCAGCTCGGTGAATGAAGACAGGCATGCTTTTCAGCTTTTCCACCTGTTCAGGGTTGAGAGTCAAAGCACCAGTTGCAACAGCCGCCCCCAACAGACTGCCTTTGACCTGGATGTCAGACCTTTCTGGACCACTATCAGCCAGGATTTTAGGTATGGTGCCGCCAGCAGCAAGGACGACTTTCGATGAGTGAATGATTTGACCTCCATCGAGCTCGACACCAATGCAATCACCATCATCACCAAACAGCAGCTTAGAAACACTGCCCTGGAGATAAGTAGCACCATTATCAATAGCCGCTTGAATAACAGCACGCAAACAAGGCGTAGCAGCCGCCCAACCACTCTCCGGATTGACATAGCAGTCTGGATCTGTCGAGAAATCCGCGTCATGGAAATGAGGATATCGAGCAATCAAATCCTTGGACTTCAACACAGCCACTTTATTGGGAATGCCAGAATCATCCCAATTCTGTTTCTTCTTCCAACCTAGGTCACCACCTTCGATGTAGACGACCCCGCTTTCATGGTAGAATGGGCTGAAGAGGGGATGGGAACGCCATTCTCGCTGAGCCTCGACGCCAAGGCTCAGGTACCAAGCATCGCCATAGTCGGCTCGAATGACTTTTTGATAGTCGTAGGATGCGCCAAGATGGCAGGGAAAGGGCCCTCGATCGATCAAAGTGATGGATGAGAAGCGTCCTGTTTGGGAGAGGTGGTAGGCGGTTGAAGCTCCAAAGATGCCGGCGCCGATGATGACGTACGAGGGGTTGGTGTTTGGTGATGGCATGATTTGGTGGTGGTTTGGTGTGCGTGGCTGTGATGGCGGTAGTGGTTGGTAGTAGTCGTGGTGGTGGTCGTGTCGGTATGGCTGGTTAGGCAGCAATGGTGATGTTTTGAAACCACAATCAATCCAATTCAATACAATTCAGGTCAGGTCAGGTCGATTCAGGTCAGTTCAGGCCAAGTGAGGCGTCTATTGCCTTTTTATGATAATCGATTGCCGTGATGTCGGCGATCCCATTGGATGACTTTGGACTGAATCCCACACCACCCTACATTGGCCCGGAGGAAAATGTAGCAATCGGCAACTGACCGATCACGGAGTCTCCAAGTGACTAGGTCGAAGAAACGAGGATCTGGACTTGACTGGACTGGACAGGGACTGAATATCGGACAATCAACCTGAGCGGCACGGCAAATACACAGCCATCCACATGAATTGTCGTATGACTTACTAGGCAGATAGTAATCCAGTCAAATCAACCAGTCACAACAATCCAAGGCCGACGATCCTACCGTGAGCATGTACTTGAGCCGCATCAAAAGCATGAAGAAACATACGTACTGTATACTGCACTGCACATAACATCCTTTGAGCCATCATTCAGATATTGGATGACATGATTGTCCAAACAAAGTATAGCGTTGATTTCTCCTTACCAGGGAGCCTGTCACTCTGTTTTCTCTCTGGCTTGTCGATCAATTAAAAAATTCAGAATATCTTCCGTCCCGTCCCTTCGCCCCGCTCGAACCATACCCGAACCATTCTCTACCACGCATAAAATCCCCCAATGGGTACGCAGGGCGAGCTAGCATACGAGTGCTCGTATGCCATGCGCTGCATGTACGTACATGCATACTGCTGATATTGGGTCTTGTATGGGTGTGTCGTGTGTACTTTTACGGCATGGCGTCCAGGGGTTTTTGGCACCTTGTTACGGGAAGGATTCCCCAAAGCCACTCGTTTCCGAAACATGCCGTGTGGTTGGTAGTTGAAGATTTCTCTCGCCGCCCTGTCTCGCCTGTTGGACCTTTCGCCATATCGCCGAGAGATGTCCAGTCATTGGGCTGGCCGAATGTCAATGTGTTCTGTATACATTAGTGGTTCATGTGGTAGGTGTGCCTGTCTCCCTAGCTAGGCAAGCGTACGAGGCTGCGCACATACTCGTATATACTCTAGGGTGGGGGATCACGTAGGCATGTACTTCTGGGCTCGGTTGATATCGCGCAGGTGAGATGATATGACATGATGAGACATCTAGACCATGACTCATTATTCAGCCATATGAAAATAAAGAAGTTCACGGCTAGCCTTTAATGATATACCTATATTTAGGTATATGGAGAGGGGAAAGGGCGGAGGGATTCGAAGAACATTAATAAGATGATTGATTGATCAGACAAACCAATGAAGGCTTTTACAATGAAAATCATCAACTGCAGCACCGGTAACCTCATATCGACATAGGGTATCAATGTAAATTCCACATGGTATCTTTCCCAAAAAAAAACTCTCATTGCTCGACATGATCCATCCTGACAAACTTCGTAAGATCGACCCAGTAGACTCGCTCAATCCCAACTCCGCATATCTTGTGATATCCAGTAATAACTGTTGTATCGAAAAACGTAGTATGACATGCCGTCAAAGTAATGTGTCATGTCTCCTTCTTTTGCGAGGTCATCGAGTGGAAGCATCCTCAGGCAGTCTATAGGTCGAGCTGATCGGGGGTTTGACGACCATGATCTATTTCTTGATAGTCGGAAAACCTATAAAGTGATCAGCAGTGTGCGGAAGAGGGCCCGTGATACTATACTAACTGTTCGCCCACCATTGGAAGACTGAAACGATGATCTTGCTTGACATCTTCCTGGGTGGCCTGTGGGTTTGTGTTTTGTGCAACCTCGTGACAGCCCTTAACCTGGATTTCATCAACTCCATGCAAGGCGAAAATGGACTGCTGCTCCTTTGATCGTGCCCAATGTTCTATTCGGTCCGATGGGTCCGGTGACATGAAGCTCCGTAGTGGATATTTATGGTCCATGGGAATATGTCGTGGGTCCAGGCAGGAGCTCGAACGACTGTGACGACGGCAAGGCGGCCTCCGTGGTGCGACTGGAGGAGTAGACCGTGGTTGTGACGGATTGGTGCTGCTGTGTGTTGATTTCGAGTCCAGGAGGCGGGTTTGCTGGATGCCATTTACTGGCCTAGTCTCATTGCCGTTGACTTCCAAACCTTCGATCACCTTGGCAGACTTGAGATCGCTGTCATGATGCCGATGTGCTACAGAGCCAGCTTTATGACATGCAGATTTGGTGTGAAGGCTTCTGTTTGACGTGTTGGATTGAAGCTCCATCGTGTCTTCAAACCAAATAGTCCAATGACGGCAATGCCACTCACTCAGAGGATTGTGTGGCGTTAAAAGTAGTCTGAATCACGATTGCACAGATGTGGTATTCGTGTCAAAGGATGAGTAGAAACAGTTGAGAATTACCTTACTGTGAGGGCAGTTGAGGTTCATGAGATGTGTAGAACTCCAGTTTGTTGTGCTGGTGTATGGTGAGGTATAAGAACAATAATCGTGGAGGATAGCATCCGGGATTCATTATGTAGGCGCCGTGGTCTTTTCGCATCGTCAACACGCGTATGTTGGGTGTGGGTGTGCGAGGGTATTCCGTGTCCATGGATCGATAACCCCAGGTCAGGGAGAAGGCTGCACCATGCCTGATTCGAGATAGGTGCTGCATGATGCCCAATACGAGATAGCTTTGTTTTCTCCTCTGAACACTGCCCTGAAACGCCAATGACCCTGGTCGGTTGACGTGATTAGGGCCTTTGGCCCCTCCCTTGGGCGTCACCCGTCATAAGTCAGCTCCAGGGCCAGCACAGGTCATCTCTTCTGGGGAAGCCGAAGACCGTCCACTAAGTAGTGGTAACAAACATGGATTCGTCACATAGTTGGAGCCTTCAGCTGGTACGCCATTGTCTGGTAGTACTGGGGTTTTTGGTATCACCTTGTCTCAGCCCTTGATTTATGAGGGACCTTTTGCTTGTGCCGTTCCAACTGGTCGATCCGGGCAAATCCCGTGGTGTTGGAACAGCCCGGAAGATCGCAGACAAATTGACGGCGGTGCTTGGCAAGATGCATTCTAGTGAGAGTCAGGACGGCATCTGTGACACGGATCCAGACAAGGCGTACCGAAAGGCCGAGTTTCGCTCAAAGACAATCAACTCGCCGTTGGGCAAGCAGCCGCCTTTGGTACACTTATGCCCCTCTGGACATATATAGTGACCCTTACCTCGACTTTTCAGGTTTTGTTCTGGCATACTGCCGCTATTGCTTGCCATGGTGATTGTCGGTGGTGAGGCTGACTCTGATGCTGACGACTGGCTCCGATCTATTGTTGACCAGGTCTGCAGTCTCTGGAGTGATGGCCTTGTTGGAGCTGCTTGCCAAACAGTTCGACAGCGTAAGGCTGTGTTTCTCAAATCAGTGGAAATGGTTCTATGATGGTCAGTAGTCAGCCAAGGAGAACAAGATATGTCGAAGACAAAATATACACGATCTTGATTCTAATAGTCTGGTACGATCGGAATTCTCCGCCAGAATGGCGACATGACAAAAGAAAAAGACGCTCAACGAGTTCTTGCCACTCTGACGGCGATCATGAGAGGAGTGGTGTGGCGTACTTGAGAGCAGCAAGCGTGTCTTCGAGATAGTCCACCAGATCCATGTCGAGGCCGTTCAACCTTCCATCTTGGGGAGGTTCCTCGAGCCGGACATCAATGTAATCAGTCGCCGCAGTACCCTCGCTCAAGGCAGTGGCGACATTGGCGAGGGTTTCTAGCAAGTAGGTAATGGTTTGGCCGGCATCAGCAAGCAGACACACGTCGGTCGGAGGCGGATAATGTTGGGCACGAAGCTGTTGCTTGACCTGTTGGAGGATGTCCTGTATCATCTGCTCCACTCGAGTCTCTGGAGCCGATGGCATGGGAGAGAAGACGTGGTCAGCCGTGGTCTCCATCGCTGGTGGGATGGAGAAGTGGAAGGAGAAAACAAAGGCTGTGCATTTCGTCGATACGACAGGCCAGAACCAGGGAGGCTACACTAGCCTTGTTTTCTTGTTTTCTCCTTGCTCGTGGGGATGAGCAGATGTAAGCGAGGTCGGGCAGAGACGGATGGAGAGAGGGGAGTGATGGTGGGAGGTGAGACGTGAGAGGTGAGACGTGGGAAGCGCGGGGAGGTGAGGAGGATGCTTGACCATGCAGCAATGTTGGGTTTGGGCGCAGGTGGCAGGTCAGAACGTGTCTAGGTCAATGCCACCCTCCGCAAGAACCCGTGGCTCGAGGACTGCGGCCCGTTGCATGGAGGGGGCCAAAAGTGATACAGGCGGGGCTAAGGCAGCTGTGATAGGCCTGCAAGCCCCCATCGGGCCAATGCCTAGGGGCGGCAGAGGCCTGGGCCGAGCCCAATTAACCTTGATTAGCAGGCATCGTAGGCCAGCTGTAGGTGAACGACACCAGTGATCGTCCAAAGCCCCTCGGTCCCTCGTTTCCACATCTGCAAACCTACAAGCTACAGCAAAGTGTCGATTTCGTTGGCCGCATTGAATATCTCGTATCCTTCTACGGAAAAGCAACTCCTTGTGACATGGTTATCCACCTGCATGATGGGTCGCAGATCCCCCTACAAAGGATCTTTTGGCATGCAAACGATTGCTCGAGGTGCGTTAGAAGGCAGCCTATGGGCGAACAAGTGATACCCAGCCGTGCCAGCCCCAAGCCAGAGGCGCTGCTTGTAGATACTCGTACCTTCCCATTACTAGGTTGAGGCGCCCAGATCTTGGCCTCAAATTGGAAGGCACGAAGCACGACAGGTCACAGTTGAAGTCTTCTGCTCCTGCATCATTGCGGGGAGACTGTTGCCTAAAAGTCCTGGTTCTTCTCGCCCCTGGCACTTGAGGTCAGCCACCAATTTTCATGCTGATCAGAACATCAGGTCCAACAGTCGACTGAACTTTGGGAACATGACAGAGCCATCTCTTGATATGGACAGTACGTATATATCTCCATCAGATCCACCCTAGGCACGTGGATCATACCCGCTCGCTGGACAATTACTAACATCTTAAAGGTCAAGTCACTCCACCGACGTTGACTCCAGACAAGCTTCAATTGCGTGCTGCTCGCATACCCCGGATTCTGCACAGTTAAACACGCAATTTATAGATTTCCAGCGACTAGTCAGCAGAACTATCATCCTTCGACTCAGCGCCTATGGTGGAGTTGCGCAATCCACCCAGCAGCTTCGAGCTGAATTCAGACCCTCAAGGAACCTCTTCAGATCCTCCAACGACCCAATGGAGATCCACTACTCTCAATGACACGATTGACCAAAATCGACTCTTTCTGGACGACCACACTCTCTTGACAAACCTCAAGCTCCCTCCAAATACACAAACCAGAAAAAGAAGTGAGTCACGTTTTCATCAGCCAAACTGGAATGCTTTCATAAACACTGACTCTCAACTCAGACCTACAGGAGGCCCACTACCCATTGGCTTCACTTGGCTCGGATCATATCCCACAATGGTTCCGAGACCAGTTCCCAGACTTTGTTCCCAGCATTCCACCTCTCTCGGAGCACAAGTATCCTTTCGGGTTGCAGAACCCCTTCGAGAACAATGGCACCATAATCCACCCCCGACTTGAAGCCGGATCGAAGCCTCAAGCACCCCTCGTTCAAAGTGGTGCTGTCAATGGCCTGGTCAAATTTCGCATGTTGCAGAAGGAAAGGGACGGTCAGCGAACTGCCCAATCTCAATTGCAGCATCGTATGGACGAGGCTGAGGATCGTGCCAGGGCAGAACATCCGTTTCTACGGCCCCTACCTAATCTCCCTGCAGACTTTGGTCGCGGCCTGAAACTCGACGCCACAGATGCATTTTTGTTCAAATTCTGTACGTCACTCACAATACCCTCTTCATCCCCTGCCTGCCCTAGAGAGACATGCCTGCTTACATATCATGGCTTCAGACACTCTCGCCTTTTGCGGAGGAAGAACACTGCTGCCACAAACGAATGCCTTTCTCAACGATGTCACCCCTATGGCATCAGCCAACTTGGCTGTCAAATACGCCATCTTATCTCTGGCAGCTTCATACGTGCTTGATTATAGACCGAGTAAACCATTACAGCTGCGTGCACAGGCTCATCACAAAAAGGCTGTCTTGTTGCTGGGACAAGAACTCAATCGGCCCGAAACATTCGCCCCTGGCCGGGGTGAGGCAGCAATTGCCGTTCTCATGCTGTTGTCGCACAATGACCTTGTCAACTGGGAGCTTGACCGCTGTCGGTCACTTTACCCCAAATGGTATACTGGATATCAGATGGCCAATCTAGTGTTGGCCAAAACCGACCCTGGGTACAAATATCATGAACCACAAAACGTCCAGTACAGTCGGGCTCGACGCTTCATCGGGACCAAAGCAGCGCTCCAAATAATCCTGGCTGAGGTGTTTGGGCCTCTGGAATTCCCCAAGGCCTGTCCGCACTCTTGGTTGCTGACAGGTGACGATGACTCTCTGAACAAGATCGACGGTCTGATTGGCTTGTCACCCAAGCTTTTACATCTTTATGCTCAGGTCACCCACCTGGCATCTCGACTATACCGCAACCCTAATAGCGTTGTCATCGCTCGAGCCGCCAGACTTCTCTGGCCTCGAATTCACCTCCATCGCCAGAAGTCGGATCTCTCCGAAGGCCCTGAAGACCTTACCTCCTTGTTGGCGGCTTGTGCTATTAGTTCCGACCTGGACCCTCACACCGGAAAGATCAACTCTCGCACGACGGTGGTGGAACTGACGGCCGAGTCTTATACCTCGGCCGCCGAGCTTTACTTTCTGTGTCGACTGCTTCGATATCCGAGATCTCATCCACTGGTCCGGAAGACTCTTTCACAGCTTCTCGAATGCATCTCGTATCAACCGACTGATGGAATTCTCTTCACTGCTCAGGCCCCACTCTTTCCAGTTTTCGTGGCAGGTGCCGTGTCTTTGACAGAACATGACAGGAAGATCGTGAATTCCTGGTTCGATGGGGTTAACATGAGTTCAAGGGGAAACATTCCACCGAATCGGCGGGCGATGACTGCCGTGTGGGAGTGGCTGGACAACGACCTAACTCCATCCGAGGCACCGCATGCATACGACGAATGGACAGACACCCAAGACATTGTCCAAGAAGGATTTGGTCAGAGACGGGCTTGGTGGGAAGAGATGGTCCAAATGTTGGAGCAGACAGAGGGACGCATGAGTCTCGGCTGAACCGTATCTGGGTCTTCGCGGCTGGATCTAATCTTCAGGATACTCGTCGGTCACATTGCTCACGAACGTCCCGGACTCGTAGTCGAAGCGCTTGAACCACTTGCCAATCTCGATTGGAAATTCTTCAATCATGTCGTTGGTGATCTCTTCTGGTTTCAACAAGACGATATTCTCCTCGGCCACATATCTGGTTGACTCGTCCTCAACCAGGACGTTGTAAAACGGCTGATGGCGCCCTTGAGGCAGGCTGTCAACATGGTTGACTGTAATCCACTGCTCCTGCATGCGACAGTATGGATCCCAACCGTAGATGACGGCCAGGTACGACCGGCGGCGGTGGCGGAAGACCTGGCCGACGCTGAATTTGACCACATCGTTACGTGGGTCGGAACGATACTTTGGCACCTTGGACTCGTGATCTGCATCTTTGAGCTGATGAATCAGATTACGATAGGCGCGGGCATCGGGAAGACTCGCGGTCAAAGGAAGGATACGGGTTTCGAAAATGTGGATGTCGAGATCGAAAAACTCGAGAAAATGTTGAGTGAGAACAGCCATGTGCTGACGAAGCTGAGCATGGTTGGCCGGGTTGTGTGGAATCAAGACCAGTGCAAAGAGAGCGGCGTAGGTGGCCAGATTGGGATTGATTGGATACAGCGGCGGACCAGCATAGTGAGACGGCGATGAGAGGATATTGTGAGCAGTGCGAACAGTCATATCACGCGGCGAGGCTGCCGACAGATATAAGTCGGTTTGAGCGTTCGGGGCGATGAACTTGAGTTGTGCTTCGAGCGACACGAGAGAGATAGCCTCGGCATTGTTGAACGGATCCATGTACAGATGTGTTCGCTCTGAAGGTGCCTGCGCCTGCTCATCTTGGTCCAGTGGGTTGCCATCAAGATCGAATCCCAACGGACCTTGGACCAAGGCATGGACGTGGAAGGGATAGCTGCACGGCACGGCACGCAGACCGAATGCGCGTGCAACGTAGCAAAAGATAATGACCGATACAAGGGGGACGGAGTTTCGGTTTTCACTGAATAGCGCAACTCCCAAGAACATGTGGTCGAGACTGTGGTAGTGGCGATCACCTTGGATGCCAATCCATCGTTTTTCAAGGAGATGAGTCGCGATAAGACGTGCCTGTTGGCGTGGAGGTAAGGTGTCGATTGTCGGATTAGCTGTCCGGACAGAATCGACGTAGGAATTTAATCGGGTGTAAATCTGTGGTAGGATCATGATGTTAGGATTTGTACGGCGGGGACTGGGCTGTGATGGGGAAAGATAAGGTGGGCTCACATCTTCAATATCACCTTCGGGCCGATGTTCCAAAATAAACAGATCAAGAGCGGCGAGGGGCCGTTCAAATGAGGTAGAGGATGTTGACGAAGGGGTTTCTTCTGATTGAGATCTCAAAGCCAACCATTCTTCAACGGCCATCAGACGATGAAGACAGCCTAGGACGGCATGACACCAATACCTGAAGAGGGAGAGTGAGAGGGTTAGAAATGGATGGACTCAGTGATAACAAGAGTCATGTGATATATGTTCCATGAACAGATATCAGAAAAACCTACCTCTGAGCCAAATAATTCCTTGAGTCCTTCGCATTCCAAAAAAGTCCACTCAAATCATCTTTCGCATCATACCCGACCTCCAAAATCCTCTGAATCGAATCCAATCTCCCCACCTGATCGTTGATAATATTATCGAGCGCGGAACGGGTTTTCCACGACGCCTCCGCTCGTGTGGCAAACAATTGTTTCCAAGCTGTAAATGACGGATCGGCTAATTTGGTGGTCAAAGAGTGTCGTGCATCCCACCACCGGAATGTGCGGCGACAGTAGTCTTTCCAAAGTAATGGTTCGGTGGCGATGTGTTGGAGACGGCGACAGGTTAGTTGGACAGAGATGGTGGATGTGGGGGGTAAGTAGAACAGGATGGTTTGGATGACTTCGGCGGGGAGAGAGAGGAGTGTTGTTGGTGGTGGTGATGATGATGATGATGTTGTTGTAGTAGACATTGTGGATGTTGTGGGACGAGGTTCATTGAGATAGAGACAAGGGGAGACGGGGGAGAGAACGGGAGGCCAAAAACTCGTCTCTCAAATTGTCGTGTGTTTGTGATTGTTCCTTCTTTCTCCTGTGTCCAGAAACTAGATTTGAGCGGTCTTGTAGTGTGGCGGGGGTTGGAATATATTCAGACACTGCCAAAAGAGCCCCAGGGTTGATCCAAAGAATGTTTTGATTAATGTATTGTCTGAATAATAAGAAAGAGGAGGACGAGAATGATGATGATGATGCTATGATGGATTTGGGTTCTTGTCTGGTCGATCCCGCTGGTTCTGATCACGTGACTGTTATCCACACATATCACAACAGCGGAGGTGGAGAGGCTAGATGAGATCACAAAGTCAGGGTTTACATAGTCACTGACGGAAGAAGAAATGACATGCCACGTGTATTTGAACTTGAGAAACGTGTCTAGGTTCGGGCTGAGTTCGATCAAGTTGTCACGAATCTTCTCATCCCACGACCGGATTGCCGTATGAGTGTGTTCGATTAGGATCCACGAGAAATGATTGTCTTGTTCCATTTCCATGTCTCTCATCCACAATATCTGCATGCTCAATCACTCACTTGCCCGAAACCTGCAACAACTCCTTCAAATCCCCCTTGTCAGCATGCAATCTGGTCATATGAGCCAGAAAAGGACCCCAATCTTCTCTTGCTCGTGCCATCTTCAACCGATCTGCTTCCACATCTGAAGACGCAGTAGCACTAGTCAAAGACAGAAGAGAGAACTCGGTGGCTTTACTGGTTGCATTTTCCCACGTAGCTTGCAATACAGGTAAAGTCATCATGATCCAATCAGTTCCTGGATCCAAACGACCGATTTTCCGTGGTGATAACTCCATACCGTCCATTTCCCAAACATAGCCTCCAGCTGGAACGTATGCCACAAAGTGGAAGCCATTCTCCTCATCTTCATAGTCTTCGTCGTCGTCGTCTTTGAACTTGCGTTTCTTGGAGGCTTTGGCTTTTTTCTTCTTTTCGGCAGCCTGGGCGTCTTGTTTGAGTCGATGGTCGACTACCATTCTATCAATGCTGGTAGAAAATGAATTGTGAACGTCGCGTACATGATCGTATCGATCGAGAGCAATCCCTCGGTCTTTGGGCGTCATGTCGAGTGTTTTTGTACGAAATTCGTTGAGTGATGATCCCAGGTCAAGTCCTGATCGGTTGTTGATGATATTCAAAAGAGCGACAGAGGCACAAGAGAAGGATGATGTCTGTGTGTTGTTAGTATGGTGTAAAGGTGTAATGTAGGCATTGATAAACATACCTGGTTAGCAAACCATACATCTTGAGGTGGGTCTGCTGTGGTGGTGCTCTCCTCAGAGGCTGTCCAGCGAGAAAGGAAAATAAGTCCATATGTATTTTCGCTGGGACTGGTTAGTCATGGTCAAGGGAAGTTGATGAGTAGAGAGAGAAAGAACGTACGCAGGAAAGTCAAAGAGACTTTCCAAGGGAACAACTTCGTGGACTTGGACGTTTGGAACCCCCCACTCTCGAAGCAGGGTGGTAAATATGACAGGATCATTCTCTACCTCTGCCCAACCACTCCATGAGGCGTCATTGCCGTCGTCATCAGCCGCATCCTCGGCAACAGTGCTTTGTTCATCGACCGTGGATGAAGCTACACTGGACCCTGTAGTGGCCGAGACTGATTTGATAACGTCACTCTTGGCGAGTGTCGTTGAAGCTCTGGTTTGTCTGCGTGTCCGCATTGGTTCTCAGGTTGAGATAATGTCGCTGGACAATGCAACGTAGTCGTATGTAGTCAGTCGTAGTCGTAGTTGTTAGAGCTTCATCAACAATCAGAACTCGCAGGCCCAAAGATCGACAGCTCAGCGGGGTTAATCAAGGATGGAGATCTGGATGAGGAGACAGGAAAAGAAGTGAAAAGGCGACAGCAGCTCCATTGAAGATAGTTCTTCTCGCAAGTTCTGTTTGCTCTGATAGTAACGACTCAAGAAGGCAGAAGTATGACGCTAGGCGCTATTGGTCGTGATAAATCGTGAAAATTAACGTAACGGATGGCAGAATGGATCAGCGTCGTGAGTTCGAACTTTGTCTTCACTTCAAGCACAGGAGTGGTAGCATAGGCCTGTGCTGTCCGATAATCGGTAATCTTGAGTATTCCAACTTAAGAGCTTGCTAGAAAAATTCGAATGATGGGGAATTATCTCAAGCTTTCATGGCGAGTGACCTGGTATCATGAAAGACATGTTGAATGGGCCTTTGAAGGGAGAAGAAGATGAAATGCGACTGAGCTGAACCAGAAAGAGAGCGTTCATTGGCTTTCTGCCCTTTGGGGAGAGACTTAATAAATCAGGTACCTAATATATAGGCGTGGGGAGTGCCTAAGAAGGGTCAGCGTTTCGCTTCACTGGCGCCCAATCACCCCGATCCCTTGGCCACTCGGGCTACCGGGACGCCCAACCGACCCAAATACTAGGGGCTCTACTTAGGCGAGGAATTATCCCTTATTGTCCCAGGTTCGAGAGAGTTGTTGGGTAGCCACACTTTTGAGATGTTGATCTCTGGCTTAGAAATAAATACCGACTTCTCTTTTGTCAGTTCATCAATATATCCACATCCACTACACAATTATATGAAGCCTAGCAAAGTCCATCAAAGTTTCCAGTTTTCACAGCCTGATACACAATTACACCAAACATCTGCCACAAACAACAATTGAATCTGGCCAACATGACCGGCCCGATCACCATCACCACAACATCCATGGGCACAACTTGGAAAAGCTTTCCTCACTGAGGTCTGTTTCAACCTCCTCCGGACGTAGTCTGAGTCGAAGTTGAATCGCCGTGGCTTTGCAAGCTTCGCCTTCAGCCTTGCGACCAATGGTGTCGTAAATGGTGGAGAGCTTGTAGCTTGCCCTGGCACGATGGGCATAGCTGTGACTACCTGACAGTCCTTCAGTGATGGAGACAATGTCATTGAGCATAAGGGCCGCGGTTCCTTGATTGCCACTGGCATCCAACAACGACGCAACATCGTACATGGAGTCGCACACCGCCAACCCATTGCCCAGCAACTGCTTCCTATAGCTGAGAGCTTTGGATGCAAGCCGAAGTGCATCATCTGATCGACCTTGTGCTCGCCGTATGCGCGACAGGAGAACCATGTCTCCTGCGAATCGGGGATTGTTCTTGTTCAAAAAGGTTTCATCGGTACAGTCCTTGAGAGACGGACAGCTAAAGAGGTATTCCTCTGCACGGTCCGGTTCTCCCATCTTGAGATATAAACTGGACAAGTTGCTGTACGAATTGCCGATCAACCCATCCTGGTTGCGAAGTCGCGTATCCACCGCCTTTTCATGGTATTCAAGTGCCTTGGGAAAGTCGTCAAGTTCGGTGTATGCCAGCCCAATATTGTTGTATACCCATGCGGTTAGATAATGGTCAGGCTCTAGGAGTTTCTCTCGGATAGCAAGCGCCTGTTGAAATAGCTCAATCGACTCTTTTGCTTCATTCAAATCAAGTGAGATAAGCCCAGAGACATTGACCACTCTGGCATATGATAGTCCTTCTTTGTCAACAATGAGGCCTTTGGCCGTGTTGAGGAATTCCTGGGCCTTGTCATAAAATTCGCGCTCCTTCAGGAACCTGTCATAATCTGTCAGAAATGAAACATCAACATGTGGTCAACCTACAGGGCACAAGGAATCAATGCTGCGAACAATGTGTCTTTCCTCTCAGTGACGATGTCGTATCGTTTCCATTGCCTGATCAAGTTGGCCATATGTCGTGTGCACCGTTCGTGTCGAATCCAACCCTCTGATGACCATGTTTTCAACTCGTATCCAGCTTCTGTCGACCATTCATCTGTGAGATGCCGGTGGAGGATACTAACAGCCACGTCAAAATATTTAACACGCTCCGCCTTCGACATTCTTCGAATGATCGCCGCTTGCACAAGTCGATGGACTGAGAGGGTCTGGTCCGTGTGACTTTTCTCTAGTAAGGCTGCCTGCAACAGCGATTCCTGCGCTTCACCTAGTCTGGGAGGGTCAGTCTCCTTGTTAATTGCTCATTTTGACAGAGAACATCGAGGGAAAGCGTTTCTCACTCAAATTCGTCCCCGAGAAAACCAAAATCGCTCTCAGAGACGGCGTCTGCTCCCACGGTCAACATTTCCTCGTGAATTGTGTCGGGGTCTAGCAGAGCTAGAAGACTCTGCAGGTGAATGGCATCTCCTGAAAGCCGGGAGAGCGAAATGTCCCACGTTGTTGCCAGCGTTTTCTCGTATGTCGTCAACCGGCTCCTCTTAGCGTCGATGGCGGCCGCATGTTTGTCATACATGGCAGGGAAATCTTTCAAACGCATATGACGTTGAGTGATGAAACTTGCGATCTGGTTCAGCGCAAGTGGAAGCCCTCCTAGCATTTGTGTAATATGCAACGCCAAATCCATTGTCTCCTTGTTTGCATCTTTGTGGCCTAGGAGTGAGAGGAAAACTTCCGCTCCGGTCTCTTCATGGAACGGTTTCATATGGTAGCCCGCATTGGCCGGATTATGGGCCGTGTTGAAGTCTCTCGAAGTGATCAGTATGGAACCTTTTGAGCCCACCGGCCAGAGTTGGCCAATTATTTCCACATCGTCCGCATTGTCGAAGATTAGAAGCCACCGTGACTCTAGACTCTGGCTTAGCACGTAGATTCGGGCGGGACACTGAGTAACTCACTGGTGTTCTGCAGCCATGTTCGTAGCTTAGAGGTGGCAGAATTCATGTCTTTAAGCTCTGATTCTCGTGTAATTAGTTCCAAGGTCTCGGCGGCATCCCGCGAAGTCTGTCCCATGGCATAGGAGGTATCAGCGGCAATCCAGATTACCGCATCGTAGTGGTCGCGGAAATTCTTTGCGTATAGCAATGCCACCTGTGTCTTACCAACTCCACCCATCCCATACAGAGCGAACGACCTGAGCTCTCCAACCTTATCGGAAGGAGGTTCTAGGACTTGTGCTATAGCATCGATTGCTTCTTGACGTCCTGAAAGGCGCGGGTCAGGGTCGTGTGGCACCAGAAAGCATCGTGCCGAGGACTCCTCCTCTACTTTGGCCTTCTCAAGATCTTGGACCAAGTCAATCACTTCTTTGTACCGATCCTTGTTCATTTTCATACGCGCAAGATCTGCCTCCGCTTTGACCTTGGAGGACATGCGCCTGATACTTCGGATGGTGCGGCTGAAGTCGCCTTGGAAGTCTCCCCATGCTTTTCTTTGTAGAGAGACATGAGGATTGCTCTTGAAGAAATGGATGGTCCTAGCATAGAAACATATCACTTCTGTGTAAAGATCGAGTAAGGCCGCTTCCAGAGGTTTACCTATGGGAAGGTCTTCTTCATAACTTCGAAACTCAGGCAAGGTCACACTCAACTCTTCCAGCATGTCCAGAATGCTCTGCAAATTCTCATTTGCAGCAACGGCCAGGGACAAGATGAGGCGAATACTGCCCCATACGAACGCGGTCAACCTGGCACTGGCACCAAAGAAGAGGGCGATGACCGCTGAAAAGTCATCGACAAACTTGAGCACTGGGCCCAGTCGATGGAACGAGACGAGCTTGGCCCGATCATGGGAGATCTCGGGCTCGAACGTCTTGATGTGTTCAAGCACATCTTGAAGGGATCCTGTGTCTCCAAGGATATCATCATAAGAGTCGTTCTCTGAAAGTTCTTCTCGATATCTTTCCAGCGCACGGTTCCATAACGGGCTCGGGTCGCGCCTTCCCGGATGTAAACTTGGGCTGAGACTTGGCGGTTAGCGAGGGAAGGAACGTTTGGGGCCATCTTTGCTAATTTCAAAGTCAGAACTCACGACGCTTTACCAGACTGCATTCTACCACCCTGATACAGAGAACGTCGATACTCGATACATTGGTGCCGAAACTGTCCGAAACCTCACTCTGAATACGATGGTCGAACATGGAAGAGGCCAGAGAAGAGCAAGCGCTGAAGCCCAATCCCAGAATGCGGCACAACTTGGAGTTGAAGGGCCTATCAACTCCCACTCACCCCGCGACAGCTGTCGGCGCATTACTGGCCCCAGGGGGCCGTAGACCTTTTGGCCCTGGTCGATCATGTTAAGAGCTCTTGGCTCCCTTCTTTGGCTGATAAGCCTCGATCCATTTGTCGTCCCCTTGATAGCGCAGGCGGCTACCACTATTTCTGTGTCGGTGTCCATGGGTCGTTGTTCAGCCTGATCAATGGTCACCTATCTGAAGCAAACTAGGCACCACCACTCTCCACTCTGTCGAGGATGGGTTACTTGGCATCCATGGCTCTGCAGGGCGTAACAAAAGCTCCCGGGATACCTTGTGAGGAACCACCTGATGAAGAGACGAGATCACAATACCCTCCGCCGATAAGCCAACTAACAGAAGGCCACTGGCGGCCTGAATATACCCTGGGCGCTCTGCCAGGCTTCCCTTTGCCTTAAAAAGTCGTATGACACTCTTCGGGCCAGAACTACGACCTGTGGTACTTTATATGATCTTTAGCCTCGAGATGTGAAGTCTCAGCCTTCATTTCACCTACAGGGTAGCGAGCGTCTAGGCATTGCTGCACTGCCTCTGTCGTTCATACAGCTACACGCAGGCATGAGAATACCATCCATTAGTCTCATACTCCTTCAAGTATAAAGTTGATCGCCACCCGGCTGAAGCACGCCATTTATGTACAGGCGACTCAATCTGCAGTCTATCCCTTTTATTGCTGTCAGCCTCGTCCGTAGCGCACATGTCTCCTCGAATCGAACGACAAGGAACAGACAATCGAAGGTCTTTGCCACCCTTCGGTAAATTTAGAGCTAGACTTGAACGTCGCAAACGACAAGGTGCGTGCGCATTGTCAGATCCAGCCAATGCTAATCGCAATTTGTGCAGGAAACAAGCGTGCAACTTCATGGCCAGATGCCTCCTATCGACTGATTGAAGCCATTAACCCTGGTTCTCGGGAGTTGGCGAAAAGCATGACATGGTATGGGTTTTGGGTCGCTGAACAAATAACGAGTCTCCGTCCATGTTTAGTCAACCTTATCCCTGATTATGACAATGATGACAATGATCTCTGGCAGCCACAGTTCCTGAATCTATGGGACAGGATCGCTCTGCATCTCCGCACCAACACAGATACTCGGATCGACACAATCATTGACCTTCTCATTAAAGATGAGATTTTTCAACTGGACCAGGAGAGAAAAAACTTGTTCCAGGCGAGGCAAGTGGTATTCTCAGTCATTGGATGGCAGACCATGATTTGGAAAGCAGAGACTGGCGTCTGCCCACCAGGACAGCTTGCCATTTCAGATGAGAGGAACGGGTTTCAGGGCGAGAATGAGCTTTCCTTTCGGCAGGACCAGTCTTGTTGCAAAAGGTCTCTCCAACAGGTGATCATGGGTTTCGGAATCCTGTTGCCATCTTCACCGCAGTGTCGATTGGAGCTGAGGCGGGAAAGTCAAGCCACAGAAGGGACAACAGCAGCCCTGTCATCATCACCAAACTACAACTGTTTACCTACAATCTCGCCGGCATCGCTAAACATGTTCATGCTATCTACAGTCGGTGGAATCCGCATACAGTGGACCGATGTGCTTTCTCACCACCTCGAGCTGAACAACAAAGACCGCATCATCTATCTCTATCGATTTCCTTCATTTTGTCTTCTCAATGTGCCCGCAACGTCTGACGAAGAATCGAAGACCGAGAGACATACTCCGATATACGCCTGCTGTGATTCCACTGTAAATAACAAATACTGGGCTGGTCAGGATGATATACGAGACCTGCTCCGCGAAACACTGCTGTCATATCGTGTCCTCTTCGGCCAGGATAAACGATCCAGGAAAATGTACAAACGGCTCCGTCCGTTTGGAGATTGCTCTAAGAGAGAACAAGACGTTCTGCTCAACGAGCTCTGCAGCCGCGAGCATTGTGATCTCACCGCTAACGAGGACCGTGACAATTATGACCCATGCGAAGACTTTCCACTTTACAGCAATAGATTCAAGGTTCTTCATCAGGTATTGATGAATACCAAAGCACGGACCTGGAAACAACTCTGGAAGGACAAGCGGGATTCAGCTGCCTGGCTCACATTTTGGCTCTTATTGATCTTTGGTGGTCTTGGTGTCATGTTCTCATTCATGCAGATGATCTTACAGGTGATTGCAATATCTTTGGATCGCGGCTAAAGACTCTGCTTTCAGGATCATCCTGGGTCATCGCAACAGATCAGATTGCTCGGTCAAACCAACTCTCCACAATACCGGCATTGCTTGCTTCATACTCCTTGAGCACAGCTTTCCCCTCATGGAGAAATGTGTTGGCATGAACATAGATGAGACGAGGTGACGTCTTGGCCATGAGGGTTTTTCGCCACCCTAAGTGGTTTTCTTCAACTTTGGACAAGGATTCAAAGTATGGTCGGCAGGCATCGATGTCAGCAGTTACCCGGTACATGTGTAGCCTCAGAAGCATCTTCTCCAGGGCAACTTTACCCTTTGAGATGATGAGATTACGATCAACCACAACCTTCAACCGGGCATTTTCTTGGTCGTGTTCGATTTTTACGCAACCCCCTCCATCGGCAAGGAGGCAACGAAGCATTGCAAAGTGGGCCTATCAAGTCAGTGAGCTTGTCAGCAATATGCGGTTCACATACCCGATCATGGGCTTGGCCCCATTTCTGCACAGAATTAGCACGCGTGCATCGAGTCTCAGCGACACTACTGCTCACCTTGGTATCGATGTTGAAGTTTGAAAGCGCGACGAGACCTGACCAACCCAGTTGCATATAAAAATAATATGTCACTGGTGTAGTGCACGGACAATATCAGCACAGCTTCTTTATGAGAGGAGTAATGTCATACCATCGTCTGCCTTGAGGTCACTCTCGTCATTGTAACCGAACAAGGAGAGCAGTTCTTTATTGTCCATCAAGCAAGCGCTTACAAGCTCACATCGACACTCATCGACGCTGGTGCTCAAGTCGCCGAATACTCCAGTCCATGTCTCGCCAGGCTTGTACCACTTCTCGATGGGGTTTCCCGTTAGTGGATCCACGGGCGGGTTGTTGATGTCGAAATTGTAGACATCCTCGGAAGATTGTATCATCATCTTACCCGTGCCATGTCCAAGAAGCTCGTGGACCACCAACCATAAAAATAAGACGGTGAATTGATGACGCTGGAATTCTTGGGCTTCGTGGGACGGGACAAAGGAATTAGGGGAGCTGGCGATGGAATTGGCCGCCATGCGATTAGCAATAACGACATTTTTGAAGCCATGTGTCTGACGGATGTCATTGTAATTGGGGAGATTGATGCCATCAAACAAGATGGTGGAGCAATATGTCAGTGCTACAGACATAGGGTCAGGAAACACATGGCCAGGATTCAAAGGGGAAATGGAAGGGATACGCACTGTGAATGCTAGCAAAGCTCGGTGGGTCGAAGGTGGCTTTTTCGAAGGGACCTTTACCGTTATTGTCGGTACAACCACGAGCCCAGGGTTGACATCGGATGAATTGATCCGAGTTCTCCACCAATTCTCGAAGAGCTTTGCTCTCTTCGGGGTTCTCAATCGCGACGATACCTTCAAACTCAGACCGAATGCCAGCAGGATCCCGGTAGGGTTCGATAAACCCAATCATGTTTTCCACCACAGGATACTTGTCCTGGACCCATAACTTCTGAGATTCACGATATGCCTCGAGATCTCCCGTGGTGAAACTCTCGACGTACTTTTCGATGACTAGCTTTTGTGTCTCGTTGGACGTGTAATTGAGCGCATCCTTTAGGTGAGAACACATGCGAGAAAGCGTCTGTCCGTGGTCACCGCGCCGGAGGGTGATTTGCGAACTGTCAGGGCCGGCTCGTCGGATTATTTCACTTCCTTGATCGACAGATGCCTGCAGTACTACCAAAGACTTGCCTCCCGTCTCGGACCTGTCGGTACTGAGGCGAGTATTCTCAGGCCAAATCCCCAGCGATGCCATCGTTTTCGAGACCTGATTAATCTCCTTCACTGTTATGGTGTCTGTGCCTGGAGGGTAATACTGGCTCTGGCTATCGGAGGATGGATAGCCTAGAGTGTGAGGTGGTCGTGAATAAATTACATCCTTGATTTTGGACCAGAGCTTCCCTGCAGCCTCAGAAACAGTCGACATCTTTTCCAGCACGTCGGCATTGACCCTTGGGACAAATTTCTGATCTCCTCGTCCCTACGGTGTAATGAGCTCATGGTAACAGTTGACAATTGGCAAAGATCCTCACAAAGTAGTTTCCAATGTTAGACAGAAACACCGCTGCATACTGTAGGAAGTAATCCACTTCGGTCTTCTCCAGCGACAACCGATGAACCAAGGCGTAAAAATCGCCGTCACATGATCGATATAATTCCATGATGAAATCAAAAATATCGTTTGCTTCGGGAGAGACTTGCTCAAGGATGATGCGGGCGCCAGTCCATGCCGCGCTGAGAGAAGGCTGAAATCAGAAGTGTTCCATTACGGAAGATTTCGAACAAGGCTGGCTATGAAGGGAGGAATATATGAAAGAACCCAGGACCTACCGTGATAAATGATGGGCATAGAGTTTCTCAATCTCAGTCAACGACTCAAATGGTTCTTTGATGCTCATCCGATGAACATGACTGACAGGAGCGGCCCGTCGAGCTGGTTTGTGCTCCTGGTCAGGTTCAGCCTGTGGAGTGTTCTGATCCATGCTGGTGCCGTTTTGATATCTGATATCTAACAAGAGGATGGCAATGGACCTGTCGACTGGAGAGCCTCCAAAACAATCGTCGACGTCAAAGATCACGTCCCTACGATGCCAGCATCAAAGAACAGAACCGGACAAAGTCATGGCTTATCTCAAAAACTGGGATTCATCATTCATTCGCCGTCATTGGCCAGGATGTTTGCTAGACTGTTACTGCCTGCATGAGTCTTGGAGCCCGATGGCGATCTTTCGTGTAACGAAATACGTGGCAGCCTTACCGCGGCTCTTCAGGCATATGTGAGCTCCTCCCGCATGTGTACTAAGAAAGACAGATGTTTCGAAAGGCTGAGGGTATCATTCAAGGATATGCCATCCACGGACGACGGCTTCTTAAGATGGAGGTTGTCAAGATGAATATATGCTGTGCCGTATTGCCAAGACTAATGCGGCTGGGAAGTAATGGTCGGCTGAAGTTGTAGCCTTGTCGTTACACTCAAATTTCAGCCTTGAATTCCAGTGGCATCTAGAGGACATAGATGTGAAAAAAGGCTGTTTGAGAAATATTGACCTTGACTGATGCAGACGCCTAGTAGGTAGTCATGATCATGTTAAACTCAACGGGCATTTCCTTGAAGTTGGGTGAGACCTCGTGTGAATACCACAAAATGGCCTCGAAATTTGCGGTCAGACAGGTACACATTTAGATGTAAAGTTAGGGTGTTAGGCTTTGATCTGCGTGAATAGAAGCCTCTCAATGCCCCCATATTGAATGTAATTGAAGAGAAACTAATCAAATGACAGCGCAGTAACCATAAACCAATAAGATTTCCTCTGCCACTTTAACCGATTCGATTAATCCTCCATGCCAATCCTGGATATACAAAACATTTCTTTGTTGCTGCCGCCTACTCAAACGCGTCCTCAACAACATTCACACCCACACTCTCGAACCCCATTCCCGTCGTTGTCCCTTGCCTCCTTTCTCCGTACCAAATCATCCAGATTTCCAATTCTGCAGGCAGAACGTTCGTTGCTACGGGACGGAATTGAGAAACAACAAACCACCAACGACGTCATTTCCTCGTTCCCCTTGCCTTTGCACCAACTCCCGTTCACCTCCCGTCTCTGTCGAGCATTACAATCGCGGCCTTGGAGGGAAGGCTGAGGATACCATCATATAAACTCAGAACGCCCTCCAGCCGCATGGTGCGATGAACGAAACCCCGCGACTGCGGTCGGCCTTCCCAAACACCCCCAGGTCGGAATTCCGTTCAAGAAATTCCAATGGCTCTCCTCAACCTCTCTTCGCCTCAAGCCACACCTCCTCTCACAGGTCCTCTCCCATAACAAAACCCATCAGAGTTCCTAATGACTCTCGACCGCGGACCACAGTCTCTCCATTGGTCCCCACCAATGCCGTCGATGCCCCAACCCAACGTCTTTATGTTTTCGGCTTTTACGCTTTCTTAGTCGCATGGAAGAGCTATGACTGGTGGCACATTGAAACCGTCGAGGATTCATCATGGCACTTTCTGAAATGGATGTTCCTCGACGCCACTTTTTTCACAGTCTTGCCCTTGTTGAAGATTCCATGGCTCGAATTCTCGTTTGCGACTACCGTGGCCATCGTCGTCTCGCATTTCGTTGTCGATGTCTTTACCATGTTCCGCATACCCATTCCAGTCTTAGCCTGGCTAGGCGCCCTGGTAAAGTTGGCCTATGATCGAGAAGCCACCCTCTCCGACGGCCGAATAAGACCTGCCGACGTTCTTCACAACTCTTCCATCATTCTGGGGAAGCAAATTATTCACATCCTGCCAGAAGGCTCGGCCATCCTCAATCCGGAAAAGCAGGCTTTTTGCCTCGACTCTGCCATGTCCCACATCGACTTGCCTATACAAATCAACCAGACCACTCCTATTTCAATCGAATTGGCTCGCTACGATCTTGACACCGACGAGCTTGAAACTATCATTATTGGGAAGCAGGAGGCAAAGCAGTTGTTGAAATCCGCCAACGCCCGGTCTCAAAGCACCGCCAAAAACACTCCACGCACTCTGCATTACACGGTCAAAAAGACCGGACTATACCAATTACAGCGTGTCATCGATGCGACCAATCTTGATGTACGCAAGCGCAGCTTTGACGTCGCCGTTGTGGGATGCCCAAAGGCTTCAGTATCGACCGAGTCTACTCACCGATGTACGGGAGATTTGACCAGGGTTTCCTTGAAAGTCGAAGGCGTTCCTCCTTTCAAGGTGAGATACAGCAAATCGGTCAATGGACGCGAATTGAGCTCCAACGTACAAAATGTCCAACCGTCTCTGGACTCGGGCTTCCAAGCCCAAACAGAGGAAGATACCACCGTCCTCGACCCCAAAGCTCCTCATAGGGGTTGGACAAAAGCGACGACCGAGTCTTTTGAGATCAATGAAGCTTTGCATCAAAATGGCACTCACTCGTACACCGTTGAGGATATTGAAGATGGCCTTGGTAACAAAATCTTCTACACCTTGGATGCTTCGAAAGGCTCCCAAGGCCCTCGAACCGAGTCTCTGACAGTTCACAACCGTCCTCAAGTCAGGCTCCATGACTGTGGTCCTGATCGGTCGATCCCAATCCCCAAGGGCCGTTCAACGGACTTGCCTGTGCGTGTTCTGCCGCCAGCAAGGCTTCATTCAAGTGATTGGCCATTGAAACTGAGGTACACTTTTGTACCCGAAACCGACCAGGAAATCCCACGCGTGGAAGATTTTACATTCCACATGACGACCGAACGCTCCAGTCCTCAAATCACGAGACCTGGTCGCTACAACCTTGATTCAATTGAGAGTCAGTTCTGTCGTGGCGAGGTCGTTGAGCCGTCTTCTTGCAGACTCTTCAATCCCCCCGAACCTGACGTCGTTCTTGAGTCAGAGGAAATCTTTGATAAGTGCGCTGGCAATCCAATCGGAATGTTGGTCAACCTCGACTTTACAGGAACTCCCCCCTTCACCGTGCGATACAATGTCGAACATCGAGGGAAGATTCGTCCTGAGGTCAGGGAATTCCCAAGCATGCGAGGCCAGATTGAGTTATCAGAGAGGTCAGCAGGCTCCTATAGCTATCACTTTCAAGAAATAAGAGACAAGGTCTATGGATCGGTCTCCTTGAAGGATCGACAACTCACCTTGAAACAAGACATCAACCCACCAGCATCCGCATCTTTCTTGGGAGCCCAGTCGCAATCTAAGCAATGCCTGGGTAGTCCTCTATCACTTCAAGTCAAATTTGTGGGACAGGGTCCATGGGATCTCGACTATGAGATCATTTATGCTGGCAAACGCAAGAAGCACAGTGTCCATTCGGAAACAGAAATTCTCACCCTTGATCTTCCAGAACAGCCAGGTGGCGGCCGTCATACTGTGATTTTGACCGGGGTCCAGGACAAGACTCGATGTCGAACAGCACTGAAAGAGGAACGGCACTTTGAAGTCAGGTCCGATCGGCCAACTGCATCCTTTGGTGATGTTGCAGGCAAGCGAATCGTCCTTGCTCTGGAAGGCAAGGAAGTCAAAATCCCTCTTCGCCTCAAAGGAAATGCGCCATGGTCTGTTCGGATCCAGAACGTGGATGATCCTGTCATGGCCAGTGCTCAGCACTTCCGAGACGCTAATGCCGTTATCAGCGTTACAAAACCTGGCACCTACGAGATCGTGGCTGTCGATGATCAATGTCAAGGTGTAGTTGACCAGAAGGCTCACCAATTCAAAGTCAGCTGGATACCTCGTCCTGCCCTCGGTATCAAAGATATTCTTGGGGAACAAAAGGGAGAGGAATTCCACAAAGCACCTATCTGTCAAGGTGACGAGTCTGTGCTGTCAGTTGGACTCACTGGAAATCCTCCTTTCACCGTAGGCTACCAACAAAAATTCGAACCCATCAAAGGATCTCCCTCCATCAGCAACAAAGTTGCCAACTTTGTCAACAGCAATGCAATCATCAAGCTCGAAACTGCCAAACCGGGCGAGTATACTTACACATTCCGAGAGCTTGCAGATGATCGCTACTCCAGCGATAAACAGAGCTTCAAGCCCATGGTGGTCAAGCAACAAGTCTATGCTCCTCCAGCAGCCGCTTTTGCTCACCCAGGCAAGGTATACAGCTACTGCAGGGATGACCCATCCCTAACCGAGTCCGGCCAAGAGACCGAGAGTATCCCATTGATCTTGACCGGTACACCACCCTTCAGCGTCGAGATTGCCATCCGTCACCACGGACAATCCGGACGGCCCGAGATCATCCGCCAGAGAGACATCCAGACCAATACCTACACGTGGCCAGTCTCACGCGCCTCACTCGCACTAGGAACACACAGCATCTCCATCCGCTCCATCAAAGACGGACGCGGATGCGAACACATCATTGACCATGATTCCACCTCCGTTCGCATCCAAGTAACCTCCCCACCCACGATAACCCCTCTCCAATCACAAGAAAACTTCTGCGTTGGAGAATACGTCTCATTCTCCCTCAGCGGCCAATCTCCCTTTGAAGTCTACTACACATTTCAAGGCCGGGACCGAAAAGCCAAGGTTTCAGACACCGAGTTCAAACGTCTGGCTGAAGCACCTGGCGAATTCATCATCACCGGCGTCAGCGACAGTGCCATGGGTCGAGGTAAATGTCGAGCACGCAAGGATATTCACAAGACGATCCGTCCGTTTCCAACGGTGGAGATTGGTCGTGGCAAAACCCTCATCAGTGATATCCATGAAGGTGGTGAAGTTGATATTCATTTCAGCTTTACGGGAACACCGCCTTTTGAATTTACGTAAGTTTCCACCATTCCCCCTTTTCCCTTCGGCTTTTCATTTCTGTTTCCATTTCTACATTCACAAGCTCATGATCTCTAACTGACATATTTCTGTTCCTTCTAGATATACACGATCCGAACACGCAAAGAAAGGCCGTAACAAACAACCAGTGATCCTCGAAACGCGACACGACACATCCAACGAATTTTCCAAGATCATCCGCGCTAGTGACGAGGGTATCTACGAAGTCGTGTCTATCAAAGATCGGTATTGTTCGTATACTAAACCGTCGCATAAAAATGTAGGTTCGGGCGGTGGTGGTGGGCAGAAGAGGTTGACTTATTGATTCATTTGATCTGATCTGGCTGGGTTGGTCAGGTTGGGTCAGCGTATTGGACCCGTGAGCCATGGACCACGGTAGCAATAAACATAAAATGGAATGAAGCGAATTGATCCATCGGATTCGGATTGGATTGAGTTGGATTGGAATGGACTAAGGGGAAGACTTCCTAGATTCAACCAGGTCATGGTCCAGATTCAGGGAGGGCCAAGGGGTCCTTTTTGTGTGTCTGTCTTTTCAGATTTGCATAGGGTATAATAATCATGAGCCTTGTTTTACCACAATCCTACAAGTAAGTAAGCGCAGATGATCAAGCAGGGTCTACTTCCAATGAAATGTGAACAACGCGATTCAAGTAGGAAAACAAGTCAGAAGAACACAGGTCAGAGGAAAGAATGTCTTTTATATTTTGGTTGGCTCCATCCAGCCACTACCAGGTTCAAAGGAAGTGACAACTATCTGAACCTGCCATTGGTTGGAACCACAATACAAAGAACGTTGTCTAGTCATGAACCATGACTGTCATATGATATACCCCATCATATGATGCCTAGATAAGATTGCCAGCCGTATTCCCTTCTCTGTGGATCTCGATCCCGGTAACTCATCTATGTCTGAAGGTATTTGCAATATGAGACTGGACTTCTGGACCATGGCATATGTGTGTGAAGTCAGCCACGTCCAGAGCTCGTCATGACTCTCGGCCTTCCTCCTGTGTTTTTTTTTGGCTTTTTCTTCTGAGTGTTTTGCTTCTGCGGGGACCTTTGCAGTGATGTGACGATCTGTCCACACTGAAGCTTTGATGGCACGGGATTGTTAAGTATAGCACTCTTGATGGATGCTCCGGAATCTGCACCGTCTCGTGAGTGATTCCCGCTTGGAATAGTTAATAAAGTCTCCGGAGAGACTTGGTAGTGAATCGATGATGCCACGTTCATGCGATGAGTATTGGGTTTTGTGAAATAATGAGCCAGGTGAAAGGGGTATCACTTTTCTGGTCACCTGCCAGTAAAGTAAAATTGCGCCGACTTTGAAGAAGTGAGGTCGGGAAGAAGAGAGCTGACTCAATGAGGATGAATTGGGTTGTGTCGGAAGATTGTGATAACACCCTGAGTGTTGGTGGTGGGTGGGAAAAAGGGACTTCTGGAACCAGCTTGGATTCCTAAAGTGAAAACGCCGGGCAACTCTACACACCCCTAGAGATGCGAATTCGGTCTTTTCAAGCATGTACGCCTGACCTGTTTGTCTGTCCGGTCCAGTAAGTACGTCATGTCCGTACCTTCCCAAGAAAGAACGCCGTGTTGGAAAAGGAAGAAACGCCGCAGAGTGAAAGCCGTGCTCGAAAGGGACACTTTCACCTCCACGTCAAACGTCCATTCAGAAATTATGCCCAACCCAAAGAAGAAAATAACTAAGCTGTACGACACTGTTGTACAGATCTCATAGCTAGCCATGATTCAACTCCGAGCTGTCGCATTGTCGCATATCATAGACCTTCGTGAGCATGGAAAATAACGCCATGAAAATGACAAAAGAAAATCGCATATCGGATAAGTAGACGAACAGGTTACTGAGTCGTCTGACCAACAGGCAAGGCAGGTTGATGGCCGCCACGACCACCACCACGGGTGCCTTGACCACGGCCTCGCCCGCGATAACCGCCACGACCCTGGTTGTTGAATTGTTGGGGGAATCCATTAGACTGGCCTTGTGGGCGTCTCTGGCCCTGAGCCTGGCTCTGTACTTGACCGTTGTGAGAGGTGGAGGCTGCGTTGGTACTGCTATAGGATGGTCTCGCTTGGGCTGGTGGTGGCATTGATCGAGGAATATTTTCGGGATTATCGTACACGTAAAGACTCTTGTCGATAGATGGTGGGATGGGTTGAATCTCGGTGCCCAGCTCCTGCTCAATTTTGTAAAGATTGAATCTATCATCCCAATTGATGAGATTGATGGCGAGACCAAGATGGCCGAAACGACCAGAACGACCGATACGATGGAGATAAGTCTCAGCATTCTTGGGGAAATCAAAATTGATGACCACATTGACAGCTTGGATATCGATACCGCGGGTAAGAAGATCAGAGCAGACGAGATTGCGGGAGACACCAGCGCGGAAGTCGTGGAAGACCTTGTTGCGGTTCTGCTGCAGCATCTTGGCATGGGAGTAGAAGCAAGAATAGCCAAGCTCGGTAATCTTTTTCGCCAGAAGCTCGACGCGGTTGGTGGAGTTGCAGAAGATGATGGACTGGTTGATCTGAAGCTTGGAGAAGAGAGTGTTGAGACAGTGAACCTTTTGCTTCTCCTCAACAAAGGCATAGTATTGAGTGATACCGCGAAGGGTCAATTCGTCCATGAGGTTGATCTCATAGGGATTGCGCATGTGTTTGTCTTTGAAATGCTTGACAATCATGGGGAAAGTGGCACTGAAGAGCATGACTTGTCTATCCTTGGGGTGGAAAGACAGTAATTGCTCAATAACGACGGTGAATTCCGGAGAGAGAAGTTTGTCGGCTTCATCCATGACGAAGATGGAACATTCAGAAAGATCTGCAATGCCCTTGCTGGCCAGATCAAGAATGCGGCCTGGGGTAGCGATGATGATGTGTACAGTATCTCCCAGTCTTAAAATGTCATCTTTAAGCCCTGTCCCACCGGTTGTGACCATGACATTGATACCGAGATGTTTTCCCAAAGTTTTGCAGACTTGGGATGTTTGTAAAGCGAGTTCTCGAGTGGGGACGAGTAGAAGGGCCTGAGTTTTGGGGTTCTTGGGGTTGATTCGTTCGAGGGTGGGAATGACAAAGGCGGCGGTCTTGCCAGTTCCATTCTTTGCTCTGGCCAGAATGTCTCGACCAGTCAGGGCAACGGGGATGGTCTCTTCTTGGATGGGGGAGGGCTTCTCGAAACCAGCCTCGAAGATACCCATCATGAGTTCACGTTTGATATAGAAATCTTCAAATTCGAGTCCTTTTGTTGCGAGGACATCCTCTGTCTGTTGTCTTCCATCTTTGGTGGGAATCTTCAATCCTTGTTTCCAGCTTGAGTCATCTGGACCGTCGGTGAGGGAGGTTTTGTTTAGCTGGCTCGCTAAAGCGTCTGCCATTGTGAACACGTGGGAGTATGGAGGATGGTATGGGTAGGGCAGGAGTGAGAACAAGAGACCGGGCCAAAGGGAGGCGGTGTGATTTGGCGTGCCAACCCAAGAGTGATCGTAGGCGGCTTGTGTGTTTTGAAAAGAAAATTGGAGAGAAGAGCGAGGGTGAGTTAGATGATCTGTCAAATTGAAGCAGATTGAGGAGAAGATGGCTATCGAGGAGGTCGAGTGCCGTGCGGGTTTTGTATGAACGAGGTGGGGTTCGAGGGTTTGTTTTGTGGTCAAGTGATTGATCTCGGGCTCTTTGTGTGAAGGATGCCGAGGGTAGGTTCGAGTAGGCACAGACACTCAGTGAAGATGAGGGCCAGGAACGGGAAGATGTTAGAGATGTTGGGGTCCGAGGATCTTGTGAGTAGAGTCAATTAGCGATTTGGCCTTGAATAAGTAACGTGGGAGGAATAATGTCCAAGTATGAGTGTGGTCTGGAGTGAGGTTGTGGTGCGGCAACAAATACGAGTGGATTGATGAATGGAAGGTGGAGGAGGCGGTTTTGGTGGTGGTGTTTCAGCCAATCAGGCGGCAGTGCAGGCAACATGCCTCTGTGACTCTCAAGCCATGCCAAGCCTGGCCGCCACTTTCCATTTAGTGAAAGATATAGTATCTCTAAGCGTTCCAAAGGGTTCTAAAGGCAGGAGCTGCCGGAGAGACAATGTTGGAAGGCAACCACGACGACGACAACAACAACAACACGCACCTTCCTAACATAAGTCATCATGCTGAGCCCTGATGCAGGTACGAGGTCCAGGGCTCCTTCCTGAACGTCTGCCTAAGTATCTTTCCAAGTCCGGTAGGTGCGCCAGGGAGAAACCAACTTGGCTACCTGACTCCGTAAAGAATCGAATCCTGGACAATCTGTCGTGGGAAAACATTACATGAATTCGTGTTGGTCAATGGTCCCTCGCATGTTCCAACTTCTATTGGATCGACTGCTTCCATGTCTCTTTGATGCGCTTCCAGCATTGTCTCCTCTTCCTCCTCCTCGTCGAATCTCACCCCCTTCAAGCGTACAGCTCTCTTGATCTAGTTGCATGGACACACGCAAGTCGGAGGACATCTTCCAGGGCCCCTGCGATTTTTGCATGCACAACTGACACACATTGAATTAGCAAGACCGCCTATCAAACGCCTTGATCTGGTGACCGTTCATACCTGCCTCGAACACATGGAGGTACGCAGCCACAGTTTCGAATCTTCTTAGGTCTGTTGGAATTAAGCACAGATGCTGGGCGGTGCTCATGTCGTATCCGACAAGCATCATGTTGCTGCGTCCTTGCCATGTCAAGGACATCCCATGCAAGCCGGGTATTCGCTAAAGTCGACATCTTCAGCTTCTTCCAGCTCGGTCTGTCTGTCGATCCAGTCAACTTTGGATATAATGATATTCTTCGTCGCAGTCGTGGTATAGAGATATTCGACAGAGAAAAGACCTCTGTGAGGATACTTGGGATAATATTCGAGGGGGATAATGTCCACAAAGGACGATGGAGGGCTAAAAGCACCCGAAATCCTCCTCAACAAAATGCAATTCTACGACTCAAAGAGAAATTGGCAGTTGCACTGCACTTGGTAAGGAGGACATGCGTGTAAGACAAGCAGGAACGTGGCTAGAATCGTAACATCAGTGGACATGGCCAATTCATCGTCGTCGTTTTCTCGTTGAACATTCATCATCTTCAGGTTGACACAGACACACATCCAACGCAACATTGTCCTTGATCGTGCTCTCACTATATCCTGCACTGCATGGACAACCTTTTGACCTAGGCCCCTTGCACTGTACCACTAATGATCGAGCGTACAATCGCGAGCCTCCTGTCAGCTGCTACACCGCATGACCATGACTGGCGCCGACTCAATGAAATATAACCCGTCTTTGTAGAACTAGCCGGATACGGTGAGATGGTCCGGGCGACGTCTGTCATACATCAAGCATGGTTCGTGCTATGGTGTCAACATTGATGTCAAACATGGAAGTATCCAAATGAGGTTGCTCGGTCTGCATCCTTTGCAGTCCTTATGATCACTTTGTGGTTGCTGTTGTTAGTCCCACTCTCGGTCACAATCACGATCGAGATCATGCGGCTGCAAACGCCAGTCTTGCTTGTCCTCTTTCTGGAGCAGCGACCCTGTAATGAGTTAGCGGACAATAGCTCAGCATACGCCTCCGTTGCAACTCACTCTACCGCAGTGACATCCTTGGCCATCTTAATGTCCGACTTGTTTCCCGGACTGATCAAGACAAATTGTCGGCCAATACTTTGTCGAGCTGCCTCAATCAACAAATTGATGCTGGTGGTCCTGTTGACAGCATCCATGTACACATCAAATTCGTCAAGACACCGGATCGGCGACCCCATGGCTTCCCAGATGGCGAGGAGGAGACAGATCTGTGAGAATGACTTTTCGCCGCCCGACAACGTACGCGCACTTCGTCCCTCGCCACTCCGCTTGGTGATATCCGGCTCCACCTGAATATCCATGAGTTTCTGCCGATGATCCATGATGACCTGGCCGCGGAAGCTTCTCTCGCTGAGCATATATGTGAATTGAGTCTTGGTCCGAGCGGTGATGTGACCACGGAACTCTTTCCACCTGACCTTACGTTCCGTTAGTGAGTCGTGTAGCTGGTCTCGCAGTGATTCTAGATTCTCAATTTCCTTCTTCGCCTTGTTGTAAATTTCCGAGTATTTGGCTGCGTCAGAGATAATCTTTTCGCGGCTGGCTCCAATCTCGGCCTGGAAAGCGTCATAGTCACTGCGCAGCCGGTTGTACTTCTTGTGCAGGGCATCATAGGTAGCATCTGGTGGAATGTTGATACGCTCGCAGACCACGCTAGCTTGTTCCACATAATTGGCAAGCTGTTCCAGATGCTCGTCCAATTTTCGCTGTAGAGAGGCCCGGTCTGCTCTTCCATCTTCGATTAGCGCCATGGCAGCATTCTTTTCTCCTAGGTCGTGCGCTCGTTTCTTTCCAGCCTTCTGCGCCGCGATCTGTGCCTCTGCGACCATTTCTTTGACACGGTTGATTTGCTTCTCTAGTATCTCGTCTTTCTCGTGTGCTGCTCGGGACAACCGTGAAAGGTCATCCACAGGAGTCACCGTATCTTGAAACGAACTCCCGTGGATCGCTTTTTGCTCGCGTGCGTCTTCCAATTTCTGCCGGAGAATCTCCAACTTCCCATCATGGACGCTGTCATCTTTGATTGCATCCTGCAGGGTTTCGATTCGATCTTGACATTGCTGAACTGCAATTTCGAGCTCTCTCGACTCCCTCTTATGCCGGCCAAGCTTGTGTTCGGCTTCAGACACCCTCGCCTGGGCATCTGTGTGATTAACTTCAAGCTCGTGCAACTGAGCTCGAGACTCCTCCACGGCTGCCTGCTGCCTCCTGATCGTTTCCTCGACATCGGATTTCATACGGGGCAAGCCATCATACTGCTGGATCGGGTCTTGGGCAGCCTCACCCCTGCCTTTGTACATAAGCACAAACCCCCTCTGTCGGGAGTGAGGATTGAAGCAATAGCATCGTCGAACATTTTTCAATGGTTGACCGTTTGCAAAGAGCTCTCTTGAAGCCTCAGTCATGTCGGGAATAAGAATGGTTTGCTCTATGCCATGAGCGATAACGAGCTGCTTTTTGACCATTTCATCGTCTATCTGTAAAGTTCGAAGCACAGTGTCAAAACGGGCATCTGGCTCCTTTGATGTTGTGTCAATCGCTTGAGTATTGCTGATGAAGATCGGCGTCACGCATCTTTGCTGTCTCATGATGTCGCTTAGTAGCTTCTCATCCCGCTTGTTGGAGACAAGAAAAGCATTCAACGAACTGCCAAAGGACTTTTCCAGGATCGATGACCACTCTTGCTTGAGGAGTTTGACGTGCTTTCCCAAGGGTCCGATAGGCTTCTGCTGAAAGCCGGTGGTGCGACTCAGAGCTCTCAGCAGGTTTGGCATATTCGGATGGAATGCTGCTTCGAGCGAGTTCCGATTCTGTTGCATCTGTCTCAGGATATCCCTCTGCTGACTGCATCGCTCTTGTTGGGCCATCTTTGCTTCTTTTGCCTCGTTCATAAATTTGCGGGCGTCCTCAAGAGCTTCGGTCAGCTGAGGTGTTTGTTGAAGGTGTGTGTTACGTTTGTCCAATGCAGCGTCTAAAGAGTCTCGGGCCTGTTGCAAGTCGTGAACTCGAGCCGCCGCACCGCCACCATCCAACTCAGCTAGCCGAGTCTCTTCAGCGCTGATTTCGGCGAGTGTCGAGGCGATCTCTTGTTCGGTAGTTGTAATGAGGCTTCGAATTGCTCTTTGCTCCGTCAAGGCAGCCGAGACATCGCTTTTAATTTTATCAATCTTGTCCTTGTGCTCCTTCTTCTCATCCTTCGCGAGTTCAAGTTGCGATACCATTAAATTGAAAGCCTCGGTGGCCCTCGTTGCCTCCTGGTCGGCTTGCTGAAACAGGGCATCGAGCTCAGCAGCCCTGTGTTCTGCCTCCGCAATCTTAGCATTTGCATCGTCAATCTCGTGCTGGTACTCATCACGAATTTTTTCCTGATCCTGGACTTGAATCCAAGCAAGCATCCGACGTAGTTCACGGATTTTACGGTAAGTGCCGTCATGTTTGTTTGAAAGAGCAAGTTTGGTGTTGGCTGAATCCATCTGTTTTTTCAGGGGTTCTAAATCTGGGAGTTTGGCTTCAATCTTGGCTCTGATATTTTCGGATTGTTCTTCGATCAGCTTGTAATCCTGGTCCAGCTGTTCCAGCTGCACGCCTTTCATGAAAAGCTTGTACTTTTCCGCCGGGCTTGACGAGGAAAGAAATTGGCGGGCCTGGTCCTGAGAGAGTACATTCATAGGATTGTCGATTTGCAACATCATATGGTCGCAAATGTCCTCTAGGTCTGCTCTGCGGGTTGAAATGATGCGACCTTTTTCGGATTTGATTTTATATGTACTGCTACCAGTACCAGTGCGAGAAAAATGGCGTTCGACCCGAATGGATTTGCCATATTCTTCAGGTTTGTATGCGGCCTCGCCTTGGTTTTTCAGCACACACACAATGGAAGCCTGGCTCTCACCCTCCTTGATGAAGTCTTGCAGTCGAGCGCCGCGGTTGGTGGCCGATGCTTTGCCACCGAGACAAAGAGTGATGGCTGTAAGCAGAGCACTTTTTCCACTTCCATTCTTGCCACAGATAAAGTTGATGAGGGGTCCCAGTTTGAAAAAGTACTCGGCGTGACACATGAAGTTTTTCAATTCGACGGCTTCGAGGATACCGAATTCGGCTGGTTCATTGCCCTTGTTTTTCTGATTGGCAGCTTTGGCACGAAGAGCTTGAGTTGCAGCTGCTTCATCTTCTGAATTATCGAGGTCGTCGTCTGAATCTAGATCGGAGGGCGGAGTACTGCCGTTGTCTGGCTCAGACTGATTCGAGGACACATCACTAATTCGTCTTCTCTTGTTCTGTAAGGGGAAAATATTAGGCTTAATGCAGATACCACAGCAGTGAACTTACCGCAGCCGAACCTGGGGTGGATTCAGATAGATGGCTAGACTGATCTTCGTGGAATCCGTCGTCGTCGTCGTCAGGATCAAGTGGCGCCGGGCGTTTTGAGGGCGCCATGGTGCCTTGATGGGCTTGCTTCTAAGCAAGATGCAGGGAGATCGCAACGGAGAGACACATGAGCATGCTGTAGAGAATGACGCGAGGTTGCTGGGGTGGCAGCGCACCGATGGTGAAATCGTAGCAGGCAAGATTTGTCTCTGTTGATACGAGATATTATAAAGTGGGTAGGCGCGTTCAGTGCAGTCGTGGAACGCGTTGGAGCCTTCCGCACCTTCCCCAGGCACACGTCAGGCTGCCGTGGCAGCCATTCACATGGCCGATGGCCTCCGGAAAAATATGGCCCCGAAATCGGAAAATCACTGGGCCTGAGCCCTCCACATGGCACTAATCCTTCTTGGTCTTAGTCTGCAGCCTCGTCATGCATCATCTTTGCTCTTTCATCTGGAAAGAATTATTTGCGAAGATAACCCCGCGGCCACACTCTCTTGACGACGTCCTTCACAGCGAGGGGACATAGTGTCTGTTTATTGGACCCAAGGGGTTTATTAAATTTCTTCAATCCCAAGCATGGCTTCCGCGGCAGCTACAACAGCTGGCGATCGCCCGCGGACCAAGGTACGACATATTCACCACCACTGCATCCACGTCTAACAATGTTAAGCCGAGTCCTTTACGGTCTATTATTGCTGGTTCAACTGCAGGCGCTGTTGAGATTGGTACGTTCCCATGAGCAGGGCCCCTTTGGCCATACACCTCTTCTGCCCAACAAACGCCAGAAAATATCTTGAAGCGAACATACAGCCTAACTTGGGCATAGCTATCACCTTCCCATTCGACTTCCTCAAGACCAGAAACCAGTTGAATCTCCGCCTCCCCGATTCCAAGAAAGTCCCTTTACCTCCATTCCCTTCCAGAGCGTGGTATACAGGATGCACCACAGCGGTGATAGGAAACTCGGTCAAAGCAGGCGTACGCTTCATGTCTTTTGACACGTACAAACACATGCTCTCAGACGCAGAAGGCCATATATCAGGACCTCGCACTGTCGCTGCCGGTTTTGGTGCTGGAATTACAGAGTCATTATTGGCAGTCACTCCCTCAGAATCGATCAAGACACAATTAATAGACGACCGAAAGAGGGCACAACCTCGAATGAGAGGCTTTATACATGGCTCAACTGTCATCGCAAAGGAAAAGGGCATTAAAGGGTTCTTTCAGGGATTTGTCCCCACCACCGCTCGACAAGCGGCAAATAGTGCCGTTCGCTTCAGCACATATACGAGCTTGAAACAATTCGCAGAGGGCTATGTCGCTCCTGGGGAGAAGCTTGGGTCGATCACGACCTTCGGACTTGGAGCCGCAGCGGGCGTCGTCACCGTCTACACCACGATGCCATTGGACACAATAAAAACGAGAATGCAAAGCATAGAGGCCAGCAAGAACTACAAAAACAGCTTTGCCTGTGCGACGAGTATCTACAAAAACGAGGGAATACTTACCTTTTGGTCCGGGGCTCTACCTCGGTTAGGTCGCTTGACACTGAGTGGCGGCATTGTTTTTATGATGTAAGTTGAGCACCTACTCTCCCTGCGAGCTAGCAAACTGACCTTCTGGATTAGGTATGAGAAAACGATAGAGCTCTTGAACGTGATCGATCCGCATCAAAAATATATATGAACGGAGGCATCATCAACAATACAATCATTGAAAGTTGTTCGATCCATCGTGTGCTAGACAAAACAAAAGTTGGTGGTGGCGGCGCATAATCCCTGGATCTAGATAGCCAAGGGAGCCCATATTCATGGTTCAGCATTAACAGGTGGAGGTCCTAGCAGGCGAGAGTATTGAGAGACTCTGCTCGTGACAGGACCAATCTAGAAGGGGTTTCAGTCAAGAAGTTTGACTTAGCCAAATGGAAAAAGATACCCCATGTAATCTTACAGATAAAGAGACTCATATACCCAAGAAAAGAATTCTTGTATAAGACATCAGTATCTCTCGCTAATGTTTTCTCCTTTACCGTCCTTACTCGTTCCCTTTAATCTCCTTGACCAAACCCTCACCCAGAGCAGCCATCTCAGCAAGGACGGCGTCTCCATTGAATGTACACATGAACTTCTCGGCATCCTCTTCATCACCATCCCCAGATTTGATCGGAAGCGGTACGCTCGACCAGCCCAAACGAACTCGCCACTCCTTTTCTCCTTTGACAGAAGGTCTCCACAGACCCGCAATCACCGAGTTCGCTCCAGCGGCAGATCCATCATGGAAGAACAGCGCCGTATGACCAAACACAAACCTCAGATCCTCGAGATACAACTGCACGGCATCAAAACCAATCGAGTCGATATCCAAAGCCTCGCCGATCTGCAAGTTCTTATACTCGACCACACTGTCGACAGCCTCGCCGGCACTGCTTCTCCTGCGTTTTGATCTCGCATTGCCGGTGACAGACCGCTTCAATCGGATAATGAAGTCGTAGTTTTCTAGGTCACCGACGAACAAGCCGTCCCAGCTACCGGCATCCATCCCGTCTTCATGACTGCTCCTCACTCGGTCGATCGCGGCGCTAGCTAAAGCGCGCACGCGCGACGCCACCACCCTCTCAACACGTCCATTACCCGTCCACACCGTCCCCGTCTCGTCCAAGTTCGTGCCAACACACCAAACGACTTTATTGAAACTAGGATCCAGCTTCCTCCAAGCTTGGAACCTCGTCTTGATGACATCGACCTGCGAACTCGACATTTCCTGTCCGAGACTCAAATCTACCACTAGTGGTGCGGTCGTCCAATCCCATCGCGACAGTAGGTGAAGACAACGGAGGAATGCAGTGGTGCATGAACCCGGTGCGGCCCAAGGGGTCGGCTGGAGGAATGTTTGCGCGGCTAAAATCTCGAGGATCTCTGGTGGGATGTGGTCGAGTAATCGGTGCGATGAGATCCATTTCTTCAGGAGTCGTATTGTGCCTGAAAGAGGCGGAAATCGTGTGCACAGTGTACGGATAGTGGTGGTGTGGATCGGTGAGGCGAGAAACGCGCTCTTATATTCTGTTAGTGCGGTGTTGATGGAATCGCGGACCGAGCCGTGCAATGTTTTGTCTGATAGGGCGGTTTGCAAGAGGTGGGATTCTCGATCGTGGAGGATACGGGCGCGGAAACAGATTGGTGAGATTCCGGGGCCGCCAGATGGATAGATGATGTCGAGGAAGGAGGTGTTGAAATACCCGGATGTTGCTTGAGTAGTGTTTTCGAGTCCGATGCGGGTTGTCAGCGTCTGGTCTGATGATGAAAGCAGTTCTGACACTTTTAGCAGGAAAGCGATCTTGGTATGTTGTATCGCTGGGAGAGAGTCAGGCCAACGAGCGGAGGAATCAAACTGGATTAAAATATCGATTGGTTTGGACGCTGGTGGGATCAGGGGGTTGTCGATCGTTGAAGAGCGCAGTGCTGCATCTGCAGGAGAGATTGAGCGTATAGGAAGAGGAAGACCTTGCAGGCCATGTAGTGTCGAAGTCAGGCTCTGATAGGTGTTGTTTATGAGACGGAAGGCATCCTTGGTTGACACGGCGTCTGCTTCCTCAAGAAGATCTGACTGTAGATCTCGACTTCGACGGGTCACTGAACTTGGCAACAGCTTAAAGTGCTGTAGAACAAGGTGCTTGATGATTTGGAGTGTGACAGGAGTTCCCGGCAACCAGACAAGACTTTCTGATATGCTTCCGTCCTTGAAGCGTCGTAATTCGGCCTTCTCTCCCCAAAACTCCCGAAACTCTGCTGCTTCTTGTTGCTCGTCAGCGGACGGGCCATGATCCACTAGACGAGTGATGTTATCGGCATTGATGAGCAGCCCGACCTCGACCTGGATGTCCGTAGTAGATGCTCCGTGATCGTGTTTTAAGGGCCATGTTTGAGCCTTGGGGAAAGTGAAGTTGATCAAATTAGTGCGGTCACCAAGACCGCGTGAGATAACACTGTATAATCTCTGCAGATACTGAACTCGTTCTGCGGTGGAAGCGAAAGACTTCCCCGGGATGTTGATGGACAATACTTCGTCGTACTGCAAAAATGGTTCGGCAACTTTAAACAAGAAGATGGACTCGAAGTTATCTTGATGCTTGGTATTGAGTGCAGTCAGAGAGAGTTGAGCATGATGCCTCAATCGCTCATACGACCAAGGCGTCATCTTGTACAGGACATTAAATCCATTCGTGACGTCGTACAATACTGGCACGTCTGATCGTGGAATTTCAACCTTGATGTCTCCAATGATCCAAGGATCTCGAAGATCTCGGACGGCTAGAATTTGTAGCATTGCTTTTAGGAACTGGAGACTGCTGTATTGCTTTGAGAAAAGTGGATGGTTTCGGTGGCCCCCTTGTTGTAGCAGGAGACCGCAAATATGTGACCACTCATCAAAGCCAAATCCACCTTCGCTGATCGCGCTGGAGAAGCCTCGTTGTCGCAGCCAGATTTGCGCAACTCGACAGCTTTCGTCAAATGCCGGGCTCCGACTGAGTTTGGTCCTTTCGGCCAAAGATGAAGATGATGCTGCATAACGAATGGCACCATTATAGACTGGGACTGGTTTCCTGTCGCTCTCATCGTCGGACACCGTAGAATTCCTCAAGCAAACCTTGGTTGGAGAAGTCTTTTCGATAGGAATGACTGCACTGGGAAAGCCGACAGAAATTTGAAAGGTGAATTTGGCAAGCTGAGGATCTCTTGGTATTAGGCAAACGATAGGCAGAAGGTCTAGATCGTGTTGGTGGGAAAATGACCAGTCAAATTCTTTGGGATAGCTTTCTTTGAGAGATAGCGCAATACATGACAGGTAGAATGCGGCCTTGTGGAATGCCCTGTTGTTGAGATAGTCCTTTTCCTGAAACAGAGACTCCGGCATGATCACCCGAATGTCAATCAAGTTCTCATGCTTGACACTAAGGTTGTCCACTAGAGCACCGCGGGTCTTGATCGAGCTTGGTGGTTTGAACTCGAACTTGTAATTTGTGTCTTTGGTAGGCCGAGGTTCAGGGAAGGGGATTGTGATGCCTTGTTTGCGAAATGATTTTGCTGCTTCAGTTCCAGAGATCGGCTTTCTCTCTGGGATTTGTTTGATGACAGACTCTAGGTTGCGGACAACCGGAGTCCACTTGTGTCGGAGGCTATCATATTCGGGCGTTACTTCTGTACTCAGGTCCGAAATTTGTAGAGCGATTATGGAAGATTTGCTGACGCCTCCCGCCGGCAGAGCAGCAGCTTTCATTTTGGTGAAACTGTTTGACCGAGGCTTGTGATTGGATACTTGACGAGCGGAAGGCAAAGGCTCATTGGAATCTTGAGCACCTTCCTGCAATGATCCTGATTTCTCTTTGCTTTGCTTAGCCTCGTGGCTGACTTTGCGCCTCTTTGGCGAGTGGCCGTTTGTATCAACGTCGTTCACAGACATGGTGCCGGAAGAGTCATTGAGTTTGGTGGTCCAAGTTCCAAGAAGATCCCATGAAGAAATAAGAGATCTCAGAGAGCCATGGATTTCAGGTGTGTTGTGACTGACGAGGGATATACTGAAACGAAAGTCATTGTCGTCTTCAATATCGAAATCTTGAGACTTTTTTGCCAAGGCCAAATAAAAATTATCGGCTGACCTTCCATGAGGGGAGGTGATGGCGCTTAAGGAAGATCAGTAACTGATCATAGGCTTGATGCCCTGAAGTGGGGGGTTAGGGTGCCCAAGGCCCTTGTAAGGAACAGACTTCCGGAGCCTTTCTTACCCTCTCTCCGGGCCCTTGCCCCCCCGAACCACCCGCCAATTACGCCCAATAATAAATTGCCGATTGACTCCTATCAGTCGTATCTGCCCATGAGAATCGAGTCTGACATCTCCGCACGTGTCCCAAAATTTTTCCATTGCAAAGTATGACTCCCAACGTCGCACCACCGTTCGGCCGTTTGTATTGCGAAACCTGGCTTGTCCTATAACTTGATTGTAACGTTTTGTATTGTTGTATATCAGACCCCGGACACCAATTATATCTACAGCCTGGCCAGCCTTTCGCTAAAGCCTTTCTTTGACCATGCTTGCCGCGGTCGGGCAGCCAGTCCCCAATACTGAGCATGCGGTCAGTGTTTCGTTACCATCATGGAGGGCCACAGTCGGGTATGAAGAAGGCGAGGAATGGGTCGTGTCAAAGATGAAGACGGGTTATCCCCGATTTTTCATTCATCTATCCATTCAAGAACTTCAATCCGAAATACTCAAGCTCCATGGAAAGCCAGGTGAGGCCGTCATGCTTTGGCCAACCTTGTTGGTAGCCAGGAGATGCCAGAAATTCTTCCATGACAAAGTGCCGGACCTATCTCCAGATCTGGTGCATGTTCTGGTATTGGAGCCCGTCATCAGCAAACAACGGAGTCAAGAGACCGTCTCGTCAGGACTCGCCGCCGTCTTCTTCCCTAAGGAGTACTTTAGCACGGCCAAGCAAGTTTGGCAACACAGCGGAGATGGTATCTCCAGCCGTCGAGCCGAATTCTGTCTCAAGGCTCTCCGTGACGGTTTCCTCAAACCAGCAGCAGCTACCCCGACCACGCCCAAGCTCGAAGATTTGTATACCAAAGGACCTCGTCGGTACCAACGTCCAGCATCACAGCAAGCCAATAACCTCTTACCACAAACGACCACACCTCCAAATGCCAGCACCAACTCGGAGCCATCCAGTCAGGAAAAGGCAACGGTCGAACCCGAACTCAAGGACTACGCACAATTTGTCGAGGAGCGGTTTGGACGTAACCTCAACGCGAAATTGGCTTCACAAGCCAAATTGGCGATCCGGAGGAGAATCAGCGGATGTCTGAAAGAAGACTCTGACTTGGATCATGCACTAGCGGCATCGGCCAATAACTGCGACTCACGACAAAAAGGGCTTCGCGACACGGACGTGTTCCTGTTCCCGTGTGGCATGTCAGCCATCTTCAACACACACCGGATCCTCCTCCAACTGGGTCAACAAACCAACGGCGACCAACCGAAGACACAGAAATCGATTTGTTTCGGATTCCCATATATTGACACATTGAAGATCCTCCAGAAATGGGGACCAGGATGCCAATTCTACGGCTTTGGAAACTCCGATGAAATCGACGACCTACAAAAACGACTAGAAGGAGGCGAACGATTCCTTGCACTATTCTGCGAATTCCCATCCAACCCACTCCTCAACTCACCAGACCTGATACGTCTTCGAGGACTGGCCGACAAATACGAGTTCGCCATCGTGGTTGACGAAACAGTCGGCAACTTCATCAACATCAACGTCCTCACACACGCAGACGTCGTCGTGTCATCACTGACGAAAATCTTCTCCGGCGACAGCAACGTCATGGGCGGCAGCATGGTTCTCAACCCCCAGTCACGATACTACGAAGGCCTCAGCCGCCTATTGAGCCAACCAGACGTCTACGAAGACACATATTGGGCCGAAGACGCCGTCTTCATGGAACGCAATTCCCGCGACTTCATCTCCCGCAGCCACCGCATCAACCACAATACATCGACCGTGACAACCCTCTTACAGAACTCCCCAATTGTCAAACACGTCTACTATCCAGCGACATCACCCTCTCGTGCCAACTACGAAGCCTGTCGACATCCGAATGGCGGGTATGGCGGTCTCTTCAGCGTCACATTCCATAACCCAGCACAGGCAGTGGTTTTCTTCGACCGTCTTGCTGTTCAGAAAGGTCCTAGTCTCGGCACGAACTTTACACTCGCGAGTCCTTATACCATTCTTGCACATTACACAGAATTGGATTTCACGGCCCAGTGGGGTGTGGATCCTAATCTCGTTAGAGTCAGTGTGGGTCTTGAGGAGACTTCGGAGTTGGTCAAGGTCGTGGAGGCGGCGTTGGAGGAGGCTGCTAAGGTGGGAGTATAGGCTAGGTCTGCCGAGTTCCTCTCCGATTAACACCCTTGTGATAAGTACACGGGAAGAAGAAAAATCACCGTGAGATGAAAATGAAGATGAGGAAGACGAAGACGAAGAAGACTGACGATGATGACGATGATGCTTATGCGATAACGCCACACAAGAAACTCATGCCACTGGTACTGTAGTCTTGATTGGTTGGTCGGATTTGTTGGAGCCATACTCCTCCGCGCTGACAGACAAACAAACAGATAGACAGACTCGTTATTCTCATCATCGTCCCTGCTGTGTTTCCCATCCTATGCCTGGATAAGCTGTTCAACTCAGCTACAGGGAGGATGGTGTCAGTAAACGATGGTACTATGCCCAAAAAAGAAGACAGAAAGAAAGAAAGACCGAGCTACCTGCAGGTTGTCGATGCATACACGCATACACACACAGAGAGAGAAAGAAGATGCGAGTTTTGAAAACCACTTACTCGCGGTCAAATGACACAATGACCCGGTTGATGAAGATTATGTATCCAACTACATAGAAACAAAAACGATTGAGCGATGGAATTGAATCGAAATGAAATGAAAAGAAAGAGTATTGAAAAGGTTCAATGTCCTTGTTTTGAATTTATGGTCATTCATGTTGTAGGTTATGTACTTAGTCCGATCTGTGCTTGAGCGATGCCTGATCAAGGCAGAATCGTGGAATACCTAGATCAGGTGTCCAGGATAAGAGTTGAGGTCTGAGTCAAGGACCATTTGGTTTTGTCCAAACAGTGACCATCAGAGAAGGGTTCGTCGTCCCGATCCTCCTTCTGCAACGCTATGTGTTCTCATCAAAATTCTCACCTTGGCCAGTGTCGATTTGATACACACCGCACTCATATGTCAATGCCCAACCCTCGAGCTTCATGACTTTGGTGCATCCGTCAACGGCACATATCTAACCCCCATATCCTTCTTCCTCGTCACCTTTCCGGATTCATCTTTATCCACCACCCAAATCCACTGACTTCCCCATCCATCCTGATCCTCAACAGGTATAAACATTCGCCCGGGGCTCTTCAACTGATCGATCAAATCCTGATGAAGTTCCTTTGCCGCCGCACCAACATGTATAGCATCATATGGGCCCCCCTCTTTATACCCTTTGCGACCATCACCTTTAATCAACTCAACCTTTCCAGACTCCAACAATCTTCGACCCTCCTCACTCCGTTGCATATTCTGTCTCGCCAAATCTACCAAACCTTGAATATGGTCAATCCCCACAACCTTGCCATCTCCTTTACCATCGGCACCAGTCACGATATTGGCCAATACATGTGTCAGATATCCACTGCCGCTACCAATGTCGAGGACCTTTGCACCTTGGCTTTCAGGCATATAGTTCAGTAGGCTTTCACATGCTGCGGCGTGCATGTGAGGGGCTGAGATGGTGGCGTTGAAGCCAATGGATTGAGGTGAATCTTCGTATGCTGCAAGGGGAGAGGAGGGACAGTAATGGGCGCGGTCGACGGAGGACATGGCATCGCGGACGCGGGGTGCTGTGATGAGGCCGGCGGAGAATAAATTACTGATGAGTTCAGCGTTGGACCGACCTGAACAGCGCCAGGCCATGTCTGTGGGCGTATTGGTTGTTAGGGGAGCCAATTGTTGAGGGTGGAAGATACTAAGGATGTTTTCGTAGTATAGTGGTGTTAGAAGAGCAGTCACGGTAGCGAGGATGCCAGCAAGCGATGTGAGGGAAGGATGTGGCATGCAATGATCAGTCCTTACGTGGACAGACCTAGGGATTGTGACATTTCTGGACAGAATGCTTGGCAGTTGGTTTTCTCAAGCCAGTTTTGTCGACAATGAGGCTGTATGAATTCTCGATGAGTGTTGTCGACCATCAGTGTTGTTGCTTTGCTGAGGATGAAATCAGAGTGACGTACACGTGTTGTGAGGGGTGGAAAGTGGAAGGTGGGGAGATGCAAGTGACACATGAGGAGGAAGGCGGGACTGCCAATGGACTTGTTGGTAAAGGAGTATTTGCTGCAGGGACTATTGAGCAAATTATCACTTGCTTGTCGAAGGGGCTCTACAGCCCCCTCGGCCTCATCAATTTACACATTTATCATAATCTCTTGGCTCTAGGTGCTAATGGTAACTGTCATTGTTCTATGCCCCGATTAATCATGCCTTGGGAATAGGCTCTTCGGCAACATAATGTAGATATGCTCCCAACAGCTTGATTCCCTCAATGTAATTTCTTCGGTCAAGCTTCTCATTAATGGAATGAGCAGCATCGGTGCTGCTTCCCATGGGCAGCAACAGCACATTCTTTCCAGTGGCTTGCTCAAAGGTGATGGTGACGGGGATACTGCCACCTTCACGAGTGTAATCTGGGTCGACACCAAACACTTCCTTGACGGCTTTGGCAGCGGCGGAAAAGTTCCAGTGTTTGGGAGATGCCACCCACCACTTGCCACCATGTTGTTCCACGACATTCAATGTGTTCTTGGAACCAAGTTTAGCGAATTCCGACTCAATGTGCTTGATGACACATTGGGTGACCGTGGGTCCGTCCATGTCGGGGACGGTTCGAATAGAAAACTTTCCAATGACCTTGGCGGGGATTACGGTCTTTGCTCCGGGAGCAGAGAAGGCACCTTCGATACCATGGAGGGAGAGTGATGGGTAACGCCAGCGAGCCATCAGGCTGCGTTCCTTGTCCTCGAAGATGGTGGTCTTGGATCCCAGAGATTCGTAAAGATTCTCCATGGTATAGGCGATTGGCCCATAGAGGGCCTTTTCCTCTTCAGTAAGGGGAGCAACCATTTCGTTGACTCCAGGAATAAGGATCTTGCCGTTCCCATCGACCAAAGTACTCATGAGACGAACAAGATCAGTCATGGGTTCCTGGGCGTTTCCTCCAAAGACACCAGAGTGGAGATCTTGACCTGGTCCAGAGACAGAGACGGAATAGTACATGACACCTCGGAGACCATAAGTCAGACAAGGCTTCTCGGTACCGAGCCAGTAGTTGTCAGAAATACAGACGGCATCAGCATCTTTGAAAAAGTTTTTGGCCTCGGCTTCGATGAAATCGTCCAATCCCTCAGAGCCATACTCCTCCATGCCTTCGAAACAGCAGAGAAGATTGACGGGAAATTCGACATTGGCCTTTTGGTGAGCCTCAATGGCGTTGAGCCATCCCAGCACGGGGCCTTTGTCATCGGTACTGCCTCGACCAAACATTCGATTCTTGTCATCGATGCTCAAGGTGAAGGGTTCGGTAGCCCAGCCATCTTCAAGGAGGGCTGGTTGCACGTCGTAATGTCCGTAGACCAGGATGGTGCGCTTGTTGGGGTCATTGCCATATCTCGCGATGACAACCGGGGGTAGGTCAAGGTGCTCTTTATGAGGCTGCTTTCCGAGTTCTCGTAATTGAACCTCCGCGCCTAGTGCCTCCAACTCGCCGGCGAGGAACTTGGCCATCTATTCAGATTCAGCTGTGATGCTCTTGGAGCAAATTCATAGCAACATACTCGCACGACCTCTGGTCTCTTGTCCTCATCTGCCGACACCGAAGGGATGGCGACCGCCTTTCGAAGGCCTGATAAAGAGGGGATTAGTACCCCGCAGGTAGAAGTGTAGGAAGGTGTTGTGCTTACGATCGATGAAGGACTCGGCGAGATCATCGACCCTATCAATGCGTCAGTCCAGCTATAGTTCCAAAGAAGGGGCGCAACTTACTTTTTGAAGTAGGGTTCAAGTTGAGGTGCCATTTTGGAGTCTGTGATGTGGCCGTAGTATGTTCGCACAGGATAGAGAGGTCGAGTGGGCTTGAAGACGCTCCTGTAACCAAGGTTGGGCCTTGATAAAGAACGAAGAGGGCGAAGGAGATTGGATTGGAGAGATCGAAAGTCAGGACCACGAGGGGACATGTGTGATCTTGCTGCACAGAGATATACGGTTAGTTGCGGTCTGATGTTGCATTTGTAGCCCGGATTTGGTCGGATTTGGTACCGGACTTGGAGAAGGTGCAGCCAACCAGACGCAGCGGATAGGTGATGGTGCACAGCACTGGAAACTCTACGATGGAACAACGGCACGTATTTCTCGACGAAAATCAATGGTAAAGTCAAGGAGAAGGAGCTCTCTTCGCTCATTTATATCTATACATGTTTATGAAACAGGCCAGCTGTGGTTGGACAGCTTGGCAACCAGAAGGTAGAGAAAAACCAAGTTGATCAAGCGTCGCTAAACCATTTCTCTTTTCTCACGTCACGGTCTTCGCGGGCAATTCTCTTCTTGTCGCTCCATCTTGATTTAACCAGAGCGGTGACTTGTTCTTGTTGTTCCTTCTTCTGTCCAGCAAGCTTTTCGGTGACAAACATGACAAACAGGTTAGAACAGTTGAATTTTTTCGCCAGCTTCTTTACACTCCATTCCAGAGGGTCTTGTGAGCGAAGACTGCGCATTTCAGCCAAGTCGGTTTCTGTAAGGTGGTAGCGTTTTTCCGGTTGCTTGGGCATCGGTGGCGGTAATTGTTGTGAGGAGGACTTTTGGATTTTTCTTTGGTCGTTCTTGGGAAGAAAGATGTTGGGGGTGTGATAGACATTTGGCATACTCGGTGGAGGGTTGAAGATGATGTGGTCATGTTGTTCGGTCTTTGTGGGTAAGAAGGAGGCATCAGGTTTGATGTTTAACCGTGATCGAGTTCTTCGAGCGGTCGTTTGATGTCGGCGAAAGGAGGGTAGGAGGACCTGGGCGCAGATCTTGTAGAAGCGGGAAGATGCCGTTAGAGGCCCTGAAGGACTGGAAATTGGGAGCATGGCGAAGAGGAGACAGGTTCAAGAGAAGTCTTTCGCCGTCGATGAGAATGTGATATGCGCAAAGTGCAAGCTGCTGGTTCTTTTTGAGATAGGACAAGGTCAAGGTTGGGGTGGTTGTGCTTGTCCTCCAGAAGGTGGTTGAATGAGCAGGAAGCGACTCAAGCTAGGCTGCAAGGCCACCAGTCTTCCGAATCAAGGCAATTAAGTCTTGTGGACTGGTATTGGCCGATGGATGTGAGTTGGATATGCAGCTTTTGTAGTGGTGACGGGGACATGTCAAGTGTAATGAATGGGGAAATAAAACATGAAGGACCTCTGTAGCCAGAAGGGGTTAGTGGTGATTTGTGCCAAGCAAGTCCAATTATGCAGAGAAGAGGGAAAGTCTCGTCCCAGGCATCGCCAGGCTTGATCGCATGCTCTCAGGCTTCCAGACAGGCCCGAGGCGTCCCCAACCCCAATTTGGATGCTACTCACGTGGTGCTGTTGGTGCTGCTGGTGCTACTGATGACGCTGATGATGGTGTACGATGTGGTGTACGTGTGGTGTACTTGTGGTGTTAGGTGTGGTGTGTGCTTCTAGTCTTTCCTGTGCCCCTGCGTAGGTCATGTGCAAACCTACTGGACCCCTGGCCATGATTATTTCCCGCACCCGAAAGCCCCTCGAGTTCCTACAGCCAATGCCCTGTTTCTCTTTTCCCATGTAACCTGGATTGTGACGAATGATGCCTGGTCAGTCGTTGGTTTGTCTCCATTCCATGCCACCATCACTGTAGCTGCCCAACCTGCATACGGGATTCTGTGACACACACCAAGCCAGACTTAGGGGGGGTTGAATTAGGAATTGGGGGGGGTAATGGGTGATGGTAGACAGTGATCAAGTACCTGAGAACGAGCACCTGAAGAATGAAAGGGTTAGATGGTATGACCATTTTAATGTTGTGAAAGAGGTCCAGCATCTATAGAATATTGGACAGTGGAGCTGATGAATGAAGACCCTGACAGACTGACAGGTTGTAGTAGCAAGATCTTATCCTCATTATTGTACCTGGTGACAGCATCCATCCTTCATCCTTGGTCCCTGTGCACACGCCTTTTCTTGCTTGCGCACCTCATACACCGACTCCGCCTATACCTTTACACACTTCTTTCTCGCTCTCTCCATCTCGACACCACCTAGACCACCTGACACCTCTCAAATACTCTGTCTATCACATACCGACATCCTCCTACCTACCGCACACAGTACACTACACCCTACACACATACCAGCACTTTACTTGCACAGATATCACCCGCTCTCTTATCCTCATTCTCATTCAGGTTGTGTTGGCCAGCCAGCGATCAACCTCAGCCACTACCACCACCTTCCCTCCCACTTCCTCTCCCACGACAATTGACAACCACAATCCCGTGTTTCACCCTTCCTTTCTGCTACTGCTACTACCACCTGACCTCCATTACTTCCAACGACTCCTTCCCTCCCTCGATCAACTTCAACTGGTGCCTGCGCTGGCCCCCATACATCGCTCCTGTTTGATTTACCACAACCAGCCCATCTTCCTGTTACCGAGAACAAGCCAACAAGAATTCATCTCGCCCGAGTTCTTTGTCCTCAACATGTGGTAGAGTGGGCCAACTGCTTCAGTCTTCGATCCTACAGCACCGCAGCCATTACGAGCTCCTATAGTTCTTGTGCAAACTACCACTCTGCCACTCTCCCATGCTGTGCGCCGGTCTTTCCAACATGACCGTCGACCCCAAAGATCAATCTCTCAATGTCATCAATCCTCCCAAGAGCAATGCTCCCTCGGCCGAGTCCAAAGATTCTGCTAGTCCTCTGTTGAACCCTTCCCAGGAGCCTGGCCCCGACTCGTCCGCGTCTGATCCCACGACCAAACCAAGAAAGCGAGACTTTTGGAAGTTCAACAAGAAAGATGAAGACAAACAGGCCAAAGCCAGCAAACCCGCTGCCGTCCCCGTTCCTCTCTCATCCCCTTTCCGAGCCACTGACACTTTGGGGGGCTCCATTTCTCCTCATCGCATCCCATCATCGACTTACCCCGGCTCTCCCGGCCAAAATCTCCACAGTCAAAACTCCAGACCTCAATCCCCTGCCTCATCCATGATCTTTGAACGAAACGTTCAAGAAGATGTAGCCCTCCCCGAGGTCTCGCCCCATCTGCCATCTCATGTCATCATCGAGAACCACATTGCGCCTGCTCTGGATGCTTCGGCAGAGGCCATCACCAACGAGAAGCTCGACCCTGACACGGTCGAGATTGTCACTCACGCTACCCATCAACCTGCTTCTGTCACCATCACACGCGTTCCGCCCGAGCCATCTCTAGCATCATCACTCCTCGACGATTTGACCCCAGTTCCCCGTCAAGATACAGAAGAGACATCGAACTATGGATCCTTAGACCAAACCGATGTGCGAAGACTTAGTTTCATCTCTTTTGCCGATGTGGTTCATGGCGAGCAAGAGAATTTAGAAGGACGGCGTGACTCGACCCACCTTTCAGGCCATCATGGTTTCATTTCCCCACGCTCCCCATCACCGATCAGGTCACCCACCTCATCGGCGGCCTTTGGTACTTCGCCTCCAACCAGTGTCACGGCATCGGTCAAGGGCTTTGAAACATCACCACACCGTCATCAACGAGGTACCGCCAGCCCTCTTCCCGGACAGAGCTCACCCTTGGCGGCTGGAAGTGAAATTAACATTGAGACCATGCGGCAAGCCCTGCGAAAGACAGGCAGTGGAGACTTGAGCCATTTCCGCAGTGCCCCTGCGAGTGCGGTGGGCAATGACGATGGGACCTACGATCGAAGCTTTCGATAAGTGTGTTGCAGGGAAACACGAGACGGAACAAGGGTAGTGACACTACCCTTCATCATCAGGGCATCGACTTCTCGGGCGGATTTCTGGCTTGGACAGAGTAGACGCTGTGGGAAGGATCAGCAGCGTCCAAGATTTCCCTTTATTTCCTTTGCTTTCTATGTCATTTAGATGCCCTCGCGCTGAATGAGGAATGACACTTTGCACTTGACCGCTTGTCAGGACGGCAGACCTCAAGTATTGCAAGTTTATATGATGCGTACTTGGACATGGGATGGAGATTTGAGATGGCCTCGATGGAGGAGTACCATGTACGCGCAATACAATAGCACAGTAGTACTCAGAAATGTCAGGCAGGCCTCGACTATTCGTAAGATTGATGACTCAGATGACCCACCTCCGCGTTTCGTTTGGATGGTGGAGTACACGTGAGATCGATCCATCTGCATCTTGATCTTGCATCTTTATCATCTGTACATGTGCATTCTCTTCATCGCCCGGCAGACTTGAACTACTCATCATCCCATACCATAGAAAGCTAGAGCGTCAACAGCAATAACCCACTTCCAGAAGGATGAAACGGCCGAGAGAGTATTTGAGGACCATGGCTCGTTCCTCATTCTTTGTTGCCTCGGCGTCCAATGCGGGGGCCGCTCGGACTTTTGGAATACGAAGACTAAGAATCAGGCGCCAGCAGCTTTGATGTTGAACCACGTCAATGCTTCTCGAGTTTTTGACGACTGTTAGCTTCGGCAGTGTCGGTATCCTCATTGACTATATCTACTGTCGATGATCCATCAAGTACCTCGCCCAGTGTCAGCGTGCCCACGGACGTCGAGGTCTCAAAGGCCAAATCAACAATACTCTCATTAAGCCACTCCAAGGAACATAAAACGCCACGACCAATATAAGCAAGCTGGTGGAATTCTTGTCTCTGACCTCTCTCTCGACTCTTGTGGTATACCGAACGCCGTGTCCATCCTTTTCATCCCCCAACATGGCGACTTCATCGTTCTCAAACTTGCCCTCGCCAAAGCAAATCCTTCTGTCTCCTTTCTGGACCGGACCTCTTTTGTTATATCTGACCAAAATCAATCCTGAAATCGTCAGCAAGATCTCTTGGCCTCCTGAGCGCTCCATCATCACACTTCCCTTTTCTCTTCCATTTGGAATTCCAAATCAGATTCCCATACGTGCTGATCCTCCCGTCAAAGCTCTCAAAGCTCTCTTTGGTCTTGGCCTTATCCTTTATCTGAATCGTTTCTTCAACCGTCTGGCTCTCAACTACGGCCACTTGAAGAAACAAGGCGCACCATGGGACTTTCAGACCGAAGGGAAAGAAACCATTATCATCACTGGAGGATGTAGCGGCTTTGGCAAGGAAATGGTCAAACAGTTCGCGGCACAGACCAAAGCAAAGATTCTGGTGTTGGACATTCAAGAACTCCCGGAAGAGTTGAAGGATAGTATGTCACAACTACATTCTCCCGGTCTTGACTATACGCTGCATTGAACTTTCATTCTAACATATCTATGATTCTACCTTAGTTCCACGACTCACATATTATCAAATTGACCTCAGCTCGCCCGAGTCGATCAAATCTGTGATTTCAACAGTTCTCGCCGAGCATCGTCCGACAGTCCTCATCAACAATGCCGGCATTGCTCAAGCACACACCATCCTCGACACAACCGACGAGTTTCTCGACAAGATCTTCCGCATCAACGTGACATCACACTTCACCCTGATTCGACTCCTCCTACCGAGATTCATGTCTCAAACCAAAGGTCACATTGTCACCATTGCCAGCATGGCCTCGTATACGGGCACGGCCTCTCTAGCCGACTATTCTGCCACCAAAGCCGCTGTCCTCGGCATGCATGAATCACTCTTGCAAGAACTGGCTCATCGTCACCAAGATCAAGGTGGCCACACTATTCAAGCGAGCATCATTCATCCCCTGTGGGCAAGGACGCCGTTGATTGGAAGCTGGGAGACCCAACTCAATCGTTCAGGCGAGTCAGTGATGACGGCAGAGTTTGTGGCCGCTGGTGTGGTCAAGCAGGTCTTGGGCGGTCGGAGTGGCAGCGTCTATCTCCCTGAACATAATTGGAATGTCGTCTTGATGAGAGCCGTTCCCACTTGGCTGGCTTTTCTGGTTCAAGGAAAGGTTCAGCGTGCTACCAACAACGGTCAAGCAAAACAGTAGCTGAGATCAAGTTGGACCAAGGAGTTTAATATCGCAAGCTATTGTAGTGTATGAACATATCTCCTCATTCAACTGGGACGTTCCAATCCAATCTTGGAATTAACAGGTCGGAATAGATGATGGTTTGACGGTAGAAGCGAACACCCCACAACCTCCAGAGAATTCGATGCTAATTCTTTGTCATTCAATGACACATGAATATAAAATATATGGCGTTGAGTCATGCATTAACCGCGACCAATTCCATCCGACCAAGTCATGGTGCCTACGTGGTCGGGCCGTTTAGGCCACATCACGCGCCAAGTATTAATACATAAACATCATCTATATTCATTCTTTTCACAACTATATGAATTTATAACCCCCCGCAATTCGAGCTACAAAGACTACGACGAAAAACCTCCGTCGACGATTGCTAGCCTTGGAATGATCCTTGAACAGTGATGGGCAGCACATTTCATATCTGTTCGGTGGGTAGCTAGCTAGCTAGCTTCATCACGAGATTTCCAATCTCCCATCTAATGTCACCATGCATCGCAAGGTAAGTACGCTCTCATTGTGAAGCCATTCCACCCGCACACATATCACACACAAGCTTCAGAAAACTGAAAGCTCTACCAGTCATCTGAATCATGGCCGCGGACTCGCTATGTCCTCAAAGACCACGAGGCTATTGCCCAACACTTTCCGGATCCAAATGTGACATTACTATCGCCTGCATTTCTATGGCCGGAAACCATACCTCCAGGATTCAAGGAAGGGACTTCTGCACCAACAGATGAAGGCACACTTGGTGAGCATATGGACTCCCATTTCACCATGTCTCTCTCCCTCTCTCTGCCCAGCGTGACCCATTTACACCACCCCAACACTAACCCTATCCAAATCATTTCCTCAGACCTATTCCTGTCATTACTAGCCGAGCGCAACCACTGGATGGTATACAACCCATCAGACTTCCAATCCGAAGCTGGCAGAGACATCCCATATCTCCTTCTTTCCAGCTCAAACCTCGACCTTGACATCAACGCAGAAACCAACTCCTGTCATCCAACCCCCAAACTACGCATATGGATCCAAGGCTCCGCACACGGAGACGAGCCAGGCAGCGAGCAAGCTGTACTTGCATTCCTAGGAAAACTCGACTCTGACCCAACCTGGACAACATCGCTCCTTGAAAAAGTCGAGATATTGGTCCTCCCGCGCTACAACGCTGACGGAGCATGCTACGCGTCACGACACTTTGCATCAGACATCAATCCAGCACGTGACAATATCTGTCAAACATCGAGACAAACGACAAGTATCAAAGCTCTGTACAACTCGTTCTCTCCCCACGTCAGTATCGACATGCACGAGTTCGGCGCCCGGTATCGATACTTAGGCGGACGATACGTTCAAGCCGTAGACGGACAATTTGCCGTGGCCAAGAACCTCAACATCGCACATGAGATTCGTCACTTGAGTGAAACGCTATTCACAACGGGTCTGGGCAAGGCCTTGAACGCGGCGAATCTACGCTGGCAACCATATGCCGTTGGAAACAGTTACCAGGGAGCTGATGTCCCGTTGGAGTTTGTCGAGGCTGGCGGCGATGCCAAAATCACTCGAAATGCTTGGGGTCTGACTCAGTCGATTGCATTTCTTTGTGAGGCGCGCGGGATAGGGATTGCGGATCAGCATTTCGCCCGTCGCACATACACGGGCTTGGTCATGTTGGTGACGATTGTCGATATTAGTGCGGGACATGTTGATGATATTCTGGCGACTTTGGATAAAGCTCGTCATGACTTTGTCAATGGTCGTGATGATATCGTCGTCACGGATACCAGGACGGAAGGCGTTTCGAATGGTTGGCAAGACAAGTACTCTCACTCTCACTCTCATCCTAGTCCTAGTCCTCATCCTCGACCATTCATCGACACCACCACCGGCGCTCTCATTCATCTCGACATGAAATTCTTGTCTAGTAACCCTCTACTTCCAGTCATTACTAGGAAACGACCCAAAGCGTATATCATTCCACCCTCACCAGCTCAGAAATTGATTGTTTCGAAATTATCTTCACTAGGTCTTTATCTCTTGGTTACATCAGAACCAATGGATACTAGTGGAGAGAACGAACGAGAAAAGAGGAATCAACAAGACTCAGTTGGTGTGACGACTACCGTCCCTCCCGCTGAATCTCCTCACTTCTCATCTAAATCCACGCCGATAACGATACCAAATCTCAACAGATCTCCACTAACTTTTGGGGACATGTATTCGACTAATGATCAACTCTCACCTTCATCAACCTCCCGCCTTTATCCTCACCATCCTTCTCGTCTCCGTCAATCCATATCATCTGGAAGAAGTCTCTCTCCACCCTCAATCTCATCCTCACTCTCACCACATCGAATCCGCAAACGGATAATGACAACAGTCACAACATCAATAGCAAAGACGGATGAGATTCCGCGTGGGAGCTTCGTTCTTGATACAAGACAGAAAAATGCAGGATTGGCATTCATGGCGTTGGAGCCGGAAAGTGAAGCTAGTTTTGCCACGAGTGGGATTTTGGATGGAGTTATGGAGGAGGACGAAGAGGAGGAGAATGGGGAGGAGAATAAGGGGTTTGTGTGGAGGGTTATGCATGATTTGGATGAGTGAAGATACAACAGTACCTACATAAATAAGTTTGGGTTTGGGTCAGGAAGGGGTGACTCTCAATTCCCAATCTCATGCTTGAATCATGAAACGTGGTTATATCCGATGCAATACTATTATGCGGTGCACAGGCTTACCCAGACACCCCAAGTACCAGTAAGTACTAGGTAGTCAGGGGGCACTTAACAGAATGGCTCATGTGATGGTAGAGACATAATACCCACCAGCCTTGTAGATAGATGGATGCATAAAGAGGTGTATATACTATGTAGCTTTGAAGCAAAATGCTAAACAATTTGAGCCTCCAAACCATTATCCAACATCATGACAACATGACAACATGCCAACAAACTCCCAAATCCATCATCCAAGGTCCCTCCTCACATCAACCCATCTCAGCTCAATAAATATACGTAAACTCATCATTCTTCCGATCCGTGAGATCCAAAAACGCATTATCACCCAACCTGTTCCCATTCTCATCAACCCCCTCATCCATCGCCACATATTTATCCTGCATGGAATGATCCTTGATCTTTGCCATTTTCCCATTCTTGACCCTCTTCTTCTCCTGCATTTTATTCAAAAACAATAAATTCACAAATTGAATCAAAATAACCGCCACCAAGGTGGCAAAAATGGCCAGAACCTTTTGTAATCCAGGCAAGTAAGCTGGTGCGTCTTTCTTGCTGAATAACAAAGGTCCGATGATATTTCCGGCTGATGAGCCAGCGTTGTATAGTGACATGATGACCGATTTCTTCGTGCTGCCGCCGGTGTTGCCGACGATCCAGGACACGATGATCGGGTTGCCGCCGAAGATGAAGGCGAGGAGATAGTAGGCGACGAGGAGTGGGGCGGTGTGGTCAGATCCGCGAGGGATTTTGTACAGGGCGGCTAGCCCGGCGATGACGGGTAGCATGAGGATGGCGAGGACGGCGAATTTGAGTTTTGCGCGTTGAGCCGCATAGGATGAGATGAGGATGGCGATGAGTTGCATGGCGCCAAAGGGCATGTTGAGGAGAGAGGTCTTGTATTTGTCGAATCCGACGCCTTTGAGAATCAATGGGCCGAAGGTGTTGGTTACGGCGGCGCCGACGTTGAGAAGTAAGGCCATGCCGAGCCAGAGATAGGTTTTGGGTTCGAGTGCGGCTTCGCCGATATGACTCCATTTGAATTCTCGCGAGCCGGTACCGGTTTGGTTGGCGCGGAGCCGTTCAATGGCTTGGGCCTTTTCGTGGTCGGTGAGAAATCGTGCGGAGGGGATGTCGTTGTCGAGGAACCAGTACACAACGGGGGCGGATACGATGGTGACTAGGCCGACGAAAAGAAAGATGATTTGCCATTCGGCTAGGACATCGGATTTGATGTGTCCGAGACCGTAGGATAGGGCGGATGCGATGATGGTGGCGAGGCCGTTGGTACCGTACCATGCGGCGACGCGGATGGGTTGTTCGGCGCGACGATACCATTGAGATGTGATGACGGAAAATAAGGGGAGACAGCCGGCTTCGAAAAGACCGAGGAAGAATCGAGCGGCGAGAAGACCACCGTAGTTGTGGCATGCGGCCATGGCGGCTTGAGCGATACCCCATCCTAGAACGAGTGATGGCATGAGGATTCGGTGGGGGACTTTGACGATAAGGAAGGATGAGAATGGCTGCCAGGCCAGCTGGGCAATGGGTGCGATGGATCCGACTAGAGAGTACTGGTCTCCTGTGAGGTTGGTGTCTTCTTGAAGACCAAAGAGGGCGCCATATCCTAGCACGCTCTTGTCGAGGATTTGAAGGAAGTAGACCCAAATCAATATGACGAGGATGACCTTATCGGTCTTGCGGCGAATTCTTTTGTCCTAGAGGAACAGATGTTAGACTGAGGGTGTGGTGAGAGAGTGGAATGGCTAGACAAGCATACATCTTCCGCTGTGACCTCGACACGAGACTCCCCAACAAAAGCAAGAGCCCTGTCGCCATGCTTGAAGGAAGCTCGACGGATTTCATCTTTGGAATACCGGGCGGATTCGACATCCTCTGAATGAGCCATGTCGATTCGTTTGTCCTCTACGCCAGCCATTTCAGGTTGAGATTTGGTCGTGTCTGTAATTGCGACCTCGATAGACTGACTTATGTTGAGAGATGAAGAGACAAATGATGGAAGTCAGTCCAGATGTTATATCCTCAATCAAGTAGATGCCAATGCAAGATATTGAGGCAAAGTCTCCTGAGGATGGGGGGAGGAGACGATTAGACTTTGGACGTGGAGAGATGTGTGTGGGAAAAGCTGGAGACGGGGTGGTGATTCCGTCGTGTAATGTGTCCACCAAACATGGGATATGGCAAATGGGTCTGGATCAAGCTCGAGTAGCTACTTGATGCGTCGTGGTTTGCTTTGTCCGGGGGTTGGATTGAGGAGTCCGGCGGCGGGCATGGGGAGAGTGGCACGAGTGGGAGGCAATGACATGATGCAAGAGAATGATGATCCGCGTAGAATGACAAACTAAACAAGAAGAACGGGGTAGAGGCCGTGGACGGATATGGTTGCTAGCGTTGTAGAAAGCGGAATTTGATGGCAATGAGACGAATGAGTGGCGTTGTTGAGAGGAAGAAAAACTCCAACCCCGCAGTTTTGATCGGCGACTGGAGGATGAGATTTGGGAGGAGAAGATTTCATGTCGGCTTTTGATTGTCCAATCCCAAGACCTTCTTCGCCACAACTGGGTTTGGACCAAGCATTGGATGGTAGGCTTGATTGGAGGTATCTCTCACCGCAAAGGATGTCTGACGAGGACAAGAAGTACCTAACCTGCCATGCCTGCGGACCATCCACGCCTGAGGATTTTGACCAGAAGCCGATATATTGACGGCAGACATCTCCGTGGCCAGACCGCGGCCACTGCAACTACCTTTTACAAAGTAGGTACTTGTTACACGAATCTTCCCCGCCTTCCTCATCAAAGGCAATAAACGAAGATGTCATAGGGAACCCCCCGTGGAGGTGAGTGGGGTCTTGGCACCCCCATGAGCACATTCTCCCACTCCTACTCCCACTCCCACTTCTAACCTCCTACAGAGGCATCGCATCATTCACACGTCTTGTTTTCATCGTCGACACCAACATCGTCCTCGGCATTTGATTGTCCACGTGCTTCTTTTTCAATTCATAGCCATCTCATCTAGTTCGGCAATAGTCCCTATATCGGTCATCTCTCCCATCTGATCCCCACGAGCCTTTGTCTCCCCACCTGAAAAAGTCCGGGGAAAGCTATCTTACCCACGAGTAGAGACATAGGCTATGCTATAGTATCGGCATTTGACAGTGCTGGTCATCAGACTTGGGATTAACAGTCACATGATATGTTCACTTCACAGTAGAATGTCGGCAATTGCTACTGCCCTCATCATACCTCAGGAATAGCCGATTAACACATGTGAAACGTCTATCGTGTCGACGTCGACGACGACGACAACGTGGGTGATGATAGATGTCTGCGCGTGTCAGTACATCGTGGCGTTCTCCCCACGTGGTAGGTCTTGAGAAGCCACCGCCACCAGGACGTTGATGCTCTCTTGTTGATACATGTCGTGGGGTCAATATTACTCGCTCCAGGCGAAACAATGCCCTCGACTCTACCGATGTAGTTGAAGTTGAGATTACATGGCTCCGACAGCCCGTATCGTCGAACAGTACCTGCCATGGTTCTCCTCTTTGACAATCCAAGGATTTGCAAGACAACTTGAGAATCTCAGACCTCTCTCCAGCTCCAAGGTGAACCAGCCTCGGTTTTCCAGCCAACAGGAGCTTGGTCACCGTCGCTTTGATCCTCCCCCGACTTCTTTTCTACTCTCTGCGTCCAAGCAACCCAATCGTAATCGCCTGGACCATAAGTCCAATCTCCCAACACTCTGTCTTTGACGACTACCCCGTCCTTGTCTTTGAAGAAGCAGATGCCGCCCTCTACCTCTCTCAATGGGTTTTCCAACCCACCTTCGCCGGATCTTGCCACTGGACCACTGTCGAAGCCACACCTTTCGTAGAATGTCTCCTTACCTTCAGCAGAGATGACACTACAGGCAATACCTTCTTCGCGTGCCTTTTGCAATCCCCACTGTACCAACGCACGACCTTGTCCACGACCTTGATAATCTGGGTGGACGGCGATGCATTCAAGATACCAAGACTCGGACCGAGGCCCAGTCCAAATGTGATCCAGGAAATGATAAGACTGTTCGAGGATGGTCTCATGGGTTTTGGAAACGGCACGATTGGGTGAAATTATGCCAAGAAGACGTGAGAACAACGCGAATACCGGTTTCAATATCCTCCTTGGGTCCCACCAAGGTAGATCCCAACTCGCCTTGTAGTTGACCTGTCGACTCGGGGCGATGCGACTCCAATGTGCAAAGCCGGTCACAATCTCTGGCTTTCCACCGGCCGAGGAGTCTCCCGCCGCAGGTTCGGTGGTGACGAGCATGACATGGCTCCAGTCCCAGTAATCAACGATGAACTTGCGATACCAGTACTTGTCCACGTGGGAAGGATAAGAGTTCCGGAACGGGTGGATTAAGCGGCCGAACAGAACATCGTCCCAAAAGCCCAGTGATACAGTGCGTGCTGCTGGTGACAGATCTGACAGTTGAGCTCGTCGGAGAGTATATGGTCGGGGTTTGGATTGGAGGGTTGATGAGGAGGTTGACTCAATGCTGTCGATCTTGGGGGCCGCTGTCGTTCCTGTCGTTCCTGTCCTTGTGGCGGTTCCTGCAGTAGTGGCCATTTTGGCCACTGGACGATTGACAAATACCGCTCTCGGAGGAGGTGACAATGCGGACGGGCAGGCTATAGGCTCTAGAAGAGTCTTAGAGCGGTGGGCCTCACGTGTCTCCTGCACCTCAGAGTTACCTGTCCTCTTGTATTGTATTGTAGGCTGTATCTGAAAGTCAGATGGCTAGGTCTCAAGATCTCCACAACACCACGTTGATGCTTTATCTCAAGTCCAGGTTCCCCTCACTTGTCATGATCCTTGAGGCATGACCATCGACCAGGACCCTGGGGTGACCGCGAGAAAGGTGTCAGAGGTTCAACCAGGGTGACCTAGATAACGCTGCTGTGCCCCTGAGACTTGCGTAGCGTGTAGGCGAGTATGGAGTCCTGGGAGGATCTCCAAGCAGTACCCGCAACGTGCAAAAGCAAAAAGTGAAGGGCAACCTAACCTCAACCTAATCCAACGGCCAGAGTCGCGACCGAGACCTGAGGTGAGTCGCGATAAGGTTCGAATGTTGCACAGGTGGCGGTGCCGACCGACTCAACAGGGTCTTCACAAAAGCCAGCAGGGGACCCGCGTGGGTTGGGTAGTTGCACAAGTGACCTGCATATTTGCTCTTTTCTTTTTCTTTCGCTTGCTGCAACGATAATTTTCTTGTCGTCGGCGAGGTAATTTTGTGAAGGGGAAGCGACCAGTAGTCTCGGCGTTCAGACCGTCAGGCACGAGGCAGCAAGGCTAGGTAGAGGGAGATCTTGTTGGGCGGCGGAAGTACGCAATCAGTGCATCAGACTAGAAGCTGCTGTGGCTGCGAAGGCAGCAGAATGGGCTCCATCGGTGATCGACAGGCGATTGGACTTGTCCTGTAGGCGAGGCGAAAACTCGAAAAAGGGCGTTTGACTACGGAGGACAGGATCGACTGATGCATGGACTAGAGTCGACGTGGGCAGGGGTTGTTAGAGGTGCAAAACGCTGTTGGGGGATAGTAAAAGTACAGGACGTGGAGTTTTGATTTTTTGACTCCTTCCTAGGATACATGCCTGGAACCTGCTTGTAGTGGCACTTGTTGGTCTCCAACAATCTCTTAGGGACAAGTAGGCACGTAGGCTATGTGAGGATGCCAATATGCCCTGAATCGACGAGGATCAATAGCCCTAGCCTCCCCACCTAGGTACCTTGGTACCTATGCATACCTTGGTATGTGTCCATCCTGCATCCTCCCTCCAGGGCTCTGGGGTATTGCTTTTGACAGCGGGAAACATGTGTCGAGATTTGGAAGACGGATCAAATCACATTCTTGGCCTGCTGTTCCACACGTCGTCCTTTCTACCTATACCGATGTACTCTTGTGAATCTCACACTTCCGACTTGGCCATCATCACTTGTCGGTTGTCAGAAGGTGTCAAAGATCAATAGTATGGCTAGATTGAGATGGGCACTTGCTCACATCCAAACAACGGTCCATTTCAATTGTGCTAAAATCATAAGGCCTTCCAACTACTCTTAACAATAGCGGCAGGCCTGGCAGGTGGAAGCCATGAGGCGTAAGCCATGCATGGCCCATGGGGGGTGGATGAAAAACTTATCGCGGATCTACACCCGCGAATATCGACACTATCACGATTTCAAATGATTGGAACAAGGATACACGTAACTGATGCTCCCCTTTTTCAATCCCACTCAGTTCCGCGTCGCTCGCCGATCCGAAGTATTGTCGTGCAGTCCTGTCTCGCCAATAATGGTGATGACGGACAGGCTTCCACTGGTTCTGCGAGGCACCACTGGGACTTGTTGTCTCAATCTTGTTCCCCAATTACTACCCGAGAGCAGGTGGCTTGACATTGATCGACATTGAAGCTGTATGCCCTGTTGGCTGTATTTTATTCTTACATACTCCGTACCTAAGGATGGAGCCAGTCTAAAATCTACTTAGCGAGTCGCTTTGATCCTTACCGAGCTTATCACATTTCACTGTCATGCGAGGATTGGAGAGAGATATCGGTACTCAGTATGTATGTAAGGTATTTTGGACTGAAGTACACACCTGATAGGTACCTGGGTTTCCGTATGTGTGACTCGCAAGTGTGATATTTGTGGGATGGATGACTTTCCTGGCTTCCTCTGGGGCAAGCTTCACGATTCGCCTTCCAGTCCCACAGACAGGAAACCTGGATCCCAAAAATCCAGATCTCCCAGCACCTGTTTGATACGAGCAGACCGCCACTACTGCCTATCAACTTTCCCATATGAGTATCCGCCTACATGGACGAATCCACCGTCTGCCGTGTCTCCTGCGAGAGACAAAGAAACAAGATTACGGGGGCCAACGGAAGGAAAGTCAATTGATCCCAAATCCCAGGATTGAATGGATCCCCCGAGGTACCTCGGGCGCCCGGAGGGGGACTGATTAGCGACTCCGAACCCAGGTGTGCGGTTATTGTAGTAGGCGCTAAGTCAGGGAAGGGTGCTTGTTTAGCGCTCTCCTTAGCGTGCAACCGTGCCTGGATCTCGTCGGTGCTTGGGGGCCACTAGGCTTGAGTGGCCCCCATCGGGCCCTTTTCTCGGGCTGTGGCCCCGTGGGTTTCCGTAGAATCGCTCGGCCGAGGCTTGGGTGTTGCGATCCACTTGTTAGATCCAACGTGCCCTGAACGTGTACCTGCAACCTGCTTCGCATAGCGATGTACACAGGTACCTACACTACCTACAAGTGCTGAGTGTTGACTGTTGAGGACCTCAGGTGTTGTACGTGTATACGCATACACAATTTCTGGAGATCATCCCAGCACCTTGCTTTCGTTCGCAGTAAGTGTGTTATGGAGGGTACTCTAGATATGTTCTTGATGCGCCTAAAGTCTTACCATAAGCCTTAATGATACAGTGGCTGTTTTCTTGCAGTGCCTTGCATACATTCCATCCTCCGAAGCCACTGATATCGGTTGTGTAACAAGAGATAGAAGGTTGAGAAGGTCGTACCTTGCAGGCTGACGCCCCTGAAAGCCGTTGACATCACAACGTGACTTGTAGACTATCATCCATCGAGTCTTCCAAAGCCATTGAGGTAGGGTCTGAATGAATTTCTCGTCCGTCAATGCCCTCATATGCGGCGTCCACTAACACTGAACTGGCTATTCGTCGTAGTTTTCGTTGGTTGCCTGATGTGAATCAGGGTTTTCCAATCCTATTCCTCCTGGGTTCAATCCTTATCCCTTTATACCATGTCGTTAGTACCTTTCTAGCTTTACACAGTCCTTACCCAGCAATCCCTGGCTTTTGGCCCATGGGAATCATTGGATTCCATCCCATTTTCAACGCCAGTCGTAGTAATACAAAAATCACTTTACATGTCCCGTTCATGTGCTGGGTTTAGTCTCTATAGATGCCAAAGATGTATCACTGTTGCCCCTCGGCATTTTCATAGTGAATCTTCCACTGCACATCTTTGCGGATGATATGATCCTGACTCCCACCGCTGTGAATCGACTCTTCATCCCTTCCGTTGGGGTGTTTTTTATGATTGGCGCCGTCTTGTGGGAGTGCAGTTGGTCCCTCAATGTCATTGTAAGAAGCATTTCCAGATCTTGACTTGGACCTGGGGTCCCCTCGAACAGAGCCCAGCTCGTATCCGTTGTTTCGTCCGTATTGGTTCGACGATCCGTAGATACGTGTTGCCGAAGGATCCAACTGAATTCCGAATCCACTGCTGAAGCTCTTGACAAATGACTTGAGGTTGGGGATCGTGGCCGAAATCAGGGACCAGCAGAGTTGGACCTGTTGAAGGACGAGCACCGGCACGATAGCCAGTCCAACATTGTCCGATTTCGTGTATTCTGACACGTAGTGAAGGTGGATGAGGGACAACGCCGCCACCCTGCAACTGGTATTAGCAATGGCATGACTTTCACAAATCAGCTCGACTCACGGTAGGCGAAAGGCAAAGGCCGCCACAACCTGTGTCTTGAGCGCAAGAGAAAGTTGGACCGGCCAGACAATAAAGACCGAAAACAAGACGAGCATGCACTCGGTGAAAACATCGAGCGCTGTAATGATTTGCCATCGGACGAACTGTCACACAAATTAGTTGGTTTCGGGTCCAGTGTTCAGAGCAGCAATCATACTTGGTTGGTGCACCCAGCATTATCGGCTTCAATAAATCCAGGGACGGAGCAATTGACCGAGACTGCTACGATGGCCGAGACTCCCCACAAAGCCATCAACGCAAGGAGGGCCAAGGAGGTCCAATAAAGATATCTCGACCGGGTTTGGTTTTGGACCTTTGAGCCACTGAGATTGAACAGTCGCATCATCAGGTATAGAGTTGCCGCCTTGAGAGCAGCAGCTGATAGAATGAAGAGGATTTGTGCTGCAAAGGTAGCCTGTGACAATCATGTTAACATCGCAAGTTCCACACCCCCTGGAAATGGGAATCCTCACCTTGCTGGCATCGACGATATCGCTTTCACGAAGGAGAGTTTGAGTCTGACCTAGGCCGTGTTGGAGCCCAATAATAATAGCAACTACTTCGCCTATGTGTAATGCCTGGAAGGAGGTTCAGCATGAGATTCCTTGTACACGTCCTCAGACAAATGGTCGTACCGTTGCTACCGTGGCCAGGTAATCGTCAGGCCCATACATCTTCCATCGTAGATGACCCCTCAAGGCCAAGGTGATGACGGAATAGACCAGACAAAGCAAAGAAGCAATCCATAGAGAGCCGGCATGGTCGTCAGGGGTGATTCTGGAGAATCGGTCGCCAGCAATGACGGTGGCCATGTTGAGGTCGTCGTTGAATTACAAGCTCAAAATCCGGGTGTACGTGATGATGACCCGAATGTACTTTCGTAAGGTTAAGGCACTGTGTTGGCGCACATAGTCTTGATATATCACAAGTGGATATAATGGCACAAAGGACTAGGTACAGTGAGAGGCATGGACAGGAACCTTGCCCTGGGTGGCTGTCTTAACGAAGTTTGGACTCTGTTTCAGTATAGGGTTGGATTCGTTCTACCGCTCATGGAAGCAAAAGGTCTGATCCAGGATGGTGGAAATGCCACAATCAGCAACCCCTGTCACCCGGATCGGCTGTAAAGTGTGTGGCTTGTTCCCCCACTTGGCAAAGATAGGAAGCGCTCGAAGCGCAGGCACTGCAGGCCAGGAGCAGGATTGGAACTTGAAGCTTGCGATGGGCTATGGTCGGGGGGAATGCTGGCTGCAGGGAGCGCAGACAGGGCTGAAGTCAACAGAAGTCGACATGGTTTGAATGTCCAAGAGCACGGCCGGCCTGCTGGTGGATTCCACTTGTCCCGTTACTTTTGGCTCAGTCCATTGAGACGCGTGCCAAGTGTGTTCGCAGACCTAATGCAGAATAAGGAAGTCTGGTGGAGATGTCGATCTGTGCAAGAGTCTCACCCGTCCACGCCGTCCAACATGTGGGTGATGATCATATGGTACAGCCTTTTAGAAAGCCACCTGCAGGTTGCGCAGATCTTGAGTGAATGAGGCCATCGCAATGCTACCACATGAATTGCGAAGTTTACACTCACTTGCATAAGCAATGGCCACGACAGGCTAGGACTGCCAAATGCCAGCGATACGGGAGTCTGAGTGCGCAGAGTTCGGACGTCTAAGCGGAGGGGGTCTTGCATTAGCGCGACATTCTCGAGCTCGAGCTAACTGACCTCGGGGGCTGCCGGGCAGGTTCAGGCCCGTACACAAAGGCCAAGTATCTCTATCTTGGCTCCCACCAACGCATGCATGTTCATTATTGTTGTTGATAAAGCTCGCAATAGCCCTTGTCGGTCCCGCATTCTTTCCGTGCACCAGGAACGAGTCTTCCAGGTGTAACGTGGAGGGGGTGGGTGTCATGATAGTGGGTGTCCAACAGAGTTCTGAGACCCGTGAGTCTGGGGTGGATAAGGAGGAGATTGATGGGGAAACAGGGAATGAGAGGGCGATTGTATAGGTGACCATTGGCGACTGGTCGCCAGGTGGGGGTACCTGAAGCCAACATGGTGGCGGGCAATGAGGGATGCTGCTGTCAAAAGTCAATAGCAGAGAGAGTTCAAATATCCTGACAGGACTTGACGAGCTGAGGATTTACTGTGGCCATCCATTCCTCACCCACCAGTACAACATGCCAGTACAACATTATGGTGATGATGATGTTGCCACCGACCATATCTGGCAATTTGACATCTTGACATGTTGCTCGATGAAGTGGGTGCAAAGCTGGTAAAGCTCAGACGAGCTGTCACACGTATCCGGTGGTTGACTTTGACGATGGTGGAGCAGAAGGGTGGGTTTTGGTGAGCCCGGAAATGTCGACTGGCTTCCAGCCGACGTCTGTGGGTGGTAGACCTTGAAATCTGCCGTCATCCCCCTTGGACTTAACTGGACGATGGAATTTTGGGGCCGAGGGGCCTTGAGCAAGTCGGCCACTAAGGGGTGTCATGAGAAGCTTGGTCCAAAAAGACGCGCAAAAACACCCGAAGCATTGAGAATGCCGGATCTGCGGGCTCTGGCCGCCCCTAGATGACCTACAGAGATGCAGTTCTGATCCTTCGCTTGAGGTGGACAACAAGGTCTGCCCTTGGAGCCCTGTAGGTGCCCTGCTCGATGTAGGCTTTAGCTAAAGGCACCCAACAATGCCTACCTAGGTATGGCTAGCACCCTGCGACAACTATAGGTAAGATAGGCACAATTTTAAGCAACCGGTTGGCGGGACCAATAATGGACCCAAGAGCCCTAGACTCCCTCGGCGCTAAAGGCCCGGTGGCGGGCTCGGGGCGGGAGATCAACAAGTTCTTCGCTAACATCCCCCCACCAATGACCCGCGAAAGAGTTAGCGTACCACCTGAAGCGCATCATTCGCATCCATGTTCTCTCCACTCACTCAACCTCTGCCAACAACGCGTGCTATTACTACCGAAGACGTGAGACCATCGCTTGATCCTGTCAACCGACTGCCTATCCTAGGGCCCTGCATTCCAACATGTCCAGTAATATGAGTCCAGATATGCGTATGCCTTTGTGTCTACGGAACTCAGGATGCTCCGGACAGACTAACTACAGGCGTATTGTCCTGGTGTGCAGACACATGCGGCGCCACAGGCTTCCCAGTTTTCGTCATCTACCATGCGCTTAAGCTTTGGTATGGGCGCCTGTGGGCTTCGTCTGGGTATCAATTTATTGACACCACAAGGCACTCTGCCTACGCAATTATGTCAGTGTCAAAGGTCGAGATCGACGCCCAGGAATGTTTGCAGTCACACGGACGCTTGGACGCTCGCGCTTGGACATTCAGCCGATTCCAAGGTGAGGGTTCTGATCTCTACTCCGTCCACACGTTCCCCCGGAAGATGGTGGCCACAGACAAGTTCTCCTTTGATCTACGCCGTAACTCCGTACACTGACTTGGTGACTGCTCACTGGCCACTGTCAAGGTACTCGCAGCATACTTTTTTGGTCCCCTTCTCTGCAAGCGAAAGCAAGAAGCCTTGGTCTCACTCCACCCCAAGCTTACTGTACATCCTTGTCCTCATCCTCTCTACGCATATGCGAACAGACTAGGCTCTGGCCACTATCGCACCTCTGCGTATCTCTCTTCTCAGCCTCTTCCTATGGTCTCTCGCTCTCTCGGCCTTCAGATGCCTGTCTCCCCGACCCTGATCCGATTGCATTTGTTTCCAGGGCCACTAACCCTCCCAAGGGACGAATCAGAATACAGACTCGTCCTTGTAATCCCCTTGCCCACGGCACCTCGAGGCTTGCCGAAACGCCTTTTTTCTTGGTTCCCGCCATTGCGTGGAACAGTTGGCGTCTGAGGGACTACTCTTACTTACCTAGGTAGCCTGCGTTATCGGTCTTCTTTGTATTTTGTTTTTGGTGCATTATCTTGCGGCGCGAGACTGTCTTGCCGTGCGGGAGCAACTGATTAGCATCATGTACCTTCGGCACCCAGGGCGGTTTTGACACGTACGCTCTCGCCATCCCACAAAACCTTGGACCACCATCCGTCTTTCATTCGCTATGCTCAGCTTGACCTGCATGCGAGAAGACGGTTCTCTCAAGGGTGGCTTGCATAAAGTTGCGATGCACAACACCTTGTCCCATTAGTGTCACTCTTCTGTTTCACCCGCGCGAGGCATGTAACTCCGTACTTGGCTCCCTAGGCTTTCTCATACACCATTTTGTAGGCTGTTCTCACTCTGAACTAGCGGACTAGCAGTCTTAGCACTATCGAGCAAATCCATCTCGCAACGCTTCGGCTTTCAAGTTGTGGGCGATCTACGCCTCGACAAGCCCAATTTGACCCTTTGGCTAGTCTGGAAACTGCATGGTACTAGCCCTGGTCCATGCTGATCTCGTCAACAGTATCCCACCGTTGCTCTTGTGGGTGGAACAGTACCTGAAAGTAGACAATCCTGGTGCGTCAATGGTCGTACTGTATTGTATGCATGTAAAGCACCTCCGTACCCTCCAAGTTCCTACCGACATACTCGTGGACATACCCATCAAGACACAAAGACCCGCAAAACGCAGGATGCCGAACCACATGGCGTTCGCTTGACACATGGCCTTTGCTTCCTCTTCCTGCACTCTCCCATATCTTTCGAACCTCCTTGCTCCAACTTCGCTGCAGCCCTGCTGACCTTTCACTTCAGTTCCAACAAGCAGGCGCTTTCTCTTTAGAGATCTTGCAGACATTCTCTCTTGTTTGGGTACTTCTTCATCCACTCCTCAACGTCGAACTGTTCACCACCAGCCATGGCTGAGGTTAAGGACAATGGGGCTGTCATGTCCCAGATCGACCTGGAAGGGTCCAACGCGAACCTTTCCGCCGAAAAGAAGGGAACCGTTGATGACCAGCGCGACATGTTCCGTCTGGGAAAGGCTCAAGAGTTGCGGGTATGCGCCCAAGAACAAATCCTCTATAGGAACGAGTTGAATGTCTGACTAACCCGAGCATCGCAGCGAAACTTTCGATTCGTTTCGATTTTTGGCTTCTCCATGATTTTGATGGCTAGTTGGGAAACCATGCTTGGGTCAGCATAGCATCAGGATAACAAACGACAATGACATAACTGACACCTCTCAAGAACCTCGATCATCGGCCTGATCAACGGCGGTACCGCTGGTCTGATATGGATGTACCTCGTTGCGTGGATCGGCTTTTTGGCCGTGAATACATCCATGGCAGAGATGGGCTCCATGTATGGAACATTCCTCGCATACAATGGCGTTGCTGATTAGTCTTTTCCAGGGCACCTACTGCTGGTGGGCAGTACCATTGGGTTTCAGAGTTTGCACCTCGCAAGTACCAAAAGTTTTTGAGTTTTATTGTTGGTGAGTGTTTTCGAAGCGCAGGAAATGAAAATGACCAAGTGCTCATCCATCTCAGGTTGGTTTTGCGTTCTTGGATGGCAGACCGGTGCTGCCAACACTGCATTCTTGGCCGGAACTCAGATTCAGGGTCTGGCGATTCTCAATTACCCTGATTATACACCTGAGAGATGGCACGGAACCCTCCTCACGTTTGCGGTGGCCTCGTTCTCCGTCTTCTTCAACACCTTCCTGGTCAAGAAACTGCCACTTGTCGAAGGCATTGTGCTGATCGTGCACATCTTTGGATTCTTTGGCGTCCTCATCACCCTGTGGGTTCTTGGACCTAAAGGCAATGCTTCGGAAGTCTTCACCACCTTCAATAACTACGGAGGTTGGAGTAGCGATGGCCTGTCCGCTGTGGTCGGTGTCCTCGCAGTCATGATCCCCCTTCTGGGTGCAGATGGTGCTGTCCACATGTCGGAAGAATTGCGAGATGCTTCCAAAATCCTCCCTCGCAGCATGATCTGGACTACCATCCTCAACGGTATGTCCGGCTGGGTCATGGTCATCACCTTCTGCTTCACACTGGGCAATCTCGACGATGTCATTGATACCCCTACCGGTCAGCCATACATCTTTGTCTTTTACCAAGCCACCGAGTCGTACGCCGGGGCTTCTGTTCTATCGGCATTGGTCATTTTCATGGCCATGTTCTGCAATCTGTCCATTACCGCCACCGCTTCACGTCAATTGTGGTCCTTTGCGCGTGATCAGGGTGTGCCAGGGGCGTCTTGGTTTGCATATGTAGGTCCCGCCACCGCCACATTTGATTCCATATGGATGTGCTGACATGATGACATTCCTAGGTTCGACCGGGTTGGGATGTTCCCATGAACAGTATCGTCGTCTCATTCGTGGTCTCGTGCCTGCTCGCCCTCATCAACATCGGATCCACCATTGCGCTGAACAACATTACCTCTCTATCATTGGTGGCCATTCTGTCCAGCTACATTGCGTCAATTGGATGTCTCTTCTGGAAGCGCATCACTGGCCAGCCCCTTCTCCCAGCCAAATTCAGGCTATCCAATGGTGTCGGTCTCTTCTTGAACGGATTCAGTCTTCTTTTCCTCACATTCGCCTTTATCTTCGCCTTCTTCCCTGGAAATCCAGATCCAACGGTCGAGCAAATGAACTGGGCATGTCTCATTTACGGCGCGGTCCTGATCTTCGCCGGAGTTGATTACTTTGTCCGAGCGCGTCACGTGTACGATGGTCCGGTCGAATATATCCGGAAGCTGATCTGAGTTCGGCCGGAAATATGCGACAAGAATAGGTGCATATTTGATATATCACCCTGTTGTGAATCCACATGCACATAGGTATGGGTCCTCGGCATACCCACAAAGGAACTGCCGTGACTGCTCAACATCATCTCTGGGGGGCCTGGCAGGATTGTGTGGTACTGTACTATGTATCTAGGCAGTCAGCTTCTTGAGTAATCTTCCGTTACGGACCCTCCGTACGGAGTATTTGGCACAGATGATGACTTATCAGAATCCTAGGGGGAATCTCGTGTTATGTCCGCCACCATCGTGTTCCCGACTTTTTGGGGCGTGATAGCCCTTCCAATAGGCTAGTTGCAGTTTCCTGATCAAGATAAAAAGGGCCACCCTGTATCAATTGGCCCCAAATCTGCGTGACAAATGTTTGTATATGACCCCGCAGTTTTGTGTCCACCTCTTTTTTCAGCTCAAGGAATCTGAGGCGTGCCATATTCCCATGGCCTAATGAACGAGGTGGCTATTTCAAGGATGCAAGGGCATAAGCCATCTGCCGACCTCAATTAGCGGAAGTAAGCCTCGAAATCGCACACGTCATGTGGAATTAGGATTGATCCCTTTGTTGCTCTTGCTCCTGTGTATGCAAAATGATTCGGTCCGCCGGACCGTCGGGTCCAGTGATCGATGAGGGGTCAATGGCTCGGCGTTATCCACCCCCAGATGAAGCCTAGGTGGGATGCAGATGGACGTGATTGAAATGTTTGGTTGCAAGTATAAAAGATCGTCAAGAACCGCGTGGTCGGCACTTGCCTTCTGGAAGAAACAAAACGGTAGCACCTTCTTGATATTTGACTATTTGACTATTTGATTTCCCCTCTTGTGTGCGACATCACGAGCGCAGTCTCGACTATCAATCTCAATTCTGATCGCAATTCACTACCATTTCATCAATCTCGCAGGCAGACAAAGTTGCACTATCTGATTCCTCCCCCCACCGAGCCATGGCCCCACACGCAGACGAGACCAATGGGTCGAGCAGCCCAGCAGCTCTCGACTTCACCACCTTTTCCAATGTGATCAATGGCAAGTTGTCCTCCACTAAAGAAACCCGCCATGGTTTCAACCCAGCCACGGGTAAGCCAAATCCTGAAGTTCCAGTCTCGACCCCCGAAGACGTCGACAGGGCTGTCGAAGCTGCACAGAAAGCATTCAAGCCATGGTCCAAGGTCAGCTACGAGGATCGCAGGAAGGCAGTTTTGGCTTTTGCCGATGCTCTGGAGAAGGAGAAGGAGGGCTTCGCCAAGATGCTCGTTCAAGAGCAGGGTAAACCCGTAAGATTCAAATCCTCGCTCAACTTGGTGCAATCACACTAATCTTCCGTCATGGCTTAGTATGGCTTCGCAATGTTCGAAATGGATTTTGCCGCAACCATGATCCGCACTGCAGCTTCCTTGGATCTGCCTACCGAGGAAATAGTCGACGAAGCTGACCGCAAAATTCGAGTCCGTTACACACCCCTTGGTGTCACCGTTGGCATTGTCCCCTGGAACTACCCTGTCTTGCTCTGCGTCAGCAAGGTCGCTCCATGTCTCGTCACTGGCAACACTCTTATCATCAAACCATCTCCGTTCACTCCATATAGCGGATTGAAGATTGTTGAACTGGCTCAGAGATTCTTCCCTCCTGGTGTGATACAGGCCTTGAGTGGAAATGACAGCCTCGGCCCATGGCTAACGGCACATCCGGGACCTGCTAAGATTTCCTTCACTGGGTCAACAGCTACCGGGAAAAAAGTGATGGAGAGTGCTAGCAAGACGCTCAAGCGTGTCACCCTCGAGCTGTACGTACTCCCTTCCGGCCGTATCCGATGCCAGACTGACTCTCAAACAGAGGTGGAAACGACCCTGCTATCGTGACCGAGGATGTTGACGTTGAGGAGGTGGCCCAAAAGATTGCCACTTTGGCCTTTTTGAACTCTGGACAAATCTGCCTTGCGCTCAAGCGGATATATGTTCATGAGAAGATCTTCGACCAATTCCGTGATGCAGTGGTCAGACATACCAAGACCCTGAAGGTAGGCGCAGGTAATGAAGAGGGAGTCTTCCTCGGACCGATTCAAAACTCGATGCAGTATGAGCGTGTCAAGGGCTTCTTCGGCGACATCGAAAAGGAGAACTGGAACGTCGTCGTTGGTGGAAAAAACCCCGACGGTCCAGGATATTTCATCAATCCCACTATCATTGACCGTCCTGCGGACGATTCTCGCATCGTGGCCGAAGAGCCTTTTGGTGAGTGAATCACCAGACCGAACAAATCTCACACTGACTTATAACTAGGTCCAATCGTGCCTCTTCTCAGCTTCAAGACAGACGAGGAAGCCATTACTAGGGCGAACAATACCATCTACGGTCTTGGCGCGTCTGTGTGGTGCCGTGATCTCGACCGAGCGACCGAACTCGCGGAACAGATTGAGTCGGGAAGCGTCTGGGTCAACACGCACTTTGAGCTGGACGTCCGGGCACCATTTGGTGGACATAAGCAGAGTGGCATTGGCGTCGAGTTTGGATTGGCTGGCTTGAAGTCGTATTGCAATTCGCAGACTCTGTACCTCAAAAAGTGAGATTGTCAAAGGCAACAGGTGACGAGGATTTCAGGTTGTGCTTAGTATCTAGTTCTGTCGATTTAATGAAGCTCACCTTGAGCTTGGATACAGCCATGATGATGTTCGTTCACCATCTTGACCACTCCGTAGTGCTCTGGTCCAGTGATAAGTACCTCGGTGAGTTCTCAAGGTACTTTACCTAGGTAGACACTAAGACCACAGGCAAGGGTCAGTACTTCCTATAGATCTCTCAGCCTATTGTTCCTGTATATCTCCATCTCAAACTGGCAAACTCGAGGAGGTTGGTCTTAACGGTGTTTGCCAAGGCTTGGCAAACCCATGCACCAGATTGCGGGGGAAGGCACGCGGAGCTTTTCCACGTTGCCCCGGTTTGGGAGATTCGATCCTTCAACCAGCATTGCTCATCTCTTCTCTTCCAACCTGGAGCTCTCAACTTCACTCACACATAGTGGTTCAGAGCTTCCAGATCTATCAGCTACTACTGTGTCGATCATCATCTGCTACGCTGTTCATTACTGTTGTTATAGCGGGACAGGTTGACGCGCATATTCCTTTTCAAACTTTGCCCGCAAATTAGTCATGTCATCACGTCAACCCCGGATTCTCTGCGAATGGTGTTTGCCGGTGGTATGAGATTCTCGCAACATTGGCAATGGCCGATCACGTCGATAAACGCCCAAGGCTCGATCAGTCGCAAGACGCGGCCACCATGAGTCATGTCTCCTCGAGCAATGATGGGCCAACACCTGCGACAAAACCCCATTCCTCCAGGTCGGAGCACCGTCGTCGCTTTGAATGCACCTATGCTGGATGTGGCCGGCATTATTCACGCGCAGAGCACCTATACCGCCATCAGCTAAACCGTGTGTTGCATCTATCGACGCTTGTCCATCTCTCCTAAATGCTGACCCTTTCCAGATAATCCCAAGGAAATATTCAAGTGTGATTTCCCCGGCTGCTCCCGGACTTTTGTGAGACAGGACTTGTGTATCAGACATAGAGAGCGCCATGAAAGCCGTGGCAAGTTGTCCTTGGGTCAAAATTCCAGCACTCGAGAACCTTTATCGCCACGCTCGTCTGTCAGCGACGATGCGACCTCACCATCGCGGAATACGTTTGCCCCACCAATGCCCGTTTCTAACACTGTTCAGCCTTCCATGGTCCATCGTTCCTCCTTCTCCGAGCCAAAATCCAAACCTATGGAGCCCCCAGCGTCCGTCTCTCACGCTTCTCCTGACTTGAGCCGTACCACAAGCCATCAATCGCAGAATCCCCCTCCCGTCCAGTCTCTACACGATTCGTCCGCCAGTCCTGTGAACCAGACTTCTCTCCAGTCCGGCGTCTACGGCTTGTCGCGGATTCCATCTGGTGCTGGGTTGCCGCACGAACGTTCTCTGAGCTTCAGTGATGCTGCCTTCAACATGCTCGACTCGAATGGCGTAGGCAAACGCCCCCAGGCTCAGAGGGCTCAATCATCTAATGAGAACAAACTCCCCGAGAGTTCTATGCCTCCTTTTTCAATAGCGAGCTTTGGAGAGCAGAGCTTCAACGATTCCCCAAATTCGATCAGGGATGAGTTCACAGCTTGGCTCTTTGACGATGGCGCTAATCTCCCCCCGACTGGTTTCCCAATGGGCGTGCAGTCGACCTTGGGCTTCCAGAACTTCAATGACTCGTTCAGCAGCGGCATCTACACCAATTACTTTGCCGACCCCGCCTTGGAAAACGCATACCCGGGCATGATGTTTCAACGTCAACCCGAACCTGCGAACAAGCTCCCTGAGCTCTCTAATGACACCAGCCTCCTCTCGTACTCCAAGCGCAAAGCCCTTTTGACATTGATGGAATTTCGTTTCAACGACTCTGACAATTTATACATTCGACAGCTCAGAGAAGAGATCTTTCAGGGAAATCTAGACGCAGAGGAACACGTGCTCAGCGTACGATCATTGCAACATTATATCGGCTCTTACTGGTATCATTTCCATGCTCAGATGCCCATCCTCCATCAGCCGACATTCTCTGCCGATGACACTCATGACTTCCTTCTCTTAGCTGTTATGGCTATTGGCGCAGCATATTTGAACAAAGCTCATGGCCGTCAAGTCACCGATGCTGCGGCACGTTTAGCAACATTCATCGCCTGGCATTTGCGCTGGCAGGTATTTATGCACAACGACTTCCACCCTCCAGCGAAGCTATGGGTGTTTCAAACTTTGTTGCTGCTCGAAGTGTATGAGAAAATGAATGCCACGAGGGCTTTACACGAACGTTCTCATATTCACTATGCAACCACGATCAATTTGATGAGACGTGGGACCAACCTGATTGAGACACACCCGGACGGAAGCCGGGCTCCTTCTACGCCCGAGGAATGGTGGAGCCGATGGATCAAAGCAGAAGCCACGCGGCGCGCCGCATACGCCGCATTCTACCTCGACGCAGTTCATGCCACCATGTTCGGACATGCGGCCATGATGGTGGTCCACGAAATACGATTGCCGCTGCCCTGTGATGACGCACTTTGGTCTGCTACGTCAGCAGCAGAGGTCAGCCGAGTTGAAGCAAGCTTACATGCCAATGGCGTCAAGCCAACCACGTTTCTAGATGGACTCAAGAAGACACTGACGGGCAGAAAAGTCCGGACCAACAACTTTGGCCGGATGATCTTGATGGCCGGCCTTATGTCGGTCGCGTGGCATATGAATCAACGAGATCTTCAAGTCACCAGCCTTGGGGTGTCTCAATCCATGGGTGTCCCTGGCGATGGCTGGCGAAACCCTCTCACCAAAGCATTTGAATTCTGGAAGAAGGATTTCGACGAAAGTATCGAGCACATGCGGAAGGCTTCCTTGCCATGGCAGAAACCTGACGCTGCATCCGGTGAGGAGGACATGGCTAAAGCAGCCAATATGCTCCATCACTTGAGCCACATGACCATGCACGTCGACATTATGGACTGCCAGATATTTGCTGGCACCAAGAGACTCTTTGGCCGCAACATCAACAACTCAGACTATGAGAGAGTCAAGTCCAAGATGTTTGAGTGGGCCAAAGGTCCAGGCGCTAGAGTCGCCGTATTCCACGCCCTCCAACTTCTCAAGCCTGTCATATCCGTTGGCAAGGATGGGAGCAAGAAGCTTTACAGCGCTCGTGATGACTACATCCTCACGCGCCCGTGGAACTTGTACTTTGCTGCACTTGTTGTATGGTGTTATGGGTTCGCTCTCGACGGCGTTTTGAGACCTTTCCCTAGCTTGATCCAAGCATCCGTCTCGCCAAATCCCATGTCAAACTTGGCACATGCTTCCAGTCACTCGATGTTGAACATGGCCCACGACGGAAGCGACTCGGAGCTAGATGTCGTGGTAAAGGATGCACAAGCTTTCTTTTCCACGATCGGGGGCGTCAAAACTCCTCAAGCTCTAGAGTCCTTCAAGGATGGCAGGAACAACATAGTTGGAGTGTTGGCAATATTGGAACTCGCATTTCGTGATTCCAGATGGGAACTCTTGCACGAAGCCGCCAACCTCCTCCGAAACGCAATCATGTTGTTAAGGGGAGCCAATCGCACGTAGGGTTGAAAGTTGTATATGTGCGGGTGTCCGTGAGGCTATTGCATTGTTTTAGACAAACCGAATCACATGGCGTCAAAGGCAGCGCGGACTCCGAGCGGCCAGAGAATCATGCGACAGGGAGTCACTTGGCTGTGTATTCATGACCTAATGCATCACGGAGCTGTTGGCCACCCGCAGCCGATTATTTAGATATTGGATTGAGCGGGGTTCACCTTTTCTTGAGCCCAAACCCCCTTGTATGAAGCATTTTGCCCTGGCATGGGTTAGCCTCTGGAGTCAAAATGTCGGCCTTCGAGAAATGATATGGAATGCGGGGCAAAAGCGGAGGCGAGGAATATTCGCACACTCATGCTTACAGACAGAAAAACTCTACAGATGACATTAGATGTCGGCTGCAATGCCGGGCATCAAGGAACCCCCACGATTCAGCTCTAGGGTAACTCAAGATGACCGGCCTTTCATGTCGGGGTCTTTTTCCATTTGTGGGGTACCATGATCGACTTCTGTTGATCCCTCGCTCCATCATCAGCCCGATCTCGCTTCTCAAGTCTGGTTCCCAGGTTGAGGATTGATGTGCACAAGAATGACACATCTCGCTGTTCGTTCTTGTGACATCTCAAGGTATTTCGCTGGAGCAAAGCGTAATCTTTCGTGTCATATGACGCTTGATTTAAGTACGAGCTTCTGTTTTAGCCCTGGTGACGCAATATCTTAGCTCGAGAAGCACCACAGCAGCAGTTCCGACCAAAGTTGTTGTGAGCCGAATTGCGAAATGGCCACAGACGAGTTGAAATCGCTCAAAGGAGTGACCAATAGCCACACCCCTGCGGTTCCTCTCCTTTCAACACCAAAGATCAAGACCATCGAATACTTCCGTGTCAAACCCCGATGGCTGTTTGTGAAGATCACTGATGATCAAGACCTTTACGGTTGGGGTGAAGCTACGCTTGAAGGACACAGCAAAGCTGTTGAAGGCGCACTGGATGAGATCATTGATCGAATCATTGGTTATGAGGCAGAGTAAGTCGAAAGAGGGCAAGGTTGGCATTTGGTGTGACGACGTGCTGAGACCCTTTCTACTTACAGCGACATTGAGCACATTTGGCAGACAATCTGGCGGTTGGGATTTTATCGTGGTGGCCCTGTCTTCATGTCTGCACTGTCAGGCATTGACATCGCACTGTGGGATCTCAAAGGTTTGTAACATAACAATGCTTGAGGAGTGCAACTAAACAGTCCAAGGGCGACGACTCGGAGTTCCAGTATATCAACTTCTCGGGGGCAAGGTACGGAATAAGATCCAGGTATATGCCTGGATAGGAGGTGATCGACCAAACGACATTGAAAACGCAGCCAAAGCTCGAATAGCACAGGGGTTGCGCTGCATCAAAATGAATGCCACCGAAGATGTCAATTGGCTTGACTCACCTTCGATTCTAGATGCCACCCTAGAACGAATCAAGATTGTGAAATCCTTAGGTTTGGATGCTGGAGTCGATTTCCATGGCCGACTCCACAAACCGATGGCGAAACAACTAGCGAAAGCACTCGAACCATACCGTCCCTTGTTTATCGAAGAACCACTACTGGCAGAACACGCCGAAGCATACAAACAACTTAGTGACAGTACGACAATCCCGATCGCTCAGGGCGAACGGTTATACACCAGATGGGACGTCAAGCGCTTCTTGGAGGACGCCTCGGTGGATATTCTCCAACCTGACATTGCACATGCCGGGGGAATCTCAGAGACGAAGCGTATCGCCACCATGGCAGAAGCATACGACGTTGCCATCGCACCTCACTGCCCACTCGGACCGATCGCCTTGGCAGCATGCATGCAAGTGGCATTGAATATACCCAATTTCGTGATTCAAGAAATGTCACTAGGAATGCATTACAACGTGGAAGCCGGAGAAGAAGATCTCAACACCTACCTCGTGGACCCAAGTGTGTTTGCAATCGACAATGGCTATGTCAAGGCCCTGACTGGGGTAGGTTTGGGGATCGAGGTCGACGAAGATGTCGTCCGCAGGATCTCCAAGTCCACGGAACCATGGCAACCAAAGGCCTTTTACGGTGAAGATGGGTCGATTCGAGAGTGGTAAGTCTGGAAAGAAGAAGAGTGATTGATTATGGCGAGGGCTGGCTTTAATGTCATCTGATTGGTCAGAAAAAAACATCTCTAGCATACCTAGAAGCATAGGCATTGTAGGCATGGGGTTGGCATGCATTCTTTTCTGGGTGAAAGATGAAGATAGTATATCAATCTATGGCTGCCCACCTACCTAGGTAGCCTTTGTGGAACAGTGATCTACAGAGATCAGGTACCCAGAAATTAGTACTTATAGTCAGCAAGCTGTGTGATACGTACCTAAGTATCTTTTGGGTACCTCATGTGTCCCCTCGTCCCCATTAATATGAATGCAACCTTGGGCTTTACACATCAACCTGGTCACCGTTTTCCCCGTTTCCCATCCTTCCAACCACCCTAGGTACCTTTCTCACATCTGAGCACCTCTACGTCCAACCCTCATTCTCTAATTGTCATCTACTGTTTACCTTATCAGCGACTATCCCTCCGTTCTAATATCCCAATGGCTTTGTCCTATCCCCAGATGTTCTCCCTTCAAGGCAGAAAGGCCGTTGTCACGGGTGGATCGAGAGGAATTGGTGCGGCCATTGCAGTGGCTCTGGCTGAGGCGGGGGCGGATATTATTCTGATTCAGGTACGTAGGGAAAGGATAAAAGAAAGACTTGCAAAGTCTAGTACTTTAGTCTTGATACTTCAGACCTATTTAGGGTCACTGATGGGATATCTACTGTAGAGAGACACATCAAATCTCCAGACCAAAGAAACCATCGAATCGCTCGTTCGACATGATCAAAGTTCTCCCAATATCTTCATATATACCGCAGATCTTAGCTCTTCAGCCGACGTCAAGGCTTTAGCACCCAGGATTCTAGCTGATGGTCATGATGTCTCTATCCTTGTCACCAGTGCTGGAATTCAACGTCGTCATCCTGCCCATCAATTTCCACTCGACGATTGGAACGAGGTGCTTCAAGTCAACTTGACCAGCGTTTTCACCCTGTGTCGTGATTTCGGGGCTTATATGCTTGGTCGTCCTGGTCCTCATCGTGGCTCGATCATCAATATCGCTAGCCTAACCAGCTTTCAGGGTGGTATCACAGTTCCCGCATACTCGAGTTCAAAAGGAGGTGTGGCACAGTTGACCAAGGCATTTAGCAATGAGTGGGCGAGTCGGGGAATCAATGTCAATGCCATCGCCCCGGGATACGTTGCCACAGACATGAATGAAGCCTTGATCAACAACGAAACAAGAGCTCGTCAGATTCTGGAGAGGATTCCAGCGGGGAGGTGGGGAAATCCGGAAGATTTCAAAGGGCCGGCAGTATTTCTGGCCAGTAGGGCAAGTGTATATATGAATGGTGAGATCTTAACGGTTGACGGTGGGTGGATGGGTCGGTAGGAGATTGTTTGAGGTTGCATAGTACCAGCCAAGTGACTGACACTATGCTGGGTGAGACAAGTCTGGAGACACGGTAGACTATTGCATCCGTGAATTGACAGCCAGCAGCAAAGTGTAGAGGACATCAAGTGTCGGCGTCGGAATTCCCAACTCCTTGCCCTTTCTGACTGGTGTTCCTAGAATGATGTCCACCTCCATTACCCTTCCCCTCTTGCAGTCAACTTGCATGCTGCTGCCGATGGTAGGCATGGCCAGTATTCGCTCTATCAATGAATCGGTCAAGGAGTCTTCCAGAGGCACCCCGGCTGCACGACCAACACTGATGACTTCCTGCATCAAGGTTTTGGTCATGGGCGTCGATCTGTCAGAGGAACTGAGCCAAGAATGGGTGTCAAGCATGGTCAGCGTCGTCAATGCGTTCCATGCCACATTCCACACCACCTTCTCCCATCTTTGGATTTGAATATTGTCTTGAATGGTGAATGGAGTTCCTCCTTCTTGCCATATGTCGGTGAATTCTTTGAGTTTTGCCTTTTCCAATGCTGCATCCACTTGGGGACCTGGGAAGATGCCAATGTGAGTGTGTTCAGAGGCTTTGTGTTCTACCACGCCGGGAGAGTGTTGGACAGCACCAACCCAAGTCTGGTGGAGTTAGTCATTGGTCTGGAACATATGAGTGAGGTGACTTACCACGCAGCTTAGGATGACATTGTTGGGGTAGGCCTTGCGAAAAGGATCCTCGTTGCCGACCCCATTCTGAATGAGGACAATGGTAGTTTTGCCTTCCTCGACCACGGGAGCTATTCTCTCGGGTACCGACGTCACATCGATGGCTTTGTTGGCAAGAACGACGAAATCAAACTTCTCTCCAGCTTCTGCGGGCGTTTTGAGGACTGGATATGGACATATTAGGATTGGTGGCTATGAGAATGGATGGGAATCGTCAGTTCTACCTTGAAAAGGCGCGAAATGGTGTGTGCCATGATTCATGCTGGTTATTTTGACACCCTTGATTTGAGAATGTCAGCAGACTCCATGTTAAATGGTGGCTGGATGGCCCTGACGTTCTTCTTGACGGCGTCGTAGTTCGACCGAGCCACCACGGAAAGTCGAACGGGTTTTGCTCGGGCCATGATGAAGGCATAGAATGAGCCAATGCTGCAGCGAAGAAACATCAGTTTTTAGCGTTCGACGAGAGCTCGTGGTTGACCACACTTACGCTCCCAGGCCATATAACAGGACGTTTGTTTTCTTCTCCATAATCCTATTCAGAAGCTCCGAGACACTTTTGCAAACTCAGATGACTGCTCAGAATGCACTTCAAACTTTGTCAATCGACAAGGTGGCCATCCATCGAGTTGAAATGAGCCTTGATATATCTTCTGTCGTCTTCCAATTGAAATGAACGCCCTTCGAATGATCAGCGATAGCGAGGTCGCAGTTACCACTTTGGGTCGCGACTGCCGTGGGAGAATGACTGACTGAGCCTTCCCAATTAGAAGATGCGTAGTTTGTGGGGGTAAGAGCAACTCATGGCGAGAAATGGAAGGTGCCATTTTCCATACCCCCCACGATCGACACGTGACCGGCCATCCCCGCTGCACATAAATTCAGTACTGTATGCCATCAGTGTTGAAGGGACGTGATTCCAAGCAAGCAAGCAAGCAAGGTTATCAAAAGAACCTCTGACCTTCGACTGGGTTCCAACAACAAGAGAAATGGTTCGAGACATGATGTCAAATATAGTGATGTTACTGTACATGCAGCATCTCTACGTGGTTCGGGTACGCAGATCTCGTTTTGTTTAGTCTGGGCGCCTAATATGTACTGTACACACCCTCTCAGCCTCTCCATCTGGGGGCGTATTCCCCAACCGGAGGCGCCCCAGGTACCCCTCAGCCACCCCGGTTGCCTCCATTGATCGACTTTGAGGCTCCTTTAGGCACCTGTGGCCCCGCTAACTTAGGCGATATCTTTAACCCCAGAACAACGGACCTGGGGCAGGAATATTGACTGCACCTGCTATCTCAATTTTATCGCCACTTTTCATTCAACACTTTGACTCATCAACACACTCTCCACTCTCCATCAACCTTGTATATCTAGACATTTAACAACCAGTCTCAAACATGACGACATATTGATCAGCCTTCGTTACCCCAGCTTTCATTTGGCCCTGGCCCACAAAACGTATGTCAGCTGAACAAAGCGTCTTGGCCAGATTCTCCGAATCCCGAAAATCTAACCTGAAAGCCATCCGTCACATGTCGACTACTTGAGTCAATTGTCATCCACCCAGGGTGCTAGTCAACTTGTCCGATCTCATCGTCGCTTCATCATCATTGTGAAGTGGATGATACTCATCCAATCTGGCCGTTATCAGTTCAAAGTGTCGGAGACTGCATCATTATTTCTACAGAACGCGCCCTCCCACATAACCCGAGCCATGTTTTTCATCACATTGAGATCACTCCGCGCATCATTCAGCTAGTGTTATGAAAGACATGGATCAACCAGAGACGACGGAGAGATTCCAGTGTCCATCATGCGACAAGTCTTTTGTCCGGAAGGCTCATATGCTGCGGCATCATCAGCAACGTTCGTCATTCCCAAACGATCTAGTGGCCCTACTGACTCTCACAAGACATCTCCCAGCGACCCTTTACTTGCTCCTTTTGTACCAAGTGCTTCAAACGAAGGTAAGCGCGTCTTCACCACCAATGTATTCATATTGACCCAATCCAGCGATGTTCTGCGTGCCCATCAATTCCGCTGCAAAGAGCGCGGGGAAGCCCCCGTGCCAGAAGGCCAAAGTAAAGGTCGCAAAAGATCTTCTTGCCTTTCATGCGTCAAATTGAGAACCAGATGTAACCAAGAAAATCCCTGTGCCAGATGTCAGGAACTTGGCAAAGTCTGCATCAGAGGTATCACTATCCACTGACCATCACCGTATTCGCCTCGCGTTGACTTACATCTTCTAGCACCACCCAACGCCAAACCGACCGGACACAACCGCTCCGAAAGCCGTGACGCGATTCCTATTCACCATTTACTCAACCCGGAAGACTTCATCAGCCACTTTCCCATCCGCCCCAACTCCAACAGCAGCAATCCCAATGATGATGACGCTACCCAAGGGGACCAGGAAGACTCTTCCGAGCCCTCTCCCTGGAGCGATGAATTTGATCGCGCTGACGTATTCGCTGCCTCTGCCGGTGCTGAGCTTGAACGATTCGACTTCGATTCCTTTCTCGGCGCCTTCGGAACAATGGGCGCTACGCCATGGACGTTAGAGCCTGATATGCCGCTGTTGACGAGCCCAGGAGACCAACTCCCTCTATCTTCCTCGGCATTGGCATTGGAGCCTCGTGCTTTCGAAAGCCGTCAACGACTGCTCAGTACCGTCTCAAACCTCACCACTATCTATCCCGAAAACCAGAATCTGACCTCAGATGTATACGTCGCAATCGAAAAAATTACTCATATGGAGCTGGACCATTGTATACATCTCTATTTCGAGAATTACCATCGTCATTGTCCACTTTTGCACCGGCCTTCCTTTCAAGCTTTACTCGCCCCAATCCCCTTGCTCCTCAGCATGGCTGCTTTAGGTGCCACCTATTCTCCGGATAAAGGGAGGGTTTCGCTGTGGACATCTCTCTTGGACGTCGTCGAGGCCTACATCTTCGATTGTCCTGGTCTGAGAGAGGAATTCGTCGGAAGCTTCAACCTAGCCGAAGCCCCGAGCGAGGACATGCTACATTACCAATTTCAGATATTGCAAGGTGCTTACCTCATGGTCGTAGTTCAGTACTTTTCGGGAAATTTGGCTGGTCGAAGAAGAGCTAGACGACAACGCTTTTCGAGATGTTTTGATGTATGCCCCTCACGTGGCTTGTTTTGATAATGTGCTTACCAGCCAGGTTGCGCGGGCATTTGGCCTACCAACGGCAAAACATGGGAATTTCCTCCCACTTCACGACGAGATTTCCTTTCAAAGATGGATCAGGAATGAGTGTCGGGTGAGGTACGTTGTGGGCTCAGTATTGAGTAACTGGATAAAGACCAATACTAACCTTGATGATAGAACGATGAACATCATCCTATCACTGGATGCCGCCATGGGCGTTTTCAATAACGTCCCAACACGAGCCAACTATTCAGAACTTGACCTCGAATTGCCGTGTCATCAACAGTACTTTGAGTTTGCGACCTATTTGGACATGACGAGAGCTGGGCTATATCCTACTCCACGGTTGAAGTTGACCGAGGCATTTCAAAGATTGTTTCTTGCGTCTGACCAGGCCCGAACTGCCTTTGAGAATGAAAATCTATGTTTTTGGGACATGATGTATCTGATTCATGGTTAGTCGCCAACCCTATAAGATTTCTGTTCATCGTTTGCTTTACGCTCAGAAGGACCACTAACACGTCGAATGCAATAGTTCTCTACACCTACTTCTGGCAAAACACATATGGAAATCCCTTAATTCACATCTCAGGACTATGGGCACACGAATCGACGACACATCCGGCGATTCAGCCTATAAAAACAGCCCTCGCAAATTGGAAAATGCTGTGGGACGATATTCGATCTGAGACGAATCGCATCTCCACAGCTGACATGGGCTTTGAGACTACCTCGGACAGCTATTGGACATTGATCAACCTCATGATGCAAAGACTCGAAACCAAGTCCAAACCCGCCATAAATGTACAAGGCCAGCCCACAAATGGATCAGAGGGTCATCTACCCCCAGGTCCAAGTCTAGGCGACAAGGCGACAAGCGCACGCTTAGACTTCTTGCCAGTTGAAGCCGACTGTGATAGCCATGGGTCTCATTTGAGGGGGATTCTGGGGCTATAGCACTCGTGGCGGCATCTTTGAGTTGGCTTCCAACGTGGAGGCATTCTGTTTTCTGGACGACCAAAACAAGGTATGAATTCTGGCCGGGATTATATCAAGTGGCATGACCACGGAAAAGTCGGTCCTACGGATCTGATCCGTTACTTTAGTTCAGGATAAGTCATATTTTGAAATCGATTATTGACGTCGTTTCATATTCTTCGTCGTCGTTGTCTTCGTTATAGTGATTAAGTACTGTCATGTCTGTCCACCCAACCTAGTAAGTAGTAGTAGTAGTCAAAAAGCCACACTGTGGGTATCTTGGAAGAAGAGATTCCCATTTCCATGCCATGCCATGCCATGCCACTCTCAGTTTTGTCTCGATCTATCGAGACAATCTGATCGATGCTCGATGCTCGATGCTCAATGCTTGATGCCCGTTTACATTACAATGCACTTTTGTGACTTGCCATATTGTTCTCCCCAACGATCAATTCCAGCAGCAATTTCATTCTCATGCTGTTTCTGCTTGACGTCCTTTTTGAAATTCTTGTGCAAGAAGAGCATGAGTTCGAAGTCGACGTTGTCTGTATCAAATCACCGGGAGATCAGTAAAATGGACACACAGACTGTATAGGACACATCTGATGATGGGTAGACTTACCATTATCCGCCTCCATGACCACTAGTTCCCGACACAGCGGACAATGAGGTTTCCTCTGTCTCTGCAAGACAATCAAACACCGAATACAAAACACATGATTACAATTAAGCCGAACCGGTTTCCACGAGATGGAAAAACAGATCGGACACAAGTAATCATTGAGTTGGGGAATCAAATTGAGTAATTCATTCGTGATGGTGAAACAAGTCGCTCGGGAGAGGTTTTCCGCCAAAAAGGGAGTCTTTGTCAATGAATTTTGAATCGTGGCTCGCGTGTGCAGTGAAGTGCGTTTATCGAATTTCTTCATGATCTTGGTCAAGGCTGTCTTGTTGATTTCTTGGAATTTGATCAGACGTAGCAATTTGATGTTGATGCGGAGAAATCGGTCGAGTGAGCCGCCGGCCAGTTGGCCGAATTTCATGATTTCTTCTCGTTGTGGTTCCAGTGCTTTGTTGAATTCTTCAAAGTGTTTCTGTGCTTGGGTTGAATCGCGGTCGCCGGCGTCGGCTTCGTGCAGGGAGGAAAATATCTCGGCGTCTTGATACATTTGGAAGATGTTTCTCCAGGTTTCGACTTCTTGTTTGGAGCGTTTCTTCCGCGAGTTTTTGAGTCGTTGTAGTTCGTTGCCTAGTGCGGTGATCTCGTCTTGGATTCGTTGTTGTTCTGCGACTTGGATTTGGTCTAGCTCGCTTAATTCACGTCGTAGGATCTGGAAGAATTCCGAATCTGATGTGAGTGGAACTTCGATGGTGTCGGTATGTCGATGTTTCCGGCTTGATGTTCCCGCCTCATTCTCGGCCATACTGTCAACATCAGAAGTGGAATCAGCTTCGCTTACTGATGGACGGGGTGAATCATAGTCTGCTGATGCGTGGGCGATTTGATCGCCATTGATTGTCGCGAGACGCTCCTTGTTCACCAGACGGCGCAAAACTCGGCGTGTATCAGGACTGAGCCAGGCATCCATTGGCGAGCCATCTTGGGGGTCGATGGCGATGGTCAGCTTTGGAGTGAATGGGATCTTTCCAGACTTCTGCAAGGAATACTGCAAGACTTGTTCGTCGGTCGAATTATCCGAATTAGGCCCTACATGTTGCCAGAGTTCATTGAGCGTCTCTTTGTCCAGTCCGAGACTGATAAGCTCTTGCTGGACTCTCTTGATGCACTTTTTCAGCTTCTTGTAGGAGATTGCCGACTCGATCCAGTCGGGTGGATACTCTCCACGCGACAGCGCGACCTGGTAGTCCTGTCCGAACTTCATGGCGACAGATCAACGAATGTCAGGATGACAAAGTAACGGTGAGAATCACAGCTTGTTCAAATGGATGGGAGACATTCCCGGGATTTTCACCATCGGTCATGTGGTCGGATTGCCACACCAGCCTGACCTGGACTTGGGCTTTTGACGGTGCTGGGCTAGCGGTTGTTTAAGACTTCCATGAGAAGCAAGTGGGAAATTGGCATCGCCGGTGAAGTGAATGAAGCCTTGGGAAGATGGCCGCCTTGGGAAGATGGCCGCCTAAGGTATTCACTTGCCACATAAAGTCCTTTTCGATGTGTCGAAGCCAGACTACGAATCAAAATCTCATCATTGAACACGCACGCAGTTTGTTAACTGAACTCAAAAAATTGTGTCATGTCACGTGGAGTTTTTTTCCTTGCCGTCTATATCACGTGGATCGATGACTCATACACGTGACATGGAATTTCATCGGCCACGCACTTGTGACTGCGTTCAGTCTGCAACTTTTCAATTCCCAGTCCACACAGCAACCTTGTCTGTGTGGCCGAGCCTACCACAAATCCTTATGTCTGCTCGATCTTGGAGATGACATCTGTTGAGATTCCCACAGACTTCGGTTGATTGTTCAAATTTGAGGACCCAAACACTCTCTCGAGATGGGTCAAGGACAGTCCACCAACAACTCAGAGCCCGAGCCTGAAACGGCAGTCAAGACAGATTACTATGAACTGCTAGGCGTCGAGCGAACGGCAACCGAAGATGAATTGAAGAAAGCCTACCGTCGTAAAGCCCTCGAACTGCACCCAGATCGAAACTATGGCAACGTGGAGAATGCCACCAAACTGTTCGCCGAGATCTCATCTGCCTACGAGGTTTTGTCGGATCCTCAAGAAAGAGCCTGGTATGACTCTCACAGAGATATCATTTTGCGAGGAGATTCGGCCGGTGGCGCAGGGAGTGATGAGTTCTCCTACAATACCCGAATGACCACGTCGGAAGAGGTTGTCCAATTGATGATGAAGTTTAATGGTCGCCTGGAATTTACCAATGCTCCGAGTGGATTCTTTGGTGGACTAAATGACTTCTTCAAACAACTAGCCAGAGAGGAGGAGATCGCGTGCCAGTGGGAAGACCAAGATGCCCCCGAATATCCCGACTTTGGCTTGGACAACGACGACTACAATGATGTTGTCCGTCCCTTCTACGCGATGTGGACCGGTTTCGGAACCAAGAAGAGCTATATTTGGAAAGACAAGTATCGGTTATCGGAAGCCCCTGACCGACGTATCAGAAGGTTAATGGAGAAAGAGAACAAGAAACTTCGCGAGGATGCGGTTCAAGAATTCAACGAAGCCGTACGGTCTCTAGTGGCATTCGTCAGGAAACGAGACCCGCGGGTCCAAAACAACCAGAAGTCTGAAGCCGAGAGGCAGAAGGCGCTCCGCGAGGCCACGGCGGCACAGGCGGCACGATCTCGAGCAGCTAGACAAGCACAATTGCAAGACGCGGATACCACAGTGATTCCCGATTGGGCGCAGTCCCAGAGTAAAGACGAGCACGAGGGGGGTTTCTCGAGCGAATCGGATCTGGAAGATCATGTCTACGACTGTGTGGTTTGTGATAAGACGTTCAAGAGCGAGGCGCAGTTCCAGGCACACGAAAAGAGCAAGAAGCACACCAAGCAACTGAAACAGTTGCAGAAGGAGATGCGAAGCGAAGGCCGAGCATTGAATCTAGAAGGTCGTCCCACAGGAACCGAGACGCTGGATCCGGCTGCGGATGCCGTGGACCAGGAGAGCGAGGATGCGGCTACTCCTTTGGAATCGGAGGCGAGTGACAGCGACCATGAAGCGACATCTGTCCAGGATTCTCAGACGACTATCCCCCCAGACTCCACCTCAGCCAAGGACGATGATACTACCGACGAGGATGATGACGATTATGCCCCTCGGTCAGAGGTCGAGAAGCGTCTCGCCGGCGACAAGATGGAGGATTTGTCAACCAGTCTCGACCAAACCGACCTGGACGGCACACCAACAACATCAGACTTGGAAGGATCGTCCAAAGAAGGGACAGGCATGTCGAAGATGGGCAAAGCGAAACTGAAGCGAGCAAAGAAGGCGGCTGCCCAGCAAAACCCATCAAGGGTGGAGACATCTGGCTCCGAGTTTCAATGCCTTGCATGTCAAGCCGAGTTCCCCTCCAAGACACAATTGTTCAAGCACCTCGACAAGACCAAACACGCAGCACCACTTGGCCAAGTCAAGGGGTCGACAACAAAAGGCAGCAAGGGGAAGAAACGATGAGCGAATTAACATAACCGGCTGGAGTTGCTTTGAGAACTTCTTGGATCCTGACCACTCGGGCCATTCTGTCGGATACACGGCTCCAAAGGGGTTGAAAGTTGAAGCGTAGATCTGTAGCCAAATGCATGATGTTGAACACTAGATTTCAATCGAAGGTTGCGTATTGGTCCATGACCCTTTCCAGAAGTGTTTCACGAGGTGCGGTGTCGGCGTCTACGAAACACCAAAAGACATGGCACCAATGGCAATGGCACCAATGGTCGCAAATGGTTAGAAATGGTTAGAAATGGTCATTTTTGGTGCTTGAAGGACACGTGAATGTGAAAACATGTGATTCGATTCGGCGGCTGCAGAGATTATCCAGACCCACCGGGTGGGATCTTATTGGATAAGACGGAGACACGCGTGATCAATGGGAAACCCGCCCATCCATCATCGTAGACCGAGGCTGCACCGAACTGACATGATAATGCTGGCATTGATCTACCGCCTGTTCTGCTGATTTCCTGTTTCTTGAACCTGGGACTCAGACAGTTCACTCTCGAGGCTATACGTAGTCGCGAGAGTAGGTCGTCTTTGGTCTTTGTTAGGCCTTGGTCGGAACCCATTCTCTGGTAGCAGCAGTGTCAGTGTCAGTGTTGTGTCTGATCTCTTTTGTCGTTGACCACATGGTCGCGTATAGATTGGAGTCGTGGGCGCGTCCTTGAACGGTCCTTCGTCTCCAGCGCCGAGTTAAGAAGATTTGCAGTTGTGTATATCATAACAGAGAAGAGGAGACCCATTCCATCCAAGCCCAACTAGAGGAGATCAGACTCTAGTCTCTAGACTCCAGCTCAAGCAACCACAACTGCTCGACATCCTTCACCATGGCCGACACACGCTGTGCAAACCCGGAACTACAATTCGATGTGGATATGATGATGCTCGAGTACGCCCTGTACCATGCTACCAAGGCACATCTCGACGCCTTGTCCGACGACTGTATGGACCCAGACCAGGCCGGGGAAGCCAGTCGACTACTATCCATTTTTGATACGTTGATGCGACTCTTCAATCTGAACCACGCAGGCTACGTCAAGTCGGGGGAGTTGTGCCTGGGACTCAAACTACTGGAATTCCTCGTCTTGTTATCCAGCATCGCCAGAGAGGATGACAATCAACTACTACTACAACAACAACACACCTTCTCCGCCGCACATCAGCAGGCATTACGGTCTGATGGATTTCAAGCACTACGAAGTCGACGCGCATGGCTCGCTGCCAGAAATGCCGAGCCTATGTCATCGCAGGGCAGTTTATCGCTTTACGTCGAGAAACAGATCTACAATGCATGGACAGTCAAGGTCCGGCCTACAAACAACAAGCCCTCGTCATCGTCACCCGTATTCAAACCTGGCTTGTTCCAACTGATCCCGCGCTTCATGGACATCTCCGGCGACATCATGGCCGCCATCCGTCAAGACCCCAATGAGACATGGACCGAAATCGCCGGCGAGTTCATGTTACAAGCGAGTCTCGACTCCCTACGTATGCAGATCCCAGTGAGCAAAGACACTGCTTCTCCTGCTGGACCACGTCCACCTCGTCTCGAAGAATGCTTCGCCTGGGGCTACGTACAAAACCCACCTGGCGACAATGCATGGCTCATCAACGACTTGTTTCGCGAACACCCAGACATAGATGATGACGACGACGATGTGACTACTAGATCCGACACTACTACTAAGACTAAGACCAAGACTCCTGCCGCAACAATATCTTCTCCAGTAGTCGAAACCCCATTATGGACCGAAACACGCGCACGATTCCTCTCTGAATTCCACATCGCGGACGCAGCATCAACGAGTTCACAGACCTGTCGACTCGAACGACTAGAGGCCAAATATCCGCCGGCGCAATTCGTGCAGACTCTCGTGGGGTTTATGCGGCAAATTTGGGCCACCGTTTGTGATGATCAGATGTTGGGCACGCCGTTGTTGGTTCAGATTGAGGAGGGACATTTGAAGAGTCTGGGTGTGCAAGGGGCGGCGTTTGATGACTTTCTCGTCAGAGTGGGGCTGAAGCCTGATTATGGCGGTTTGTTGAAGTTGAAATTGTGAAGTTGTGAGGATTAGCGGATGGATCAAGATATAAGGACATGGTCCTTTTCATGGAACGGTTCATTCCACCAGAGAGGTACAAATCATCACTATCAACATGGCCTGTCGATTACATAGGTCTCAGTAACGAAGTCATGTCACTTTTAACAAACCAAAACGAAGATCAAAAAACGACAATGGATGGATGATATGACATTATTATTCGTCAAGAACGTCAAAGTTATTGTTACACAACAACAACGCATAGGTTATGAATGGCGGATAGCCTTGACTAAGGTATCTACAAACCAAACCAACGCCTGCTCCCTGTTTCCCATAAACCCACAAGCACCTCAATAAGCCCGAATACCTCGATGCGACCCCTTAATCGGGGCACCATTGTGTACCGACGGATGAGTCTTCGCATCCGTCATACCATTCGCACGACGAATATCAGGATCAGTATTCATACCATTGTGAGTGCCATTGAACTTCATATTCTTGATTCCATCATACCCTTTGATTCCCGTTGCCTTTTCCAATCTCGTGGCAATGTCATCCGAAACTTCACGGAAGATTGCAATTTGTCGTTTGAGAATCTCTTGACTCTTACACACCTCCATTTTCCCAGCGACGTTGTTGATGAATCGCTCACGAGCAGGTTCGTCCCAAACTTTCTCCCATAACGCGCGAGGGGCATTGAAGTCCTCGGGTCTGATCATGGAGAGGAAGGAGACGGCGCTGCCGATGAAGTGGCCGTGGGTTTTGTCGATGTCGATTTTCCGTTCTTGGAATTGGATGGGGTCGATGGACGAGAGGTAGTTGGGGCGAGCACCTTGGTTGTAGAATGCCATGGGTCCGTCGCGTTGGAAGTTTCCGGCTTGATAGCCGGATCGGTGCGCGTTGACGGGGAGTTGTTGATAGTTTGTGCCGACGCGGTGGCGGTGGGTGTCTGGGTAGGAGAAGAGACGGGATTGAAGGACTGGATCGGCGGATGGTTCGATGCCAGCAGGCATGTGTGATGGGGTGAAGGCGACTTGTTCGACTTCAGCAAAATAGTTGACGGCGTTCTCGTTGAGAGTGAATTCTCCGATCTTGCGCAGTGGGAATTGCTTTTGTGGCCACACGTGAGTCAAATCAAAGACGTTGATGCCTTGTTTTTCCCACACTTCTTCGGCTTCCTGCGGTGTCATGGTCTGGACTTCGACGGTCCATTTGGGGAAATCACCACGTTGGATGGCCTCGTACAGGTCCTTTTGAGAGTAATCGGGAGATTTGTTGGCCGAGTCTTCTTGCGTGATGAACTTGGTTCCCTGCAAGGACTTCATGTGGACTTGGGCATACACCCAGTCGCCGTCCTTGTTGATGAACTTGAGACTATGGCCGGAATAGCCATGCATGAAACGATAGCCGTCGGGAATACCTCGATCACCCATCAAGATCATGACCTGATGGATTGACTCGGGGTTTTGCGAGAGGTAATCCCAGAACATGGTTGAATCGTCCGCATGGGTCAAATGGGTCGAGGGATCTCTCTTCTGCGTGTGGATAAAATGCGGGAACTTGGCAGGATCTCTCAAGAAGAAGACTGGAGTGTTGTTTGCCACCATATCCCAATTGCCTTCTTCTGTTCTGAACTTGACGGAGAATCCTCTAGGATCACGAGCACAGTCGTGAGAGCCTGATTCGCCACCTACGGTAGAGAACCGAACCGTGACGGGACATTTCTTGCCCTTGGCGCTGAAGAGATCGGCAGTGGTGATGTCGTCGGCAGGATTGGTACATTCGAAGAATCCATGGGCACCACTGCCCTTTGCGTGGACGACACGCTCGGGGATCCGCTCACGATCAAAGTGAGATAGAAGGTCGATCAAGTGAAAGTCTTGCAGCAACAAGGGTCCGTTTGTACCTGCTCTCTGTGTCTCGTATGGATGAGCCATGGGAACGCCATTGCTGGTGGTGTAGGTAGTATCTTTGGATGATGCCTGACGGTCTTTTTCATACGAGGTGAACTGGTTCGCCACATGGGCCGAGAAGGAGGTATCGTTAGACATGACGGTGGACTTGATACTTTCGACAGGTGCTTGAATGAAGGATTGGACGGATTGCATGAGAACAAACAAGACGTTGGGAGATGGAGATGGAGATGGGGTATATATGGTGCAAGAGCAGTCAAGACAATAGATCAGAGTCGAGGAAGGAGTAACTGGGAAATATCCTGCAGAGTGGCGTTCTCATGCAAGCAGAGCAGCGAGAAATGATGATTTTGAGGTATCCTCAATGATTAATTGCATAATTGTACGAGTATATCATGACGTTCTTGGGAAGATGTCACTCGTCTTTGATTGGAGCGGATCGATCGATGACATGGGTTGCGGATACAAGAGCCACCAAACGTCGAGCTAAGTTTTCCCAAATTTGTGTCTAGGGAACAACCCTCCGGAAGCTTGATAGGAGGCACGAGGGGCCCGAGGCGCCCTTGAAGAACACAGGTCATACCTAGGAAATTCAGGTGCAGTGCAGTGGGTGCCTATGAGGTGGCACCAGTGGGTGAAGTTACTCATAAACGTCATCTCAAGCTCCAGAACAGACGCTTTGTAAGGGCCGTGCAGCATCTCCTCGTACCTGCGCACACGTTAATTCCCAAATCCAGCATCTGGCTTGTCAATTGCTCTCTGGTTACTGGTTGAACTCTTCGAAATCGTACATAATCGTCCCCCACAGGGTCTGATTTCGGCACTTGGTCAAAATCCACCTGACAAGCAATGGTGACATGGTCCTTTTGGTGGCTACGGATGGCATCCGAAAGACCCAAGGCTTGAGAGAGAGAGAGAGAGAGAGACGACTTAGTATTTTTGAGTGAGTAAGAAATGGAGATGATCAGGTCCTTAAGTACTAGGTAATAGGCTGTTCTTTTCAAATCTAACTGTATCGTGTCTAGTCTAACGAATTTTAAGCATGTGTTTCTTGCACCCCACTAGGGCTTCAACTTTTGACACTACTTACTCACAAGTCCTCCTTTACATTCCACACGGAAAATCAATAGACGATGGAGATCCCTCAGGGTAGATATTCTTGGTATTGATCTACTTCAGTAATAATAATGAATACCTTCGACCGAGGGGTGTATCACCCAAGACTTTGAATCCGAATACGAAGCAATTTCTGTAACTCAAGTTGGAGTTCTCGGTACCGAGGCAAATACCAAAAATGTAGACCATCTAAATATACCACGAGTTGTATACTCGGATGGCAATGCACAAGTTAGTTTGTTTCAATACTGAGTGCCTGCCTTACCGAACATGGCTTCAAACATGAAGAATATGCCCATCGTCGACGCATGGGCGAATTTACATATTGTAAGTCCCTACAAAAGAACTTATGACCGAGTTACATGTCGAAGAACATACTTGGATATCCATAGACCAGACGAGCTAGCAGACTAACCAACCACAAGGGAGACTTCCCCGAAATCCAACGCCTGTTCGAACAAAGCAAAGTCGATCCAGCACTAGTATCTCGCCCACCCACACCGGATGAAGTAATCGCCATGATGGACGCCGCCGGCGTGTCCCAAATCTGTCTCGCCTCATGGCGCCGACCCGGCAAAATCCTCAGTTCCAACGAAGACGTCGCGAAATTCACACGCGCGTATCCAGATCGAATCTTCGGCCTTGCATCGGTCGACCTACACGATCCCGTCGGCGCAGTCAAGGAACTCGAACACTATGTGGTCAAGGAAGGCTTCAAGGGTCTTCGCATCGTACCCTGGTTGTGGAATCTGGCTCCGACCGATGCGCATTATTGGCCTTTATATGTCAAGTGCATTGAATTGGATATTCCGTTCTGCACGCAGGTCGGACATACGGGTCCGTTGTGTCCGAGTGAGACGGGTCGGCCGATTCCTTATATCGATACTATTGCTCTGAAGTTTCCAAAGTTGAAAGTTGTGTGTGGGCATATTGGGTATCCGTGGACGGCGGAGATGGTGGCAGTGGCGTGGAAACATGAGAATATCTATATCGACACGTCGGCGTATTTGCCAAAGTACTACCCGCAAGAGCTGATTACTTTTGCCAACACCACGGGGAGGAAAAAGGTCTTGTTTGGTACGAATTTCCCACAGTTGACTTGGAAGGCTTGTGTGGACAGTGCAGACAAGCATTTGGTTCAAGTGCCTGGTGGTTTGCGACCTGAAGTGGTTAAAGACTTCATGGGCGAGAATGCAAGGCGTGTCTTCAAGTTGCCGTCTCTGCCTGCCAAAGCATCGCTCTAGATCATAGGTCATAGACAATGTTGTATTCAGCTAAGTAAAGTAAGCCTGGCAGACCTGGGAATTTCCACACCTTATACTTATTGGTCTCTTCTCAATGACCCAACTCCAGTCATGACATGCTCGAATCAATACAGTTCTTCATTGTCGTTCAAGTTCAAAACTCCATTCCATCAGCGCCGGTGATACCATCCTCGTCTCTTTCCCGCTTGACCCGCGTCATTTCGCTCTTGAGAAGCGTCTTGACGAATCCATCGAAGATCTCCACATAAGGCTTTAAGCTGGTCTTTTCCCAGTCATTGAGCTTCCGCATGGTAGGTCCATCCTGAACAAATCCGTTGTCCTGCTCAGCTGGCCCGCCGTTGCTTCCAAAGTGATCCACCTCACGAAGTAGCTCCGTCACCTTCGGTACCGTTAATGGATCGAAGGCTTCGGCACGTTCCATGTCGCCGTTGGTAGTGATAGGTACACAGACTCTTCCGGTGCCGGGGTGTACCACAAAAGGACTCTTCAGTAAATGGTTTCGCTTCTTTCCGACTTCAACATCCAATCTGGGATAGGTATACTCGAGCAGAATGTCCTGCTTGGCCTCCATGAGACTCTTGGTGTCCAGAGTCTTGCTGACCCCTGTTGCAGCGACGGAATCAATGTCTGCCCATTTGCGCGTACTTGGTCGATCAGGACTGCTGGTCCATTTCTTCGCTAGTGCATCCCTCAGCAACCGATCCGGAATTAACTGTAGTAGTCGCTCTTGTCCTGATTGTGACTTGAAGGGGTCTTGATCGATCAGTACTTGTTGGAAATATGGTTTCAAAATCTCAAGGCTGCGGGTAAGGTGGGGATGCAGAGGTCGCTTCAGGTTCACTCGCTTGCCACCTTGGACACCTCCTTTCAGGACTTCAAAGTACCCAGTGATTGCCTTTCTTCTGTCGTCATCTAGTTCTCGGGCGTCCTTGTCGCTGATCCAAGCGTGCACACCACGACGACCCGAATAGATCCATATGATGTGTTCGAACCCGAAATCATCTCGCAAAGCCACGTCAACCACTTTGATCGCCATGGTGGCAAATGACCAACACTTGGAACAGATATTTGCCTTTGTACAGCACGTCCGAATATCGTCGTAGTCTGTCAAATCGATATCGAACACAATCTCTTTACTCAGCGGTCGAAACATACTGCTCTTTCTGAGGGTTTTCCTGTCTCTGGGATTCGTCGTATAAACAGGCCCAATCTCAAATCGGGATGGGTTGTGTCGTAGAATGTCCTTGCGGAGCATATCTGCCGTCGCATATGATTGGTATCGGAGGTAAGCATTGTTTGGAAGGGTTAGGGCAAACTCGCGGTTGCTGAAGTCTGGACCTGGCTTGGGAGAATGGTTGAGCCATTGGAATAGAGAGCGAAAGGGAAATAACCGGGCGTAAAACTGTTGCATCACCATCGCGTCCGAGTAGGATTCTTGCTCGCCGTTGGTCTTGGTTTCCGGAGACATTGTGGGTGCTGTTTGTGGAGGAGAAGAAGGTATGTTGTTTGTACTTGAGAGTTCCATCTCGGCTTGTATCTCGTCCTCATCATCATCGAAGAGATCCTCGAGTGCCACTCCGCTTGGCTGGGCGACATTTTGAGGCGATGATGCTTCCTCCATCTTGATCTCGTTGACAGAGATCTGAGCGGAGTCGGGCAAGTTGGCATCGGTTTCTTCTGCGGGCGATGTTTGTCGCGGTGATGAGGAAGCCATTTTGATGCCCATGGCGAACTGTATGTACGCTTACTGCGGTAGAACTCTGCACGAAGCAGCCCACTCTTCAATTACCTGTGGTAGTCACTCTAGAGACTCATTTGGGCACTAGAAGTATGAAGAAACGACTGCTAAAGACGGTGCGCATGCATGGAGACGCCAGAGGGACGCCCGGCACAGACGCGTTGGCGCGTCGCGTGTTCGCGTCTTAAGTGCCTCTCTGTAGCTTCGCTCAACATGGCTTAGCTTTATTCTGCCTATGGGCACGTGATTACACATTCATTCGAGTACTCCTACTTTTACTTCACAGTCCAGGTCAGAATTTCATGTTCAACAGTTCCAAATTGCTTATCGTAGATCCCAGAACATTGAGTCAATTGCTAAACTGTCATCCTATGGTATCATTCCATCAAATGCAATGGTTCATCGAGTATAGTTCTGCGCCACTTGTTCCTTTCCAAAACACCTATTCCAAAAGTCACAAAACATTTTCTTTGACTTCATTGGCGTCAGAAAATGGTCCAGAATCATGCTTCGCTAACTCGGGGCGAGACCCTGAAGCGGTGGCACCTATATGCTGGGGGTCCTTTGCGCGGTTGATTGCATCTTCAATCATGGCGTTCAGGGCGGCATTTCTGCTGCTGGTGTGCCTGTGCGTTGGACCGGGAGGTCCACTCTCAGATTGGCTTCCGGCCGGTGACATTGAACTCACTCCCGATGACCGAGCCACATTACCAGCAAATGCAGGGCGTGGGATGGCGATAGGAGATAGAGGTGATTGTGCGGCTTCAGAAATGGGTGTGGTTGCTGATGAACTGACCAAGACTTCTTTCTCGTCAGAGAAGGCTGCTGGAGACTTGTCAGGCTCTGTTGAGCTGGGACTCAACGGCGAGCTCCTGCGAGAGTTCTCTTTCGCAAGATTGGCCAGGGTCGGGACTTTGGTACCGGGGTTGGCCTTTTTCACTTCGATTGGCCGGGCTGTTACATTTCGAGCAATAATGGAGCTGCCGTTTTGACCAAAATTGGGAGTAGATGGAATTTGTGGTGTTCTGGTGTTGGGAGTGTTCCCGCTAGCGGGCGTCGGAGCCCCTGACTTGACACTGACAACATTGGCCTGGCCACGGAAAGCGTGTTGGGCAGGAATGGGTGGAACAATGGCGTCACTTCGATAGATTGTAGTGGCGACTGAATCGCGATAGAGACTGGGTGAAATGCTGATACGGGGATCAAATGAACTATCGGACCAGGTCGAATCTCTGAGATCGCCAGGCATGAAAAAGTGCTGCTCTGGACCAGGTGTCCCGGCTGTGGAGCCTCCACCAGGCATGGACGGCACCGGTGGAACCAAACCAGGAGACTGAGGAGGTGATCGGACGGTCACCCCCGGGATATAGGCAATCTGGATGACATTTGAAGCGCGGGTGAGTACGGTAGATGCAATCGAGTGAGCAGTGGAATGTCGAGCAGAGCGATGCAAAGTTGACTGATCTCGCTTTTCTGGAGGATCCCAGATTTCGACTTTGCTGCGTTTCCTCTTTACACAGAAGTGGTAGATGAGGTATAAGATAGCAATAAAAGCGAGGCCACCGATAACGCCTCCGACAATGCCACCAACAGGGGTTTCACTTTTAGGGGCAGTCTGCCCAGGTATTGAACCGAGCTTGACGCATGTGGTCGATGCACAAGAGTCGCAAGATGCTGCTTTCAACGAACATGTCTCATCCGCCGCACAAGAGGGACACGGGGGAGATTCAGGTGGACATTGTACACAACGTCGAAAAAGGGGATGATTGAATGCTTCGATATCTAAAACAACTTGGTCAATAACAAGAACCTGCATCGCATATCAAGCTGGTGGACTTACAAGAGCTAGAGGAGACCATCTTGGCTGTTCGGTCGTGTATTGAACGTGGGTTCTAGGAGATCTTCATCGGTGAAAAAAGGTGTGGTTTCTTTATTCTGAGGCAGGCTTGATCTGGCGATAAAGCTGTTGAGACGCGCTGACGCGGTTCGTAGCCCTGTGCAGCAGGTCGAAAGGCTCTTCCACCTAGATTCTGTGTACGATATGATTGAATGGGAGGTCGTATGCGATGGACGTCGTGATTGAATGAAGTGGACAAAGGTCAAGGGAAACGAGCGTGTTAGGGTGAAGCGAGAGGTGGTTTTTCTTTCGTTATCGTTGCTAAAAGCGAGGGGTATATAAGAATCGAAGTTGTTGGAATGATCGAACAGCAGTTGGTGATAATGGACAGAGGATGAGATGGTGGATGGCTCATGAAGAGAGGAGAAAGGCGAGGTAGATCTCGAGTTCTCGACTCTGGGGGGACTGGACATGGGATTGGCTGGGTACCTGAACAACCAAGAATGAAGGCCCCGATATGCAGAAGCGTGAGAAGTCAAACGAGCCATGGCACCTCTCAGCCGAGCAGCTCCTAGGCGGGAATTTGGACTTGCTGGGGGGATGGCACCGATGGTTGGCTGCAGCGCCCAGAATCCAGAGAATTGGCTTCCACTGACTGGGTCTGGGAGATGAAGGGGCAGCCCATGGGCAGGCACGGCAGGCTTCAAAGTGGAGCCACGCGTTACGGTTGGAGGAAAAGCACGCAAGGTCTCAACTCAACTGAGGGACAGGCATGCGCAGGCGTGGCCGCGTGGGCATGAGATGGGCAACCAGGCACTTAGGAACACAAGCCAGGCCAAACCAGGCATGCCAGGCACGATGACACTCGCCCATTTGGCCTGGACACCCTATCGAGGACCCCTGCAGGTGGGCCTGAGAGGGGGCAATGGGGGTTCTTCGGTGCCCACCAACGCTGGGTCCATCCTTCAAACCCGCCTTTGCAGGGGCTGTGACAATCAGCCCACTCCCTAACCTCCATGCCCAGTTCCTATCGTTGCGCCCAAGTACTGGACATGGTTAGCAACCCCAAGGGCCTCAAATCTTAATGTTCCACGAAAGATCGAGAGCCGCTCGTCCAATAGACTTGTACAATGTGCTTTTTCGCAAGTTTGCCCTTACATGGATCAAGGTAATGCCATAAACATCTCACTTTACACGTGCATGTTGATCAATCGGACACGAAGCGAAATTTCGCACTTTTACTTCGCTGGAAGCGGTGAATGATATGCGGTGCTCGTAGATACATATGGATGTAAATATTCAAAGCACCCTGGACAACTGGCTGGGAGTGTCAGTTCATGCCTCGTTGACAGCAACAACCAAAATCTCCCCAAATAGACCGATGATATTGCGTCGAGAAGAACCTGGTTCACGGATCCAATGAGACGTACCCCGGGAAAGGAGAGAATTGAATGGCTTGCTTCGTAAAGTGATGCCGAATACCATCTGCGTAGTTTGAGTATCAGAGCATGAAGGATCGCTGCACGAGTTCAACCTAGTCAACAATATGTTACATTCGCACTCATGCAAAGTTGGCTCGAAGAACAGGCATCGTGAGTTTAAAAGCAGGTAGGAAACGAGCTATGAGTCCTTCAGGCACAGCACACTACAGTACAATACAGTACAATTGACTCGCCTCAAGGCGAGAGAGTCTCAGTAGTGACGATGCATTCGTGGTACCTATGCCCTGCGCCACAGGTGGCGCGCCTCCAACGCAACAGCCCCCAGACTCAGGATCCGACACATCTGGAGGTACTGTCTTTATGGCAGTCTGTTTTTGGGGCGGGCGCTGTAATCCATCATGATTAAAGTCATTGCCTGAGTGCTTGATGTTCCATCCCGTCCGTCCCGGAAATCCACAAAGCCTACCGCAATTTGCTGATGTTGAGTACCTTCATGAAGGGGTGGCCGAGGCGACACAGATGGCTACTTCCATTATGAGGCTTGAGCTGATGCTAAAAACAAGGCTGACTGTATCTGAGTAGGCGAACAGTCCACCATTATTATACCTCTTCCGCAGGAGTATGTCAGGGCGAGGCGTGCAGTCTCAGCCAATGCTCACCCACTGCCACCCGATGTCCTTTGCAGGTAAAAGGTGGTGTCGGTCACCTAATACTGTATGTTGCCAGACATGGATTTGACTACGCGCAGAAAGAGTCATGGGATAGGTGAGTCGGTTCCAGCGGCGACCTGGCAGCAGTAGGACAGAGTCATCGACCATGTCACCATGTCAAACAACGGTAGGGTTCAGAAAGGCTTTGGCCAAGTGAACCACTGTGCCAGTAATACTGCACATGCACTAAGTACAGTCCTGCGGCTCGTTCCATAAATAAAAAAGCAAGATAACGATTGCTAAGCCCCAGAGTACGTAGACCATAGACGCACTGGCCGCGCTTGCAAGTGACAAGAGAAGCGAAGGCAAAGTCAAGCCACAGAAACGCCCCTCTTTGCTCCCCCACTTGGCCTAGCAACAAAGCCCCGAGCATTTGGCAGTCACAGCAGTGTGGCAACAGCCCCGACTTCATAGAGGCTCGAGCCAATTAGGGTTCCAGGCGTTCCCCTCGGTCCCGCCGGCCGACTCCGTAACTGCAAACCATGTTTCATCTCCAGAAACAACTCAGGGGTTGATGATCAGTTCTGCTTCAGATGCCAGATGGTTCGACGATATGTCGATAGAATGACCACTGCGGAGAAGCAAACTCTGCGAGACCAAAACTTGAAACGAGACTGTCAACCTTGCTGTAGCTCTTGCCAGACATTGTATGACTGCGTAATTTGTAGAAAAGGGAAGAGGGAAGGCTCAACCGAGGCCAATACTTTTAAAGACTGCAGGCAAGCACGCAGGTCAGCTCTCCTCTACTTAGCGCCTGAGCGGCCTCTGGCCTCGTGTTGGCTCATCAGACGACGGCAAAATTACGAGGCAGCTGAAATCTCGACGACATACTCGTAGTCGCCGCATTTGTCTCGAGCAATGATTCACAATGGAGGAATTGCCTGGCATACCGCACCTGACCTAAGGGTCTAGTCCAAATGACTAGATCCTTGGGTGACCGAAACATGTCACTGAAAGGGACCACTGAGACCACTGGGACCTTGTTATTTGTACAGCAAAAGAGTAGGTAGCTGTCCTAACATGACTAGACTATGTAGTTGGTGAGCACAGCCTGCAAACAGGGAACGCAACGATCGTCATCAGCGTGTGCACGTTGCCGGGATAGGAACCACTCATGATTCAGCCCTCGCCCGTTGCGACCATCATCAGTCACCCACTCTGTCACTCAGGGGACCCTTCTATCTCTTGGAAACTCGCAAGTTTCCCGTGCAGTGCATTATTGCGGAGTTATCATCTCTCAAAGCGGAGTAACCTGCTTTTTAGCCTGCGCTGCGTCGGTATCCTTATAACACAGCGCCACAGAACCGGGCCTCCAAAGAATTTGAAACACCACCAGACCTAAGCATCTTCACTCGCTGTCTTATTCAGACCCGTCATCCATCATAACTCATCCGTGCACTGCACGCAACTGCTGTTGGTGACAATCAGTCTTTCAGCGACTTTCTTTGCCTTTGTGCTTTTCCTCTTTCCTGACAGATTCCTTACTCGCTCAATCAGCCTTCCTCCTCACCCCGCTGTTTGGCTGTTTGCGTATTGGTCTCTTGCCCTTATCCTCAGCCCTCGCTGGCCCCGTCTCGTTCCTGGCGTTGCTTAACATCCCACCCTGACCGCTTTTGCGTTCCAAGGCCCTGGAGGCTGTCATCTTCAAACCAAAACATCCATCAGATTTCAAGTGAAATCGTGTGACACCCTGCCTGCAACAGTGCTCCATCAACAACTTGTCACGACACAATGGCCAACCGTTATGGCGGCGGCTATGATCAAGGTCATCAATTGAGTGACATCTCCAGTGGACAGGTAAGCCGTTCCATGTCCCTCCTCTCTTTATGGTCATCACTGACGATATCGGCAGGGATATCGAAGGGGAGACCGTCCTTCCGACGATGAAGCAGAACACTCGTTACTCTCGCAGAATACAGCCTACAACACACAATACGATGCTCCCCATTCCCGACCCCTCACTCCAGGACAAGAATCTGTCTACACTTTGAACGAAACATACGCTGGCGGCGATGCTTCAAAGGTGCCCACGACCGCATACGGAGGACAATTGCAGAACAACCCCTATGATCAACAAGGTGCTTATGGTGCGAGCAACTCACAAGCCGGGTTCCCTTCTGGCCCTCCACAAGAACCTTATGCAAGAGTGGACTCAACCGAGGCCTGGAGGCAGAGACAAGCACCAGGATACGGAACCCTCAAGCGTTATGCCACAAGAAAGGTCAAACTGGTCCAAGGTAGTGTCCTCAGCATCGATTACCCCGTTCCTAGCGCCATTCAAAACTCCGTCCTACCAAAATACCGCAATGACCTAGAAGGAGGTAGTGAAGAATTCACTCACATGCGATACACTGCTGCCACCTGTGATCCGGATGATTTCACACTCTCAAACGGTTACAATCTGCGACCAGTCATGTATAACCGACATACTGAGCTCCTTATTGCAATCACCTATTACAATGAGGACAAGGTCCTGACCGCCCGCACGCTGCATGGTGTTATGCAAAATATCCGAGATATTGTCAACCTCAAGAAATCAGAGTTCTGGAACAAGGGTGGTCCCGCGTGGCAGAAAATTGTTGTCTGTCTTGTCTTCGATGGTATCGACCCTTGCGATAAGAACACCCTTGATCTCTTGGCCACGGTTGGTGTCTATCAAGATGGCATCATGAAGAAGGACGTGGATGGCAAAGACACTGTCGTGCACATCTTTGAATACACCACTCAACTTTCCGTTACTCCCAATCAACAACTAATTCGGCCAACCGAAAACGATGCTACATCATTGCCACCTGTGCAGATGATCTTTTGCTTGAAGCAGAAGAATAGCAAGAAGATCAACTCGCATCGATGGCTCTTCAACGCCTTTGGTCGCATCTTGAACCCTGAGGTCTGTATTCTGCTTGATGCTGGTACGAAGCCCGGACCAAAGTCCTTGATGGCACTCTGGGAAGCATTCTACAACGACAAAGACCTCGGCGGCGCCTGCGGTGAAATCCATGCCATGTTGGGTCGTGGCGGAGTGTTTGGACGAAAGCTTCTCAACCCCCTGGTTGCCGCGCAGAACTTTGAGTACAAGATCAGCAATATTCTTGACAAACCTCTGGAGAGCTCCTTTGGCTATGTCAGTGTGTTGCCTGGTGCCTTCTCGGCCTATCGATTCCGTGCGATCATGGGCCGTCCTCTAGAGCAATATTTCCATGGCGATCACACTCTTTCTGCCCGACTGGGCAAGAAGGGTATTGAAGGTATGAACATCTTCAAAAAGAACATGTTTTTGGCCGAGGATCGTATCTTGTGTTTCGAATTGGTCGCCAAAGCCGGCTCCAAGTGGCACTTGTCCTATGTCAAAGCATCCCGCGCCGAGACAGATGTGCCCGAAGGAGCTCCCGAGTTCATTGGACAGCGTCGACGATGGCTCAACGGTTCTTTCGCGGCTTCCATCTACTCGCTGATGCACTTCAGTCGCATGTACAAGTCCGGTCACAATATCATTCGCATGATCTTCCTCCACATTCAGATGATCTACAACATCGTCTCGGTCGTCCTCTCCTGGTTTTCTCTTGCAGCATTCTGGCTCACCACCAAGGTTCTAATGGACTTGGTGGGACAACCATCCGAATCCAACAATAACTCGGCTTTCCCCTTTGGCAACACTGCGACACCAATCATCAACACCCTCTTGCAGTATGCCTACTTGGGTTTTCTCCTACTTCAATTCATCCTGGCTCTCGGCAACCGACCCAAAGGCTCCAAGATTGCGTACATCATCTCGTTCGTTGTGTTTGCTATCATCCAGTTATATGTAATAGTATTATCGATATACCTGGTGGTCCGGGCTTTTACCACAGAGGATGGAACAGATATTGTCACCAACGAGGGTGCGAACGAATTCGTCAGGTCGTTCTTCGCATCGACTGGACCGGGTATTGTCATTATTGCTCTCGCGGCAACCTTCGGACTGTACTTTGTGGCTTCCTTCCTTTACCTCGACCCATGGCACATGTTCACGTCATTCATCCAGTACCTCCTGCTGATGCCATCATTCATCAATATTCTAATGATCTATGCGTTCAGCAACTGGCATGACGTGTCCTGGGGTACCAAAGGTTCGGACAAGGCAGATGTGCTACCATCTGCCCAGACCAAGAAAGACGAAAAAGGCAAGACGGCGGTGATTGAGGAAGTTGACAAACCTCAGGCGGATATTGACAGTCAATTCGAAGCCACCGTCCGAAGAGCATTAGCCCCATACGTTCCGCCAGTGGAGGAAAACGAAAAGACACTGGAAGATTCATACAAGAACTTCCGAACTCGATTGGTAGCAACTTGGATCTTTTCAAACGCGCTGCTTGCTGTGGCTATAACAAGCGACAGTCTCTCCACCTTTGGGCTCACGGTAAGTCTGATTGTTTTTCGGTCTCCAGAGATGCTATTTACTAATGATTTATCAGTCCCAAGCGACACAACGAAGTGAAGGCTTCTTCCGAGCTCTTCTATGGACCACGGCCGTTTTGTCTTTGATTCGCTTCCTGGGATGCTGTTGGTTCCTCGGAAGGACGGGACTGTTGTGCTGCTTCAGTAGACGATAGACAGGCACCAGTCCTTGTATTGTGTTTCTTGCATGGCAAGCCTAAGTTTTTTCTCGGATTGCTAGTTAACGGTTATTGGAGATGGCTTTAGGGGTCTCAACCTGGCAGACTGCGGGCACACGTCAGGTAAAAGCCTTGGTCACATACTGATGTGTCTAATCCCAACCAAAAGTGTCAATCTAGATTGTATGAACAAATTCGGATCGGTGGTAGATGCGGGCAGATGATAGGTTTCTCTCATAATCACAGAACCTCGACGAACATTATAGTCTCGGAAGGCGTATTGTGAAGAATTACCTAATCAGGGACATTTCCGTCCTCAATTGGTAGTGACAACCTTGATTGGCTACAGCCACTGCGTCATTTGATATTCCCGTGCACATTATCGCTTCGTTCACCAGCATCTCCACACCAGAACAAACCTATGAAAGGATTAATAGTCTCTAAAACCACATAGACACGCGCGACTGTGTGCCATCGTTTCGATCGAATTCTCCTAGCCTCAAAGATCCGGCCGATTTGCGTTGCTGGTGCTTCTCCGAGATCACGAGATTAGGCTGCGGTCACTCCCCAGATCATATTGACTGACTCTACGGCGCCACCTTCGAAACTCGATCTTGCCTTTCATTTGCGGCCGCTCCATCTATATTCTAGCAGTCTCCGACAGACCGATTACCTCTTCCACTGAAAGAAGCTTCTTGCTCAGCAAGACACCTCTGCCCAAGATGATGAAAATATGGTCGATGGTGAGACCAGGAACCGCGGCTCCGGAGAGTTGGCAACAACGCTGACGTTGAACAGAAGCAGCAGCAGCAGAAAGATGAGCAGTCTCAAGGGCCTACTCAGAAAAAGAAGAAGGTGACGGCCGCGCAGTTGAGAGTACAAAAGGGTGAGTACAGAGAGAGATTTCTAAGCAAGATAAACCAATGTTGACCAGAGCATGGTGCAGATCTCAGCGAGTTGTCCCTCGGAAGCACTATGAAGACAACATTTCCCAACCCCGACGACATCCTCAACTTCACCCTGACGATCGAACCTGACGAGGGCATGTACAAAGGAGGCAGTTTCGTGTTCAGTTTTGTCATCAACCAGAACTTTCCCCATGATCCGCCCAAAGTCAAGTGCACGCAAAAGATATACCATCCCAACATTGATCTTGAGGGCAATGTCTGCCTGAATATTCTTCGAGAAGACTGGAAACCCGTGCTGAACCTGAACGCCGTTATTGTCGGCATGCAGGTGAGTCAGCCCGTGGCGCAAATCGTTATCGTGTCATGACTGATCCTTTTGTGACTAGTTTTTGTTCCTCGAACCCAATGCATCGGATCCCCTCAATAAAGAAGCAGCAGAAGATTTGCGGACCAACCGTGAAGGATTTAGACGCAATGCAAGAACGGCCATGGGAGGTGGTGCAGTTCGCGGACAAAGCTACGACAGGGTTCTCCGATGACCATGACGCCCGAAGCAGGTGAATGACATGACGACTAGAGATACTGCGTGGCTCTGCTATTGATTTTTATATTGCCAACCCTAGCATTGCGACATGGGCGTTTTCGAAGGTGGGAGGGTGGAAATATAGCAGCAGTTGGTACGGCGTTTCCGCACCGGTTCCCCAACGTTTGGAATTCCTCCGTAGCTACGTCCACCTCCACCGAGTGTTACCAGATATACCATTCCCAAGATCACAGACTAGATACATATAATCTACTTGATGACATGTGGAGTTTCTCTTGTATGTGTCGCGTGTCATATCCGTGTCATATCATGTGCTGTTTGAGAAGGTGGCGAGGCTATCGGTGGATGAGTCACGGGGAGACTAGATTTTCTCCGGTCTCCATCTCACTATGCCGCGGTCTGGCCAACGCCGTACAGCCAATCAGAGCCGTACCTGTCGCCCTGGCAGCTGCGACCACTGCTATGGCCTTCCTGCCGCTTCTGCTGCACTGTTCCTGCCCTGCCAAAAAATTTCCCCGGACTTTTGCTGTATCTCATTTCAATCCATCTGTGTGTGACTCGAAATTCAATCATCCTCTTTACTCAAATACCTGAATCTCCTCTCACTTTTACTTCCATTTTCCTCATTCACAATGGCGTCCAAAACTTTTGCCAGAACTTTGCGCACTGCTTCCAAGCAAAAGGCCACAGTCCCAGCTATCTCCCGGAGGACCTTTGTGTCTGCCGTCGCTACACGACCACTCGTCGCAGCTTCGAGATCTAGCTTGGCCCCTCCTTCTCAACAGCAGACTCGCGGTGTCAAGACCGTCGACTTTGCCGGTGTCAAGGAGACCGTTTATGGTATTTCCTCCAATCTCCAGCTTACTATGACCCTACGGCTGACTGACTTTGTTCAGAACGAGAGGACTGGCCCCGTGAGAAGCTTCTGGTAAGCATCATTTGTCTGAAAATATCGAAAATATCGAGACCAAGTACTGACCTTGCCTGTAGGAGTACTTCAAGAACGATACCCTCGCCCTCATCGGTTACGGCTCCCAGGGTCACGGCCAAGGTCTCAACCTGCGTGACAATGGCTTGAATGTCATTGTCGGTGTCCGAAAGAACGGTGCTTCCTGGAAGGAGGCCGAACAAGATGGCTGGATCCCAGGAAAGAACTTGTTCGATGTTGATGAGGCTATCTCCAAGGGCACCATCGTCATGAACTTGCTCAGTGATGCTGCTCAGAGTGAGACATGGCCGGCTATCAAGCCCCAGCTGACCAAGGGAAAGGTAAGATGACCAACATCAACTTTACATGGTCTCTCTAACCTCTTCCTACAGACCCTCTACTTCTCCCACGGTTTCTCCCCCGTCTTCAAAGACCTCACCAAGGTCGAGGTCCCCACCGACATTGATGTCATCCTCGTTGCACCCAAGGGTTCCGGCCGTACCGTTCGAAGTCTCTTCCGTGAAGGCCGTGGCATCAACTCCTCCGTTGCCGTCTACCAAGATGTGACTGGCAAGGCCGAGGAGAAGGCCGTCGCCCTCGGCGTCGCCGTTGGCAGTGGATATCTCTACAAGACCACATTCGAGAAAGAGGTCTACTCCGATCTCTACGGTGAGCGTGGCTGCTTGATGGGTGGTATCCACGGTATGTTCCTGGCCCAATACGAAGTTCTCCGAGAACGCGGCCACTCTCCCTCCGAAGCCTTCAACGAGACCGTCGAGGAGGCCACTCAGTCTCTCTATCCTCTTATCGGCGCCAACGGTATGGACTGGATGTACGCTGCTTGCTCCACCACTGCACGACGTGGTGCCATCGACTGGTCAGGCCGATTCAAGGACACCTTGAAGCCCGTCTTCAACGACCTCTACGATAGCGTCAGGAACGGAAGTGAAACCAAGCGATCGCTTGAGTATAACAGCCAGCCTGATTACAGAGAGAAGTATGAGAAGGAGTTGGAGGAGATTCGCAATCTTGAGATCTGGCGCGCTGGCAAGGCTGTCCGGTATGTTTGACTTGTTCCCAGTTTGGTGACAGCACGACTAACTCAATCATGTACAGATCCCTTCGACCCGAGAACCAGTAAATGTTTCAATCACGGCTGAATACAGAACCACGGCTGTTATTGAGGGGGTAGATTTGGACAAGATGAAAAAGTTATCCATGGGACTGAGATGTGACTGGCGCTTTTGGGGTACAAGGGTTGAATTGAACAATGCAAAGTAACTCCGCAGCAATGCCATGTACACAATCGAGCTCGACCAATCCGTGGCCAGATGGTTACAACATAGGATCTGAAGAGACATTTCAAGTGCGATTCTTTCCAATACATGTTCCCACACTAGAGACCAGCCGGTATGGGATTTGTTGATGATTGCCTCATTGATTGCGGTTTTTGCGCCTTGCTCTGAGTGTGTAATTGGCTTTGAATGGCCAGCAATTTATTTTATGTAAATGCGAAGACAATGGGGTATCTCTCTTGTGATCGTATACGTAGCATTTGATACACTCTCTAGTCGAACCTGCTGTGAGTTCAGAATTATATCATTATATTGAGAACCGACGAGGGGTGGATAAATCTCAGGGTTCGGACATTATATTTACCGACATCTACCTCGAGTCGAGGAATTGCCAACTGATCGACAACTCTTAATAGTTTTCGACAATTCTCTCGACTCGTAAAGATTCTTCTGGATCGCGGTCATTAATTACAAGTGTTATCATATGCTACAGTGAAAAGCAGCACTTGAGAAACCACACACAGCTAGAAACAACAACATCCCACCAGTTCATCGAGACGACCCCACCACAGGGAATACAACAGAAACCTAGGTACCTAAGACTCAACCGACAAGACTACAACGATCGAGCCAGGACATACTCGCCATAAATTGACAACCATAATCTCACGCATAAAGCATCTAAGCGTCTTATCTCTTGTATCAATCAATCAATCACAACCATGGCCGACCCAAAAACGTCACCCCCTCTAACCCCCGAAGGAATCAAATCTGCGTATAGTAAAATTCAACCATACATCCACAAAACACCCGTCCTGACCTCACGATCACTTTCAGCGATTGCCTCATCCCCAGATCCGAGCGTCTACTTGTCAGAAAACCCACCCCCATTTCCAGATGCAAACGCAGATCTGGATGATGGGGTTCCTCAGTTTCAACTATATTTCAAAGCGGATAATTTTCAGAAAATCGGCGCGTTCAAGGCGAGAGGCGCTTTTCATGCTGTTTTGAGATTGATGGATGAGGTTGGTGCTGATGAAGTCAGGAAGAGAGGCGTGGTTACTCATTCTAGTGGTAATTATGAGCTCTGCGACTTTATCCATGTGCTGTCCCAGCATGCTAAGCCTATACTAATCCATCCTATCCCATCCTATCCAATCTCATACTACTTACCACCATCACCATCACCATTCTAACTCAAGCCCCCTTCCTTAGGAAACCACGCGCAAGCCCTCGCCCTCGCAGCATGGACATTCTCCATCCCATCATACATCGTGATGCCGAAAATCAGCACACCGTCCAAAATCGCCGGTGTGCGGATCTATACCAAAAACGTCATTTTCAGCGGCTCAACCTCGCAAGAACGCGAAGCCGTCGTGGATCAAGTCATTGCGGAGCACGGCGCCATTCTCGTCCCTCCATACGATCATCCAGATATCATTCTCGGGCAGGGAACTTCAGCTTTGGAATTAGAGGGGCAAGTTCGTGAGATCAGAGCCACGGAGGAGGAGGACAAACCGACAGGTAGTAGGACCGAGGGATTGCGACCGGTATTAGACGCCGTCATCACCCCGTTAGGCGGAGGAGGCATGCTCGGCGGAACAGCGACGTGGTTCAGCGAAACGGCTGAAACGTTAGTCTTTGGCGCCGAACCGTCATTCCAAGGCGGTGATGATGGGCGAAGGGGTCTCGAGCAAGGGAAACGTATCGAATCAGTCAAGACGCTAACTATCGCCGATGGACTACGCACGCCTGTCGGAGTGGTTAATTGGACGATTCTCAGCGATAAATCAAAGGTCCATGCCGTGTATGCTGTTACGGAAGAGGAGATTAAAATGGCGTTGCGCCTGGTTCTGGAGAGGGTTAAAGTGGTGGTTGAACCGAGTGCGGTGGTGGGGTTGGCCGTGGTTTTGTTTAATCGGGAGTTTAGGGATATGGTGGTTGAGAGGCAGAGGCAACGGGAGAAGGGGAAGGGGAAGAAGGAGAAGAAGGAGAGGGTTTGGCATATGGGTGTTATTTTCACGGGTGGGAATACCACGGTTAAGGCGTTGAGTGCGTTGTTCAAGGATGATGAGAAGATATCTGATAAGGATGAGAGGGCTCAGGGCACGGTTGGGTCGGATGGGTCGAAGAAGGTGGAGAATATTGCTGGGTGAGTGAAGGCATGAAGCAGTGTTGGATCGGTACAAGAGTAGAGGAGATTTACCTGGATTGGATTGGATCAGTCTGGTCCACAGACGAGTTGTAGATATACATACGTACTACCTAGTACATCTACGGCACTTGGTAGACGTGCTCAATGACCTAGTAGAATATCAATCCCTGGTCTCCCAGGTCTCCCCAGCCTAACCCCTCCAGTTCTGACCTCATACCATCAAAAACAGCCATCTCGCCGATGCTCCTCAACCATCAAAAAGAAAAAAACAATTGGGAGAAGTGGGGTTCGAACCCACGCTTCCTTTCGGAAAGCAGAGGTTTTAAATCAGAGTACTAAGAAGATGAATCTTCTAAATAACAGGACTTAAATCTGCCGCCTTAAACCACTACGTATGTTGTAAGTGAGGTGAACAAAGAGTCAGCGAGGAATGAAGTTTACCTCGGCCATCCTCCCGAAGAGAATTTTAGGCTATTTTTGAAGTTCAATTATATGATCTTGAATAAAACTGTGGGGATCGTGGTGGGTTTAGGCAGATATGATAGGCTATCATTCCGACTAAAATCATCTTCTTAGGGTCCACACGGTTGCTCTATGGTTATTGTTCTGGACTTGAAAGGAGTGTGGCTACATACACATCTAGTGTTTGTTGCAACCAAGATGATAGTGCAATGGTCTTTTCATTTCCTCTCGTTCAATTTGGAGAGCTATCACAGGGCGTGTCCTTAATCATCGGCAAATCACTACCACTTCCCCAAACTCTCGACTTTTGAGCCTCTCAGTCAATTCTTTCTCATTGATTTCCAGGTCCGTGCAAATTTCATCAAAACAGTGTGTGCCATCAAGGAACTCTACCAATCGAGTGTTCAAGAATTGATCACTTCTTGCTTGTCCGTTGGTCTGTTCATTTTTTGTCGGGTGATTACTGTGGTGATGGTGATGGTGATGGTGACGCTGTAGTCGGGTCGCTTCAGAGAAATGTCGTTCGCTCGACATGCTTCGTGGGACGAGTCTTCTACCTTGGTTTGTCTCGTCGCCTAATTTCCTGTCAAAATCCACTATAGGCCCCTTTGATGTTCGAATGGCATATCGATGAATACGATAGAGGAATCCCTTGATCACACCAAAGGTAATGAACCGTCGCATGTCAATGTTGGCGAGCATATTGGCATTCTGAGCGTACCATTCACGCACGGTCAAGCCTTGTCTCAAACAGGCAAACAGCTGAACAATGCCGACTCCATCGATTAGATCACCCTTTCCAGTCAACGGCCAAATCTCATCGTCCTGCAGGTTATGATGTGCCGTCGTTGTTGTCATGCCACTTGACCGTCGGTCGTTCGTCGCTCCGTCCTCAATGGCTTCTTCTTGTAAACCGGGTGCTAATGCCGTATTGACATAGCGTGCACATTCCTTCTGCATGTCTAAGTCTTTGGCAATCATTTGAGAGAACTCGGCCGTTGCCGCGTAAATATTGTTGAAAGTGAAGATGTCCAACAGAATCACACAGCCGTAGTAGACCAAGTGCTTGATACACTTCTTGGTCAACTTCAGATCTGCATCGGCCAACACTGCGATTCGTTTGACGCAATTAACCCCATTGATAAAAGGGATAATGCGAAGCATAGTCAAGTCCCAGTTCTCATCGACCATGGACTCAATGACGACAGTAAATAACGGAACGTGCCAGGGTTTGACACTGGCTGGATTGGGAAGCGTAGGAAACAGCTTGATGTTGAGCGTGTTGAGTTCATCGATGGGAATCATGCACTCGCAATAGTTGTTAAGGTCTTCCATCAGCATCTCACATAGGCTATAGATTCTGCCCGTGTTCGGAAGTGACGTGTCGTCGGATAGGAAATGAGACTGTTCTTCCAGGCTTCGCATCAGATGAGCGAGCTTCTTGACCACTGATTTATACGAGGGCACATCGATTGTGGCAGGATCGCCCAAGACCAGGGCAAAGTTGAAGATGAACTCATTTCGGGGATAGTGGGAGGAAGTCAGGCATATCGGATATGACAAGACCAATGTCTGAGGAGTATTTGGGTTCAACGTAGGAGGACTCAGTGAAAGTAGATTCCCGCAGAGCGACTGACGTGGAATCAGGAATCGAGAGATGGTGGAAAAGGACAACAAGGCAGTTGCTGGCGAAGGAATGGTGGATGCATTTGATGCTGACAGTTCTGAACTCGTCACGATGGACCCTTCAGGTACCTGGTGGACTATCTTCGGACCTATTCAAGAGTCAGTTGTGGATGCGATGGCATGGTTGGGCTCTACATGCCTTCATGAGGGTCAAATTTGCTGTAGAAGATGGCCTTGATAGACATTGTCTGGGGGTACTGTTTTCTTCCTGCATATGCCTCACTACGGGCGCAGACTCTCAATCATGATTTTGTTGGCGTCTCAGAGAGGACGGATGTCCTCAGAAGTCCAGCCTTCACCTCATGTTTGTCATATGATCGCAGTCAAGGCTGACGATTGAAACAGAATGAAATGGAGGAAACGGAGGAAATGGCAGTCGCGACGCAGTTGCAATTGGAGATGTTCAGATGCTGAAGAAGGCGCGGGGTTGCGTAGACAAGTCACATGACGGGGCTTCGAAACATCATCGCCGTCAACCTGAGCTTCGTTCTATTTAACGTGCTTGTTTTGTGATTTGATTTTGTGATTGGACAAACATTGGTGGCTTAGGAGCTCTGTCATATCGATAATATCATAATTTTAACATGCTGCGTGCATCAATCCCAATTTCATAACATTGCTTTGAGGAGACACCCTGCCTCAACTCATATATCGTGACCACGTCAAACTAATTAATCAATCCTCTTTGCCTCCAAATCGACTCGATGTCTGTCAAGAATCGAGACAGCTGTGCAAATTTGGTAACGTGCCACCTCCTCTTCAGATCATTGTGAACAAGTTCAACATCTTTCGGTTCACTCACAAAGATTCCAAGCGTGTAGACGGTCCAATTCGCAATGTAGCAGGTCGCCCATGTTAGATCGTCCGCATGTGATTCCAAGATTTGCATCATCTTTCGGAGCTGCCAGCTATCTTTCGGCGCAACTTCCGGCGGTCCAGGGTGCGCTTGACCTGACACGAGCTGCTCAACGAGCAAAGATGATATCAGAATGTATAAATACGCCGTGTCTCTGTAGAATGACGTATAGTGATTGGCTTCCTCATAGGGCGAAAGAACGTCGAGGTCCATGTCGCACAAGATCGGGCCTTCCCATTCTTCCACTTCATTCTTCAGCTGTTCGATGGTGGCAGCGTCCTGCTCAAAGGGGCTTTGATGTGCCTTCTTGACGGACAAGACGAGTTTGAATATTGCTGGAGGAATCCCAAGTACCGGGCTATTGTAACTGATGGATCTTCCTGGATACAATGTTGATTGAGCCAAAAGACCTTCAGCCTCCAACCAAAACTCGGCATCGAATTCGTAATCATCGAGCGGGATCAAGTCGGCCCAAGTGCCTGTTGTGACAATAAATATCTGATAAAGTACACTCTCCACCGCTAGTCGGTCGAAGGGCCGAGTAATGCTTAAGCCGTTGCTCATCAGTCGCATTCGTATAACACGGATAGCCGCATTCACATGGCGCGGTATATCGGTGTACGTTCCTTTGCCCATACACTGTGATCAGTCAAAACGTTAGCATCCGTCTATTCGTCTAGATGTGTCTATTTGTCTAGATGTCTGGACCGGGACGCTGGATGTAGGCTTACCCCATGAAGATAAAGCAATATGACCGATGTGAGGAATCCATTGTCGTTCTCCAGGTGAGCCTTTGCCGCCAGAATTTCCGACAACCCTCTGATCGACTGAGAGTAGTAAGTGAGAGAAAGTTCTTGCATCTGGTCTGATGCATCGATGAAATGCAGGTGAGATGCCGCACATGCAAGCACCGAGTATTGGAGACTCTTGTAATGAGCCATCAACAATTCGATTTGCGTGATCCACCCAATGTAGAACTCTGCATTGCAGTTGGGTAACAGGATCAGCCTGTAATACTTGTCGCTAAAGTGTCGTGCAATGGCCATCTCGAGGTCACGCGACAGGATCTGATGCGAGACAGACTCGGCGAGGAAGCAAGGCCCTGCGTCGACAAGCAAACCAACATCTTGATTGACCTTTCGAACTTGAATCTGATTTTGACAACTGGCGATAGAATTGGCGACAGAAGTGGTAACCAAACTGGTATGACTAGTCACAACGTCGGCCTTGGGCAACATAGGCGATGCTGAGCGTCGGGTTGGATGCGAATTGTAGCGACGATCAGTCAAGTCTTCTACTGTTGGCCATTGGCACTGACGCCCTGAGATAGCACATCTCTGACACACAGGATAGTCTTCGGTGCATTTTTTGTGCCGTAACCGACCTGAGACAATCTGTTATCAACAGCTCTTGAAATGAATCCTTAGTGCCAGATGGGAGACGACTTACACGTAAGACAACCTGTCTTGGTACGCAACTTGGGGCGTTTGCTTGCATTGCCCATAGTCATGCGCCTGATTGTTTTTTATTCCATGTTGGAAGTTCAGGTCATTTCTCGCTTTGGGGACGTCGTCCACGGGAGGAGAGATTAGCAATATGGCTAGGCAATCAAGAGGAGATTAGAAGCGGTAGATAAGTACCCGAGTCTGAGTGGATTCGGCCGAGCCGAGCTTCTAGGTTCCCCATGATTCTGGGTCTCGGCGTCCGTCTTGGGCACTCGTGGCACTGGGCCCCTCAGGCAATCCGTAATCACGACTCACGCCCAGTTCCATTCGTCCTAGGGCATGATTCGGACGCTTTGGAGTCTTGACTTTCTTCATGGACTCCCAGCGGGCTGATCTAAGTTAGATCTAATACAGAACAATAAGTCGGGGATGTTCATGCACAAGCATCTAGCGCGTTGCCTGTGCATCTGTGCCGGCCCGAAGATCCACAAGAAATTAATAGGTCCGGTCGTGGTATAGGAAATCGAGACGTATTTGGAAAGCCTTCTCGCTACACTGGTTGTAAAGGAGTAAATGACGCTAATAGAGCAGATATGAACCTGAAATAGACACAGCGTTTATGTCTTGAAAGTCGGAAGATCGGCCTGGAGTGTCTTTACAATCTGTCCGCGATCCTTTCTTCCTACGGTAGACATGGAAAAAGTCACTCGATATCACAAGAAGCTATATAAGGAATTTCGTGATCATAAGATGAGTCCCCAGGGATTAGGCAAGAAAAAAGCGCCCTTATTCAGCCTCGTCTCCTCATTTATGGCAGCTGGAGGACATCCTTCAAGACTGCTAGAGCGCCCAACAACTGGTTATCGTGATACTTCCTCGCATTGACTTGGAGGTCCACTGGCGCTCCAACAAAGTTGGTCTCTCCCCAGAGCTCCTTGACATGCGAACAAGCCTCGCTTAGGGGAACATAGTCGGAAGCGTATGACTCTTCGGCTTCTGCCTTAATCGGGGTGGGGATAACCACTCCAGGGTAGTCGACGTAGTTATAGAGCGAAGTATATGTCCAGTAAAAGGCTGTATCATGGGCTGATGCTGGGCCCACGAAGGCAGGGCCAATGATCACGTCAACATCTTGGGCTTCCCAGCTGGCAGCGAACGCAATGCGGAAGTCATCGCGTTCACCACGTTGTGCACTGACAGTCACGGCGTCTCGCATGCCTAGAGGTTCGGCATCTTTCCAGATCCAGTGGCTCAGGGGATGAATAGGCTCGCCTGTTGAGCTAATCATGTCACGCTCAAACTGACCGCCGTCTGGCCAGTAAGTTTTACGAATTTGGGACCAGGCTCCAGCAGCACCATAGGGAGTGAAGTCCTTGACTTCAATGATATCGGCGTATTTTGGGTCGGAGAGGAGATCTCGAGCCCATTTGATTGCTCTCTTGACTGGAGGTTGAGGCTCGATGAAACCGTCGTTATTGACGATTCCCACCTTGAGCCGTTTGGGCATTGGAGTTTCCATTCCCGTCCACGGGATTGGGACGATTCTGGGGTCTTCAAGATGGGGTTTTGCGGCAATGACGTTCTTGGTGAAGAATTCCACATCTCTCAGTGAGCGACACATCGGGCCTGATGAGCACAAAATATTGAGTTCTGCAGGAAATGTCCCTGCGAGGAAGCCTTTCATGGGCAGCGTATATGAAGTGGGCTTAAATCCATATATACCACAGAACGCAGATGGTCCACGGATGCTGCCACCGATGTCAGTGCCGACACCCAGAACAGAGCCTTTCATTGCGACCAATGCGGCTTCGCCGCCTGTAGAGCCTCCGGCAGAGAGATGAATATTGAAAGGGTTGAGAACACGGCCCCAATGCGAGTCGCTCTCTAAGTGCATCAGTGTTTGTGGCTGGTTTGTCTTGCAGTAGAAGACAGCTCCAAGGTTGCGAAGAATTTTAATCATCTGACTGTCGCTGTCATTTTTGACAATACTGGCGAAGAATCCCATTGATGAATATGTCCCCGCAATGGGCATATGATCTTTAATGCTGATGGGAACACCATGGAGAGGGCCAATGGTCTTGCCATTTTTCTCAAGATACTCGTCAAGCTGTTTTGCCTGTTTGACAGCATCGTCCATAAACCATTGAGTCAGGCAACATGTGAGTTGATGCGAAATGATGGCGCGCTTTGAAAACGCTGTGGCCACAGTCACTGCTGAATACTTCTTGGAGGCAATGGCCTCGGCCAGGCTCACTGCATCGTAGTTTTCCGTAATTTCAATCTCCTCAGGAGTCAAGATTCCACAAGTACGTGGGATCTCAGAGACATCCAGGGGAGGGTTGCTGAGAAGCTCCTGAGGAAGGTAATACTCCTGAGGAATCTTTTCGTAGAAAGTCTTGAGCAAAGCACTTCGCTTCGCCTCAAATTCTGGTGTACCCTGAGGCACGGGCTTGGGTTGAACAAGTGGATAGAGTCTGGCAACCATCTTATCTGTGGAGGAATAGGAGAGTAACACAAGAATGTACAGCAAATCTTGTTTACGCTCACCAAACCTGAGAAACTGGCTCCTTTAAGACACAGTATATTCTATTGTGCATCGTGGCATGGTAGGCCGACCCTCAGCCTCGGAATATCTCCGTTGACTCGGTCCCAGGGAAGTGTCTACTCCTTAGGTAGATTAAGTTCTGGGTGCGCGAACGATTCTCATTGGTAGCTGTCTATCTTCAGTGCTCAGACGTTGATACTAAGCATGGTCTGGCCCACGTTGGGAAACAAAGAATGATAGAAGTACCCCAGATTCTGATCTGCATGACCAATGAGAATCATTCGCGCACTGAGTGGCCCCATAAAAGGACAGAGATGACATTTATGGGAGATACGATCGACCAATCGAGAAAACACTTGATAGCAGGGAGCTTGGGTGGCGGACGTGTTATCAGCCATGCCCGGGCAGCTAGCCTATGGACAAGTCCCTTGACCAACGTGCGAGAAACGTTAGGATAGGTCTTTGGACAGTGCCGCGCAACGGACAAGACGGATATCAATCACTGGCCAATCAGAGCTGTTTACGCAGTCCCGCCACCCATCTTCTGGTTTCGCCGGCCGCGGGTGCATGTCCAGTAGCACGATGATCAAGCTTTTTGACTCCTGCGCTACCAATGGAAACGCGTAGTAAGACGTCAGGAAGAAGCCTAACCCGAGAACCCTTATCAATTGCAATAGGCGTGGACATCTCCACCTGCGGTACTATTCCTCGGCATCGCTGTATATGTGGCAGGCAAAGCATCACGTCGAGCTAGTGACAGGAACTCCATATCGCGTTATCCTTTAATTCCACGAGGCACACAGGACCAAGGCACAAGGGGGCTAAGATTCTTGACGATCAATGGAAGTATAAGTATCCTCGTCAACCCCCTCCCTGCTACAGAGGCATCACATTTGGTTCACTCCTATACTTGATCCCAATCTATCAATATCGTGTCACATCGCGCAAATATGGGTGCCGCGACAGGTCACCAGGAGGGTGATATCCCTGGTACCGTCCACCTTGTGGATATTGAACACACGATGCACACTCGTCACGCTGGTGATGGCGAGATCGTTCTAGTGCCTACACCTTCCAACGATGCCAACGACCCCCTCAATTGGTCACCCGGCAGGAAGATCATCTGCACAATCTGCACCAATCTGTAAGTGAAGCACCTATCACCACAGCGGAAGACGCCTGCTCACACTGTCACCAGCTACACATGGTTCACGGGCTTCGCTCTGTCCACCGTATACTCTGTCCTGGTTCCCTTGTCCGCTTCCTCAGGAGTGTCTATTGCGACTCTGAACCAAGGTTCTGGTTACATGTTTCTATTTTTGGGTTGGGGACTGCTGTTCTGGCAGCCTTATGCCTTGAAGTACGGCAAACGTCAAGCATATCTCCTTTCAGTCCTTGGATGCATCGGAACTAGTATCTGGAGTGCCTACATCGGCAGCAATGGCGAGTGGATTGCCAAATGCATTCTGCAAGGCTTTTTCGTGGCCCCGATTGAGGCTCTCCCCGAGATCTCGGTTACTGACGTGTACTTCACTCATCAACGTGGCACATATGTAAGTTTTTGGAACGACTTCGGTATTTGGTAATCTCGAAACTAACATGAGGAAACTAATAGATGGGAATCTACGCCTTCACTCTTGCTGGTAGCAATTATTTTGCACCAGTTGTCTGTGGTTTCATCGCAGAATACCAGGGCTGGCGGTGGGTGTTCTATTGGCCTGCCATCTTCTGTGGCGTCCTATTTGTGGTTTTGTATCTCTTCCTTGAGGAGACAAACTACACCCGCCAAACCACTGGAATTGTGACTGAACTCGATTCACCTCCACCGGAGTCTGCGGCAACCTCAGAAGATCAAGAGAAGAACCCCAAATTACAGGAGACCCCATCCAGCCAAAACGGCGTTATCACAACAGTTCCAAAGACCTACACGCAGAAGCTGAAGCTATGGTATCCTAATCCAGGTGCAAATATGTTTGAGCGTGCGTGGCGAAGTCTGAAATACCTCACCTGGCCCGTCATCTTCTATGCCGGTTTCTCTTATGGCTCGTACCTCATCTGGTTCAACGTCCTTAATGCTACGGCGTCCATCATTCTCAGTGGCGAGCCTTACAACTTTGCCCCGTCCATGGTCGGTCTCAGCTACCTCGCTTGCTGTATTGGAGTCATACTCGGTTGCCTGATCTCCGGTCGTCTAAGCGACTGGCTGACCATCAAGCTGGCGCGTCGCAACAAAGGAATCATGGAGGCCGAGCAAAGACTATGGCCGTTTGTTATCTGTCTCGTCGTCGTGCCAGCCTTTTTGATCCTATGGGGTGTTGGTGCCGCCCAGGGAGTTCATTGGTTTGGGCTTATCTTTGCCATGGGAGCACTGGCCTTTGCCACAACCCTTGGTGTCACCCTCAGCATCAACTACCTGATCGACAGCTACCATGATATCAGTGGGGACGCCATTGTCACCGTTATCCTCGTGCGCAACACCATGTCGTTTGCCATCAGCTATGGGTAAGTATTTCCTTGACATCGGCGTTCATCACATCACTAACGACCTGATAGTATCACCCCCTGGTTGACCAATCTCGAATACCAGAACTGCTTCATTTCTGCGGCATTTGTTGGCCTGGCTGCCTCGTCCGTCTTTCTCTTCATGATTTACTACGGGAAGAAGTTCCGCGTTTCAAGTGCTGCCAAATACTGGAAGATTGTGCACAGCGACCGGGCTAAGGCTGGTTTCGAGTAATTCATGTGAGATCGATTTCCATAGGGAACTTCCCGACGATAGTCGGGAACATGTCGTTGAAGCAGGGGAAGATATAATACCCCTTTATCCTAGCAAATCTTTACCCGAGTTCCACATTTTATGCGCTAGTGTTCTTGTACTCTTGTATACACTTTCCAACACCCAGATAAACGGATTCCCATTCCCGTATAGACCCAAGCAGACAGATATCCATAACCGTTGTAGACCCCGCCCTCAATTCGTGATCATCCTAGACCTGCTTTGGGCGATTCTCCGTCTGTCCGTGCTGTCTGGCCAAGCTATCTCGTATACTGATTCTCGTGCGGCAATGCGTCACGCTAATTCATTCACGTCATCAATTCTGTAAGTACCCATTTTCCTTGCAGGAACGCTATGGTGGAACAGCCAATCGATTTCTTGAAACGTTCGACCTTTCAATTCTGGGACGTAAAAGTATGCCCAAATTGTCCCTAGAAAGCTGGCGCCTCCGAAGACGAAGCCGACTTTACCCTTAAGGTTTGCTTTGTCGGGGTTGACCTGTGGAGTTACTAGTGTTAGTCTTTGCTCGTTACCGAGAAGCAATTAGCATACCATGTAGGGTACCACGATGTTCGTCAATGTGCCAAAGACGGCTTGACATGCGGTCGCAAGACCAATTGTCTTTGCCCGCAAGGAAGGAGTTGAGACTTCACCGAGTAGAGCAAATGCGACGACACCGATCGTGGCCTGATAAATCAGAGCGTAGATGACGGTACAGGAAGCCTGAACCCAACGCGCAGCCGAAGTATGTACGACATCAAGGATGCCCATTAGAATCATGACAATGGTCATTCCAATCATGCCCCATACGAACAATTTCCTGCGGCCCACTGTATTGATCAACGACCAGGAAATGATCACTCCGACCACACCACACGCTGTAACTCCGACACCCAGGTCGAATGCATGGTTGATCGGAATACCTGCGAGTTCAAAGAAGTAGGTGGAAAACCCAAGGGCAAAGACGATGCCAGAGAGATGCTGACACGCAAAGACACCGACAGAAATAACTGTCCGTATCAAGTTTGTCCCAGTGAAGCACTGGACCCACTTTCCTGCCTGGGACACTTCTGAGGCTTCGTCGATTGTTCGAATGATCATTGCCAGTCGAGGGGAGACGTCCACACTTGGGCCATGGAGACGTTGTAGGCTCTTTTTCGCGTCTTCGATCCTGCCATGACGAACATAATGCCAAGGTGATTCTGGTGCAAATGGCAGGCCAACGAGAAGAATCACTTCATGTGAAAATTAGCACAGCTCATACATGGAATCGAGGGGTATGTGGCTCTCACAAACAAATAGGAACTGGAGAGCGAATGGGCCTCGGAAAGCCCAGTTATCAGTCCTCTCCCCGAAGCCTTTGATCACAGCATTGGACAGGAGCTGACCAATGACGATGGCAAAGTTGATACCTCCAGTGACCATTCCACGGATGACAACAGGTGCAACCTCGGAGCAGTAAAGGGGACCGATTGTGAGATAGAATCCGAGTCCAAGACCGAGAATCAGCTTCCCAATGAGGAATGCTGGACGAGTCGCTGCGAAGATTTGGCCGAAAATCCCCCCAGAGACGATAATTAGTCCTATGAAGAGGGAGTTCTTTCGGCCAAGGCGGTCGGACAACCAGGAACATGCAAAAGCGCCAAAGAATTGTCCGACACTGGAAATGCTGTTGAATCCAGAGAGCCAGCTAGCTGGGATGACAGGTTCACCTTCGTAAATGTATCTAGGGGCTGTCAGAGCTGATATGTTTTAGGTCTTGCATCCAAGATGCAGATGAACCATTGCTCACCCAAAGGTGCGACGAAATTGAGGCACTCCAACCATTGCGCCATTGACCTGCGCATCGAAGCCCCTAATTTCAGATATTTTTTAGTCATTGCGCGTGGAAGAATCTCTCGATCCAGAGGGAGCGCATACCAGCCGATCGCACTGAAAGCAAAGAAGATGCACCAAAAAACGACCCGTTTGTTCTCAGTCAAGGCTCGCCAGACCGAAAGATTATGCTCTTCTTCGGCGGCAAGCCGTGCCTGCTCGAGCTTTGGAGGTACATGCTTGACGGTTGTGTCAGTTAATTTGTCGTCGTAATTGTCATCGTGAGTCACTTCCATCGCGGAGGAGGTTGTTCCTCAGATCTGACTTTGTTTGGATATCAAGACCTTCTGAGATGAGGACGGCGATCATAACAATAGAGGGCATAGCCGTTTATAATCCAGTGAGCGTTGGTTTCATTCTAGAGACGTTCCAGAAGGAAACATATTGATGGCTGTGATACCCTAGATGTCACAGTCATCACTTCCGCCGGGGATTTCGGGTGGGCAATTTTCAAGCTTGAGGCGTCCTTAGCTACCGGCATTCCGCAAGTGGGAGCGAGGCATTGACCTGGGGTAACCCCCGAACAAGCCCGGGGTCCATGCAGTCGGTCGGGAAGCTAACTAGAAATACCTATAGACAACCGAGCCTGTTAATTGACTGGCACCTCTGTGCCCTACAAAACCGTAACGACCTCAACTCTAAGTAATCTCTTCCTTCACATTAAACTAATCTGTAATCAGTACTGTGCTTCTGTACAAAGCATTCTCTGGCTCTTGTGGAGTGGAGAGAGTTGTCATATTTGAAACCCTTTTGAGCTCTAGACCATATGGGTGAATACATATTCCAAAACTCCTATTGTGGAGGAGACCAAGTTAACGTCGCAATGCATATACGAGCATGATGGTGGGAGGGCAATTCGATTCAATCAGAATCTAGTCTAGGTGTCTAGCCAGTAGGCCCCCTTGCCCTAAAGTCGAAATTTTCAAGGTTTCAAAACCTGATCTATCCAGTTTTAGTCTCTGCGGATTGAAGCTGGGCCATAACCGATTTCCCCGCAACAAGAATCCCTGTAGGCCCCTCGGCCCTTGTCTATGCTTACTTAGGCACTACTCGTATGCTGTGGAAGCTTTGCTCTGGACAGGGCGTAACGTGAAACTCTTTGTAACATCTATCAACTCCGGGAGTCCGCCCTTTACCCCAGTGAACCAGCACATCGCATTTCCCATGATATCGATTGTGGTGTGGAGCCCCGATCGGTTCTCAAGCTTCTGACGGTGATGGAAAGCTCGCTTCGCAGCATTCTCCATCCAAGTGAGATCGATTTTGATCCTTCGGCCCAATCTCGTGTTAACGAACCAATAGCCGAGGAGCTCCAGGCTGTTGACGGCACATCACTTGAGGCCCCAGATGATACACCATCGTCAAAGAAACGTGCTGCCACGCGGATCAAATCGTCATACCCGCGTAAGAGAGCTATCCAGGCTTGTCAGAAATGCAGAGTTCGAAGAACAAAATGCAACAATGAACGACCATCTTGCTCTGCTTGTCTCAACATCGGCGCTGAATGTACCTATACAGAAGGAGATCACTCAAGGTAAGACTAAATGGCTCATCTTCGGCCTTGATATCGAGCAAGACGTTTGACATGGGGACCAGTTTCGACTCGGCAAGCTTGGCTATCCTGGACAAGCTAAACACGATTGAAGAGCTTTTGCGGACGCCGAATGGCCATGGACAAAATCGATCGGCCACCTTAAGTGACGTTGGAGATGAGACGAGAACGCTATCAAAGCTCAAAAGTCTGAACTCTCCAAGTCTTGAGAGAACCAAGGATCCAACGCCATCCCACATGAACATCGAAGGTGTCCTTGCATGGCATGTGTTCGATGACCTACATCCCGACCTTGACCTCAAAGGGCTTTTGAATGCTACCGACCACGGTGCTCCACCAACGGTGCCTATGGTCACCGAATTCGACGAACATTTTGCCGAGGAGGATCTAGTGGAAAGCTTCATGAACAATGTGTTCATCTACAATCCCGTACTGGAAGAAGCTAAAATTCAACGGTATATGCGCGACGCTCGATTCAATGGAATAGGGTGGGATGCGCAGTCCTGCCTGCTCGTAAGTGATATCATATGCACGATGAGCCAGCAGAGCATCGACTAATGTTGTAGTTATTGATATACGCACATGGTTCGGTCGTGAGAGCTTTCGACAGCACCCACCAACCAGATGCCACATCTTTCAGAACATCGCCCCAGTTCAAGCAAGCCCAGTCGTACTTCACCGCTGCCCAGAAACGAATGGGCCTGCTATTGTGTCGCACAGGGGTGTTGGAGGCACAATGCTTCTTCCTTGCTGGCGTATACCTGATGGCTACTCTGAGACCGTTAGAGGCATGGAAGATGTTTGTACAAGCCCTTGCCTGTTGTCAGGCATTTTACACCAGCAAGTCTTCACCAAGGGGGGACCAAGAAGGAGAACAGCGACTTCGAGAAAGTATCTATTGGACATGCTTCAAGTCCGAACTGTAAGTGTTCTAGGCTATACCATTGTTCACTAACCTGACCGCATGGCAGTGAACTGCGACTCGAGTTGAACGTGTCTGAAACATCAGTGTGGGACTTAACTTACCCTGCCTTCTTCCCTTCCCCGCCGGAAGGACTTCGATCACAACGAGAGATCGTGTGGTACTTTTACCTGGCGGAAATTGCCCTTCGTCGACTCGGCAATCGTATTCTCAACCACAACTACGATAGCAAAACTTCGAGTTCATTATCGAGTATGGCAGAGATTGTGCTCGGGTTTGAACAGCAGGCGGCAGATTGGATCAGGTCCCTCCCACAATCACTACACCTCGATGCTCCATCAATTGGCGAGGAGAGTGAGCTGCACCACTCACTGAAGTTCATCCTCAAGGGTCATTTGCTCGACTGCTATGAAATGATGTACTGGCCCTTTATTGTGGCGGCCATCAACCCCGATAATCCAGAGCGCCCAAATCCACTGCCGAAATCAACCATGGAAGGTTTGGTGCGGAAGGCGCTTGTCGTCTGCGTTGAGCGAGTGGAGAAGAACGAGCAAGGTTTCTATTACCGCCATCACGGCACATGGTTAATGCTTAGGTCATGTAGCAGAAGCGCATTCATCCTGCTCGCAGCTGCGAGGACCCAGAAGCTAACGCTCATGATGCCAGATCGTTGGCGTCAGGCTGTTGAAAAAGTCATCGAAATGTTAAGGTTCTGGAGAAGAGAGAGCAGAGATTTGGAGGACCGACTTCAGCTAATCGAGCTCCTTTTGCGTCAGCTCACTTTTACTGACTGATGATACCTTGCAAAGCATGTCACACTGGAGATTTGCTCGTAAGTCTGTATTGGTAAGTCGGTAAAAGATTGCATCTGGGGCAGGGTCGTCCCTCGCCAAATGAATGTCATGTTCACTTAGCGTTGTAGACGCCCAAGCAATGGATCTGGCAATTTGCTCACGCAACTTAATCAAAGTCAACAGTACGAGTGGTCTGTGTAACGAGTGGAATCCTCGATTGTTGTGAAAGAGTTGAAATGATAATGAATCTCAGTTGTGCAAACGTGGTTTAGGTTGCCTTATCACCACGTGACTCGTTATCGACATTTTCTCACCTGCAAAAAAAAGTAAAGTCTCCAAACTCACACTCTCAACATTCACAGCAAACCAAACCACCATTGGTCTCGTCCAGTGTCAGTCAACTCAACAATCTTCTTAGACTAGAGTGCAACAGCCATGGATCCAAATATCGAAAGTGCAAAGAAGCGGAAGAGAAAGGAAGCGAAAGCAGCCCTTGCTGCTTCAGAAGCCGAATCGAACTCATTACCGCCCCTTCCCAATCCTAAACGTTCGAAGAAATCATCCAAGGAGAACGGAGACGGGTCAGAAAAGAGCAAGAAGCGCAGAAAGACATCACATTCTAGTGAAGGGGAGCAAGAAGACTCATTCGACACAGCGGCGGAGGATCTTCCAGTCAATGGTGAACCTGTCGAACAGAACGGCCACGAGGACGACGAAGCACAGGACGCAGATTCTGTCGACGATGGTGAAGGCGCAGATTTAGAAGATATTGTCGACACAAGAATTGGCAACAGCGAACTTGCAGCCACAGAGAATGATCTTCCGACAGATTCAGTCCCATCCCTACCGGGCGCAGATGCAACACCACAAAAGTTCAGCGAACTGAAATTGTCAGAGAAAACGATGCAAGCAATCCAAGAGATGGGGTTCGAAACCATGACCGAAATCCAGAGACGTGGTATCCCACCTTTACTAGCCGGACGAGATGTTCTTGGAGCTGCCAAAACCGGGTCTGGAAAGACAATGGCATTTCTCATTCCCGCGGTTGAAATGTTGTCGGCGCTACGATTCAAGCCACGCAACGGGACCGGTGTCGTCGTGGTCTCACCCACACGAGAACTGGCTCTCCAGATCTTCGGTGTCGCTCGTGACTTGATGCAATTCCACAGTCAGACGTACGGCATTGCCATCGGTGGCGCCAATCGAAGCGCGGAAGCCGAAAAGCTTAGCAAAGGTGTCAACCTTCTGATCGCAACACCGGGACGACTACTAGATCACCTGCAGAACACTCCCGGGTTTGTGTTTAAGAACACCAAGGCGCTGGTCATTGACGAAGCCGATCGGATCCTGGAAGTTGGATTCGAAGACGAAATGCGGAAGATTGTCAAGATTCTGCCCAAGGAGAACCGACAAACCATGTTATTCTCCGCGACTCAAACGACCAAAGTCGAAGATCTCGCACGTATCTCTCTACGACCAGGCCCACTGTACATCAACGTCGATCACAAGAAAGAGCACAGCACAGTCGAGGGCCTGGAACAAGGCTACGTGATCTGCGAAAGCGACAAACGATTCCTCCTCCTCTTCTCATTCCTGAAACGCAACCTGAAGAAAAAAGTCATTGTCTTCATGTCATCTTGCAACTGCGTCAAATACCACTCTGAACTCCTCAACTACATCGACCTGCCCGTGCTCGAACTGCACGGAAACCTCAAACAACAAAAACGCACCAACACGTTCTTTGAATTCTGCAATGCCAAACAAGGCACGATGGTATGCACCGATGTCGCGGCACGAGGGCTCGATATTCCTTCAGTGGACTGGATCGTCCAATTCGACCCCCCCGATGATCCTCGCGACTATATCCATCGCGTGGGCCGTACGGCTCGAGGATCTAATGGCAAGGGTCGGAGTTTGATGTTCTTGCAGCCCAATGAAGTCGGGTTTCTGAGCCAATTGAAGGAAGCTCGTGTTCCTGTCGTCGAGTTCGATTTTCCAGCCAAGAAACTCGTCAATATCCAATCTCAGCTGGAGAAATTGATTTCTCAAAACTATTACTTGAACAAGGTCAGTACTTTTTTATTTTGTTCCCCCGCTCCTCACTTCATTTCCAGTCTTCTCGAGCTTTTTGTCATCATGCTGACCATGGATTCTTCGACATCTTTAGTCCGCCAAAGACGGTTATCGATCCTATTTGCAGGCATACGCCAGTCACAGTTTACGGTCGGTTTTCGATGTCAACAAGCTCGATTTGGTCAAAGTGGCTAAAAGTTTCGGATTTGCTACGCCACCACGTGTCGATATCCAGCTCGGAGCTAGTATGCAGAGAGACAAAAAGCAGAATGGGCGGAGGCCATATGGAAGTCAGCCCAGGCAAGGCGGTCATGGTCATGGAGCCGGGGGAAATCGACATTTCAAGAGATAGAGGGCTCCTAATCAAGGTGCTGTCGCATGCGATCGAGGTCACTACGTTAATCTGCAATCAAAAGGCTCTTGAGGGCCAAGAAATTTGGGGTACGAATGAATTGATAATTGACGATGAAACGCTTCTAAACTGGCTTGTATGTTTTGTTGGCATTCTCATGAGTTGCCCAGGACACAAAAAGTTAGAACAGGATCCAGACTAGCATTGGTATACCAAACGTGATTCAACGCAACGCAGTCATGATCTATCGTCTCATCATATCCGAGCCAGCTTGGAGCTCATTCTCGAGATCGTTTCCTCCGTAGGCGCTGGCCTCTTGAGGTCTCGGATCTCCCTGTCTCCATTGATTCGGGTTGTCTGGGATGGGGACCGCAATGTTCGCGGCAGTTCCTTGTGTTGGCTGATGGCGAACATGGTGGCGGAACCTCTGGACCTCATCCAAGATCATCTTTCTCATCTCCTGCACATCCTCGACAACTTCAAAGGCAAAGTCGAATGACTTGGGGCAAGCGGGCTCGTCAGAGGCATCGTGCCAGATGTGGAGATAGCGGTGTTCGAGAGCTTCTTCAACTGAGATGCGGGAGGAGGGATCGAATGCCAGCATGCGATCGAGGAGGTCGAGAGCATCAGGGTTTGCCTGAGGGAAGAGTCTCTGGAATGGAATTTTGGGCATGAACGGAAGGTTGCGAACATATTCTTGGGCACGGGGTGATCCGATGCGGGACAATGTTTCCTCATTCGGGGTTCCCAGGTAATGGAGGATCTGGTTGAGTTGGTCGACATAGTCGCGGCCCTTGAAGAATGGTCGACCACCTAGAAGTTCAGCCAGGATACAGCCAACAGACCATACATCAACTATGCAATGTTAGTATGAAGACATCAAACCGAGACGTTGCTTGACATACTAGCTTTGGTGTAGCTCTGGAAGCTCAACATGATCTCTGGAGCGCGATACCATCTTGTTGCGACATATTCAGTCATGTATCCGGCATTTTCTTCTGGGTCTTGGGAGAAGCCTCTGGCGAGGCCAAAGTCGCAGATTTTGAGCTCGCAATCGGCATTGACCAGGAGATTACCTGGCTTCAAATCTCTGTGGAGGACATTTGCGGAATGGATATACTTCAGACCGCACAGGATCTGGTAGATGAAGGATTGGAAATGGGCATCGGTCAAAGGTTGGCCGGAGCGGATGATAGCGGCGAGATCGCATTCCATCAACTCTTGAGGACATGTTAATATGGATTTAGACGACCGAAAGCCAAGGCAAATCAGGGTACGTACCCTCATAGAGGTAAGTTTCATTGAAGTTGTCAGGGCGGGGAATATCCATATCATAGAGACAGGTGATCTGCAACGATTAGCCCGTTGGGTTTCCACACCTGCGAGAATGACAACTCACATTTCTGTGGCCGCGGAAATGTTGTAGGAGCTTGATTTCACGCAGGGCTCTCTTTGCGAGGATCTTTTTGCTGAAGACATTGGTGACTTTTTTGATGGCCACGCCTTCACCAGTCTGAGAGTTGGTTGCTGCGCTGTTGAGGTCGTCAGCATATGTCGCTAGACATTTATACCTGCGGAAACTGACCAGACGATGCCATAAGCACCCTGTCCTAGTTCTTTTGTGACTGTGTATCTTTCATCCACGACAAAATCTTGATTGAAGACCTTAAAGACCTTGCGACCGGCCAAGTCCCCCATGATGGCAGAGTTGAGCAATTGGTGAGACTCGCTTTTGGAATGGTGGGTTCGTGTCGAGGAAGTGTTGCGCAGAGACGAAAGGATAGAGAAGGAAGATTCAATCAGACCAGGGATGAAATTTGGAGAGGACTAGGAGAAGGCCAAGCAGCGAAGATGTAATATGACGAGGCGCACAGAAAGAGGAAATTGATCGGGCTGTGGTGCGGCTGAAGCAGAGTTGACTTGTGCTGACACGGCGGCGAGCGGACGCAACGCAGAAGGTGGGGGCGGAAGAGTGGTAAGGTCTGACAATTTTGTAAGACCTGGCCAGTAACAATGTTCTGGAGAGATCTGGCGAGACTCAAGGGTGCGAAAGTGCCTGAAGTCACAGTAAGAAGTATGTAAGAGAAGGGGGCAAACAGAAGATAGCCGCCGTGGTGGCCTGGCGCTTCGAAGAATGTAGCAAAGTGACAATGGGATGGGATGGGACGGATTGGGATGGAGGGGCAACGGACCTGCGAAGATGATTGAGAGACAGTTACTTGTACTTTCCCTTAGGCATAGCGTCCTCTAGGCTGTATGGAGGCGTATTCGTGGCCGCAAGGGTGGAGGGTGGAGATGAGAAGATGGTACGCAACGGCCAGGGCTCCAGCCGCTCTGTGAGCTTGATCATTGTTAGAGGAACCCAAGGTTCACCGGTATGGAGCACAGGATTCGTCGCATTCCAAAGATAGACTGAGGGGTCCTTGGCTTGCGACAGATTGGTACTGGGATTTCATTGCGGGTTTAGATGACTACGCATATTCTTATGACATTGATGGCTGGAGAAAGGAGAGGCTTGAGCAATTCCTGTCAAGGTCGATGAATAGAGGGAGATGAGGCATGTATGCACAGAGAGAGCGGTGGGCGTCTATACTGGTGGTCAGCACGAGCATGAGGTATCCAGGTATCTTAGGTACCTGCTTTCAGGCACAAGGGGAATCCTCCAGATGGGTGGGCACGAGGACCTAGGTGAGTAAATTAGAGGCGGCCCTTGGTGTATCGTGCCTGAACTCGGGCCCCTCAGCCCCTGGGATGTCTTAACCTTACCCTTAAACCGCACAACCAAGTGCCAGAGGCACCCAACCACCATTGTCCATCATGACTGCCCTTCAGCCGCCAAGCATCAGGCTGCAGCCTGCCTTTGCACAGCCAATCAACCTCTTCTCCATTGAAGTCTCTTCCCACGCTTCATCCAAGCCATATCTCTTTTTCGAGAACGGACAGCCTTCGAGTTGCACAGGACCCGGGATCCTCGTTGGACAGCTCACAAGCTCGGTGACAGATGGCTGCATCATTCCTCGACATGCCGGACTTTTGTTAGACAATCTCAAGGACGTTTTCGTGCAACCATCGCCATGGAGGAACTACTAGCCAAGCATCGCAAGGAGAAACGTGACTTGCAGTCAAAGGTCACTCAGAAGAAGAAGAACGCCACCAAGAAGACACGAAAAGGTATCAACGACGAATGCGAGAGATTAGAGAGTGATCTTGAAGCGCAACAACAAGCCGAGCTAGAAGCCCTACAGCCTTCTCAGGTCTCGCCGGTCCAGGACGGGCTGGATGATTTATCCTTGACTGAACCTCCGGCCCTTGAGATGGAACCAGCTACAACTCCAGGCCAGAGTGTTACTTCCCCGGAAGAGTCAAAAAAGGATTCGTCTGAAGCAGCAGCCACTAGGGTTAAAAAGCCCAATCGGCAAAAGGCCAGATTGGCTCGCAGAGCAGCTGATCAAGAGGCCGAAATGGCTGCCGCGGCTGAAGAAGCGGCTGCTCTCCCAGATCTTCGAGAGCAGGAATTGTCGGCGATGAGGAAATACATGAAGGAACTAGACCTCACAGAGACGCTTATTCGGCCGGATGGCCATTGCCTCTTCTCGGCGTGCGCCCATGGAATCCCAAACCTAGGTCCAGGACAGAATCACTACCAACAAGTCCGTTCAGCTGCGGCGAGTTTCATGGCGGCACACCCGGATGATTTCTCCGCCTTTCTCGAAGAGCCTTTAGATTCTTACATTACCAAGATCAGAGACACGGCAGAGTGGGGTGGCCAGTTGGAACTTCAGGCAATTGCACGATCCTATCATATCGATATCAATGTGCTACAGGCGGACGGCCGTGTCGAAAAGGTCACGTCGGGGAAAGGCAAAGATGGTGAAACAATATGGCTGGCTTACTATCGACATAGTTTTGGTTTGGGTGAGCACTATAATGCCTTGACAAAGAAGATACAGCCGTGAAGCCAACCTCAAGGCTATCAACAAACAGTTGGCCAGCCCGGACTGGAATCAACAATTGAAGATGCTAGTGGTGTCTCCAAATGGCAATGTTGTCCATAACATTGCCGTTTTCATCCTTGCCGACCTTATGTGTGTCATTTGGATGAAAGTGAGCCACTCTCTCCAAAGCGCCAGGACTATCGGGGGCTAGAGGGTTTATTTTGATATTGCCCTCGGCGTCATACTTGATCTCCTTGCCAGGATGACTGAGATGCTCTCGGTAGGCAATCGAAGGAGATGCCCACGGTGGACCACCAGTCTCTGCCGATTTGGTTGTGGGAAACTCCAAGCAGATCAGATTGGCCAGCGGAGATGGACGGAGAAGTTCAGACATGCGTTTTGCCCACGCGGGGCGCATTGAGGGCTGCATGGCACAGAAGAACTGTACAACTAGTGAGAGGGGTGTCGTGTCATTAGCCAGCGAACGAGTGCAGACATACAGTATAGTCATAGATCAGATCAAACTTGCCATCATGGCCCACCCCTGCTTCTTCCAGCCAGTCATCCTTGTAGAAATCGCCATGAACAAATTTGTGGCTGCCTTTGCCGATCTGGGCGTCGCGGACGGGGTGGTCCTCAGCATGGTCCTGTGCATATTCTTCGGCGGCTTTGACAGCATCCGCTGCATACTCGAGCCCGACGGCATCGTAGCCAAAACTCTCGAGGAGCAGGACATCGACGCCTCGCCCACATCCGGGTACCAGAGCCTTCTTCCGACGCTGCTGCCCATCTTCGTCGACAACGGCACGGCCCACCACGATTGCGTGGTCAATCAGAGTCTCTGCAAGGGCAGGGGACGGAGCCATGCGGTCCCACGGGAGAAAATCACCCTGCTCCCATAGCTTGGCCCATCCTGTGCCGTACTCATTGCCTTTGAATTTGTCGAAGTGGCGCTGCAGCTCGACACGAGCTTCAGCGACGGGGAGATCTCGTCGTTGAGGCTTGGACATGTCTGTCATAACTGGGCTGAGTGAGACAGGAATTGCGGATAGCAAGTCAGGAGCCGACTGTGGCAAAGTTGAGAACGGAGCCGTGTTGATATGTACGAAGTGGGAGCACAGCTTTCCTGTCCAGTGGTTGGCGGTGAACACAAAGACACTGCTTCTACAAGGATCACTTCAAATAAAAGAAGGGTCGGATGGACAAGTCTGAAATGTTTAAAGTCATTGACCACAGTCTAAGATTCGTAGAAGATGGCCGAGCAACTGGAAGGAATCGGCGAAGTGGATTCTCGGGGACCACAGACTCAGTCAGTCTTCTGACGACGGAATAAAGTGATCCCCCAATCCAGATGCTCACGTGCCAATTGTAGACAGGCTTTAGGGAAGGAGCGAAGGAGAGTTCAACAAAGATTACATGTCGCTGCAGAAGGAGTTGATGGCAGTCTGGGAAAGAGTGTTTCTCTTCATTCAGGTTAACACAAAGCATGCAGTGCACGCATCAATCAAGTAAAATGTGATGTTGTCAGGCTCAACCTATGAGGGTCATCGATTTATTGACTCCTGGCCAGATCACGTTTCACGAGCCAGGTACGCCATCGAGATCTCGCGATTTGACCCGCATCAAGAGGCTTGTTGCGTGGGACTCAGATACCCGTGGGCTACTTCTTTGACATATCGCGAGTATATGTCGTCCCAACATTTTATCATTTGGGTAGGAACAAGATGAGCGGATAGTGTTGAGCAACGGAGTCAGCCAGAATTACGCAAGTCATGATGTTGTGCTTTTGTTCCCGAATCCGGAGCGAGCCCATGTGACTTCCTTTATTGTCCATATCCTGGTGATCGAATAGACCGAGGGGCTACTTAGAGGACACATTTATTTAGCTAGGATACCAGGTATCCTAGGCAAGTCTACTTAGGGCGCCTCGGGCTGTCATATGTACCTAAGGTAGAGTTTGAAGGATAAACGGGCTGACGGGCATGTCGAAGGGCGGTCGGTGCCTTCCACATAATATAATCCGGGCCGCGGGGATAAATAACCGCATTCAGCACTCAAGTACTTGATAACCCGCTGTAGATGCCTAGAACCTCGGTATCTCTTCAATAATTGTCGCGCGATCTCCAAATCACCCCCTCCCACCTCGAAAAGGTCCTTCTGTTACTACTAGCGACACCCACTGACTCGCCTAGGGTCCACAGTCTATTCACATTACCCACCACAAGGATGGGGATTGCTGGGGAATCGTAAAGCCTTGGGTTCTGGGTATCAACTTGCTTAGAGGCTGAGGTAGCCAGGGCCTGCCCAGGCAAAACTCGTTGGTCGTGCTTGCCCCAGTTTGAATTGATGTTGCACGATGGCCACATGGACCATCTTTGTGAGACACCAGGCTCAATGTTGGAGTCGCTGACCACCGCAGCGAGTGACGAATTCCTTATAATTTGAGACATTTCCCTCTAGTCGGGGAGCTGCTCGAGACGACGGCTGCTCCAATGATGACGAACAACTGTGCGGCAAATCGGCACGGTTGTTGATCTGGATGATGCTGCTCTTGGCCGTGATCTCGCCGGTAGGGTGCTTGACCCCGCCACCTGCCCGCCGTCATTGGCTCCATATCGAGTCCCAACTCTAACGTGGACAAGAGCCGACTATCCTCTTCTTTCACCGGCACTTGGGCGAGGGGACCAAGCAATACTTTTGCAAAACAAACCTTGGAGGCTTGCGAACGTGGACTCCATCATCCCCACACCATCGCGGAAGATACATGATTGTTAACATGCGGTCCTCCTCATTACTTCTGGCTTCTTTCCATCCCTTCACTCTCCTCATCGTTAGTCCGACTCGACATGATAATCAGTCAATAAAGTGATGATTTGGCCACGGGATTCCCTCTTCGCACTGACTCTACCCTTGCCCCTTCCTCCCTCGTCGACAGACGCACATGGCTTATGATGGCCAGGATAACCCGCCTAGAGCGCCAGGTGATGTATCCAGACCAGACCCGGAGAAGGATGAAGTCCACCATAGATATCCTCATGCGTCGGACGATGCTCGTTCCGTCCACACCAACGCCTCGGCCCATTCCACGATAGCAGACCATCATGATGTCGAAAACGTTAATGAGATTTTGCGCCGCACATATACTCCTAAAAATCCCATAGAAATCGTACCACGGTCCAAACGACGGGGTCTTTTCGCGCGGTTCACCCTCATTGCCGAAGTCACCAACCCTTATGACTACTCAAACAACCTCAAATGGTTCATCACCTTCATCGTCTCGGTGGCAGGAGCGGCCGCTCCAGTTGGGAGTGCCATTCTACTGCGTAAGAGAGATGTCGATATCGCCAGAAGGTTTAGAATGCTAACATGCTCGACAGCGGCACTGACGCAGGTGGAGCAGGACCTCAAGGCAACACCGGCCATCAGCAACATGGCGGTAGCACTGTATATGTTATCTATGGCCATATTCCCGCTGTGGTGGTCTGCATTTTCCGAAACCCTCGGTCGTCGAACCATCTACCTGGTTTCGTTTGCACTCTTTGTCGTCTTTTCCGTGCTCAGCGCCGTTTCACATTCTATAACGATGCTCATTGTCATGAGAATGTTGGCTGGTGGGGCAGCAGCCTCTGTGCAAGCAGTTGGTGCGGGAACGATAGCTGATATTTGGGAAACACGCGAGAGAGGGCGAGCAATGGGCATCTTTTATCTCGGTCCCCTCTGTGGACCTCTCCTGGCGCCCATTATCGGGGGCATGGTCGCCCAGCACTGGGGTTGGAGGTCAACTCAATGGGCCCTTGCCATTTATGCGGGTAAGCATCACGGATGAGATACACAAGCCTTTCTGCGGCATCTCTGCTAACCTATGTTGACACCAGTTCTGACATTGATCTTTGTCTTTTTTGCACTGCCAGAAACCGTCCGGGCCACCAAGAACATCAATGCCGCTGTTGAGACGGAGGAGACTGCGTCAGCCGATGGGGCTTCCCAATCAGACTTGAGAAGAGTCACGACTCGAGAACGAGCCCAGCGACGCTCCAAGAAGATTCTTAAGGTCCTGCGGATGTTCTTCGTCGACCCCTTGAGTATCATTCTGTATCTTCGCTTCATGCCAGTGCTCCTGACGGTGTACTACTCGGCCGTCACTTTCGGTTCGTTGTATGTGCTCAACATCAGCATCCAGTACACTTTCGAGCGCCAACCATATGAATTTGAGACCATCATCATCGGCCTATTGTACATCCCCAACTCTGTTGGCTATCTCCTGGCCAGCTTGTTTGGCGGCCGTTGGATGGACAGCATCATGAAGCGAGAAGCGCTCAAGGCCAATCGAGTCAACGAGCATGGGAAATTGGTGTTTCATCCTGAGGATCGCATGCAAGAAAACGCGTGGCTCGGGTCGATGTTGTACCCTGCAGCTCTCATTTGGTATGGGTGGACGGTCGAGAAAGGAGTATTCTGGGTTGCACCAGTGAGTGACACTCTTCCATTGTTGGGCCTCTGTGACCAGCAGGCATCGAATCGGCCACAGATTACATGACTTACTGACATGATCCTTTGTCCTCGAAACAGATGGTGGCAAACTTCTTCTATGGAGTCGGCTCGATGTTGATCTTTGCCATGGCGACCACCATGTTAACGGAATTCATGCCACGACGGTCGGCATCTGGCGTAGCCTTGAATAATCTATGTCGCAATATTTTTGCATGCGTTGGCGGCATTGTGGGGGCGCCTGTGATTTCTTCCATCGGCAATGGCTGGCTATTCACCATACTTGGACTTTGGGCATTCTCCAGCGCTGCTGTGATATGGGCAATGAAGCGATTCGGGCCCAAGTGGCGAGAAAAGCTGGAACGGGAACTCGATTGAGACGATAGATCTATGAGCGTTGGAATGATAATGACGAATTGGTTTAATACACTGTCTTGATTCGAGCGTCTGATGCTAATTCCAGTGAAGCCTGTTGCCCCCGTCGTGTCAACTAATTCGGACATGTAGTGATGAATTTGATGATTTCCTGTCCACGTGCCATGTGAGTCTCGACACGTGGACGGGTCGTGGATTGTGGCTGACAAGATCCAAAAGTGAGGCGACGGTAGACCCAGCGTCTGACAAGGGCTGGGTCCAACAATAGGCGCGAATGGCGCCAAGCCAGGTCCAGTCTAAGCGTTTAAATGCCCCCTCGGCCCTTAGAGGCAAGCCCAGAGCGCCCAATTCCGCCTGGAGGGTTATTCTGGTTAGGCTTCAGCTAGGTGTAGTCTGGACAGCTCAACTAGGCGACGTTAGGAGGTGCGACCTGGTCTGATCTGACGCGGGTCCTTCCCAATCGCTGTGTCCTTCCCCACGCTTCCCCTGGGCTGCTCCTGCCTTCGTCTGTGTCAGTCACAAAGTTTTTTCGCTGCGTTTCTTCTCGGCTCTTGTCTAACGTCTCATGTCTCTCACTATTCGTCGTCCATCGTGTCCCAACCACATGAGAGGTCACTGTCACCCATACCACTGCATCAATGGCAGCTTCTTGCAGGCGACAAGACCTTATTGAGTCCAATTAGATATTATGGGCAGGTGCAGAGGATGAACTGCTTCATGCTCTGCCGTGAACTGGCGTCGTCTGTCGCCTTGGTCCGTCTGCTTTGGATTTTCCACAACCGAATAAGATGATCTGCTCTTTCGACCTAAAGCAATGTCAGCCCACTCAGAAATCGCCATGTACGCCAATTCATGCTGGTCACTTCACACTGCATTTACCCTCTTAGAGCTTTCTTCTCTCTCAATTTGGCCACGGTTTGCATTAACCAGGCCCTGACGAGACGTTGGGCAGCAGTGTAAAATCGACTTGGGCTGCGAGACCTCTCCGCCAATCCAATGCTATTGTGTTGCAATCTCATCCAGTCGCACTTCAACGATCGCCAGGTATTTCAATTTTAGCTCTGGCTCTGTCTGACCAGAGATCCACGATGCATTTCCCTTCGTTCCGGTATCTTCCTGGCCACGCTATATCTGCATGTCTGGCCGTGGCATTCGCCATTGCTGTTGTCCAAGTCTTCTCCATGTGTCCCTTTCACATCTTTGCCTCCAGTACGACAAAGCTCCTCGTTCGAAGCGAGGTTAGGGCTTGTCAGCGTTGACGTGGTCCAGTCAGAACACCTTCCAAATAGACGATACTCGGGTCAACTCATCATGGGATTGCTGATAACATGCTGCCTCAATTAGTCTACAAACAGAAGCCCATGCAAAGGACGAGACCGAGCTCCTCTCTGATTGCTCACTGCTACCCATCTCATCTTCCCCATAGGACGGTGGCCGAAGGTTGATCCTGACCTCGAGAGAATTCTCTACCAGCCATCTCTATTCCTCCTCTCCTCCAGTCCTTTGTGCCCGTGACCACCCAACAAGCCATCCCGCCATTGCCAGACAGTCACGTCATCTCCTTGCTTCTCCTTCCTTCTGGCCTTCTACCCAGCTCGTGATCTTTGCCCAAGGGTGTGACAAGCATCAAGACCAACCCAAACCCCAGTCCACTCGATTCCACCATTCACGTCCTTCCAAGACCGGCCTTCCATCACCAGCCCTGGTTGTTTCTTTGCGCCTCCGACTGGGCTCGCCTTTGGTCATGGGCAAGAATCGGAGAAGGAATAAGAAGCCGTCAACTTGGGTCCTCCATGGCGAGGAACCTCCCTCCCAACCCGCTGATGGCACATCAATATTTCTATCAGTATGCACAGCTCCCAGTATACCAATGGAGAACCTATGATCGAGCGACCCTTCAATACTTTCCTCACTCTATAACACCACCCACCACATATTATCCCATCTACCCTTACGCTGACAACCCTTACAAGCCTGTCCCTCAACAGTACTTCATTCACAACGACAGACCCCATACGGGTCACGGAATATATCGCGGTATGGAAGGTACACACCTATCCCATAATCTCTCCGCTTGGCCAACTATTGACAATTTCTCAGACGCGGCTACCCTAGATGGCAAGCCGGCAGAGATAGTTGAAGGTCCTACCCCAAAGGACGATGCCCCTCAGGAAGCCTCCAGCTCAACCGAGGCGACCGAAACCTCGGAAACTACAGGTTTGGATTCTGTCCGTTTCTTGAATTTGAAATACTCTAACTATCAAACAGAATCAACACCAGTCGACCCGCCTGTAGAGCAACAGCCGCCTACAGAGGGCGACGGTGATAAGGACGGAGAAGACTCCGCCGCAAAAGAGGGCGGCGATCGCCCTCCGGACCAGGTTGAAACCGTTGAAACCACGGAGCCCGAAACCCCCGCCGAAGGCTCGCCAGGAGATTCTACAATTACCGACGCCACAGCCATCCAGGGCGCACCTTCAGGTGATCCAGAGGATATTGTAGAGAAAGTGGAAAAGTTGCAATCGGAAGATGCACCAGCAGATAAAGTTCTAACTGTGCTTGAAAAGGGCATGACAGATGCCGGCGTGAGTCCTGCCACAGAGACTACAGATGAAGCAGCAGCATCCCCGATTCCAGAACCGAGTTCTGAGACAGCCACACCAGAGACTGCGGGCGAAGCTGCCGAGAATGCTGGTGACGACAACCAAACTAGTGCAGCAGACGCCGATAAAACTACAGATGAACACCCCACTGAAGCAGGAGATTCGGAATTACCTGCTAATGCAGACCCTGTGGATGAAGAAACTGGCACATCCTCCGAAGAAGCAGCCAAACCTGAAACTGAAGCGGAAAAAGCAGCCGATGTCGCCACCTCAGAAGAGCCGGCTCCAGTCAAAGCTAGCGAGGAAGTCAAGGAAGTAGTCGATGAGGCGGCCAAAGAGATTGATGCACCCCCCAGTGAGAACGAAGCAGGGGAAACCCCTGCAGAAGATGGTACAGCCGGAGATGCGTCTTCCGAGGATCCGCCTACACCGGCTCCCCAAACAGAAGACCCTCCAGCAGGAAGTCAAGATGCAGAAGGAGGAGCTGGAGAGGGTGATGACCAAGGAGACAACTTAAAGACAGAAGCCGAGCCAGCCGCAGCCGAAGCCGCCCAAGAAGAGGCAGACACACCACCCGAAGAGGTTTCAAAAGAAGAGACAATTACTGCGGAAGAAGTACCTGGCCCAGAAGCAGAAAAGGATGGTGCCAACGGGGAAAATCCTCCTGATGCGGCAGCGGCAGAAGAAACCAAGGTCGAAGATGCTCCCGAAGCCTCGGACTCAGCAGTGCCTGAGAACGCAGCTACAGACGAACAGCCAGCAGAAGACAAACCGGCTGAAGACACACCCACAGAAGACACACCCACAGAAGAAAAACCACCAGAGGAGGCACCACCAGCAGAGGAGGCACCGCCAGCAGAGGAGGCACCGCCAGCAGAGGAGGCACCGCCAGCAGAGGAGGCACCGCCAGCAGAGGAGGCACCGCCAGCAGAGGAGCCAGCAGCGGCAGAAGAAACACCAGCAACCGAGGATCCAGCAGCAGAAGAGCCAGCAGCAGAAGAGCCAGCAGCAGAAGAGCCAGCAGCAGAAGAGCCAGCAGCAGAAGAGCCAGCAGCAGAAGAGCCAGCAGCAGAAGA